GGATCAATACTTTATTGATTGACGTTTTTCCCGGCTAAAAAATGAGAATCGTTCGCCCAACCCCAGCGATAAGGTATTCTTTGACCAGTAAATCAGAGGATATATTATGTGTTATAACACATAGATGATTGAATATTATTTATATATGTTGTAGCCAACATTGTCCAAGACGGTACGGCGTTTCTATTGGGAAAAGTAAGTAACCCAGCGTGGTTGGCCTAGATTATATGCGAGCGCAGCAAAGCTGCAAGCTCTTGGTCGGTATTCGCAATCAATAAGAATGCATCATATATTCATGTCGCCATGTTTTGATGAAATGTACCTGATTCATTAGCTTTACCTGTGGTGGCATGCGTGTCATGATCGAAGAAGGTCCAAGCATTATTGCGACTGTGGACGGGCCTCGAATATTGGGCCTGCATGGCCCAGGCGTTCCGGTCAGGCCTCGATCTAGAAGGGCCCAGGGGCCAAAGAGAGAAGACTCTACGCATTTATTCCTTCGTCCCACGGTGGCGTCCACCCTCAAGCTCGAGTTTGCCGACAAAGTCCAGTGCCCTGAGTGTGTACTGCGTTGGTTGTGCGAGGTCCTTCAGGTATTTGGGGATGAAATCTTAGTTTTCTCGATCAGCCACCTGCTTGATTGTTCGATGAGGCATTTTCATTGCTCTGGCTGCTCCTGGAATCGGCCCCTGCATGCGTGATGTGTTACTGCCGGACCATTTGGTAACATGTCTCAGAGAATTTGTGTGATTGGAGAGGCATTACGTGTTTTGGGCCAGCATCCATCATCCGTGATGTGAAAGGAGGACGCTGGCTAAACCCCAGGGGAGATGGCCGGGTGAATATATATATGCTCTGTTCCCCCAAAGGAGCGCTCCACGACGGTCTTGGACAGGCACTTCATGCCCTGTTATCATCCCTACCCATCGCGTTGATCAACCTGGTCCCGTCGTTCCCGTCGCTCTCGACACTTCGATCGTCGCTTCATATCACTCCAGCCGACACTACTCAGGCAGACATCACTTTCTTCTGAACCTTCTCATTTATTTTATTCTCTCAGATGGGCTCAACTGATGATATAGCAAAGGACTGAGCATCTTGAGGGATCCCTTGCCCCTAGGCCCGCTGCTCACCGCTAACTTCGGGGAACTCCGTCTGCGTCGAGATGACAAGAAATAAGCAGCTCGAATGAGCCTACGACACATCACAGTTTGGACGCCGAATGATCAAAATTCCCAAGGGTGAATTCCGGGCAATCCACCCGAGCGCCTACGTAATGCGGCCGTCGAGACGAATTAGCAATCTGCATCGTGTGCAAAGAGACGTCGCAGCGTCTCCTCATCCCTGCCATCGACCACCGGCTTAAATCAGGGTCCACCTGAATGACCATCAGGCCCAGGGTTAGAACCCCAAACAGGGCTTTGATTGCTAGCTAAGGTGAGCTTGCTAGAGGTAAACATGTGAGACGTGACCGAAGCAAGCAGCTCCTTTTGTTTCTAGAGTATATGGGGGAAAAAAGACCACCGTCAGTACTGATTATCAGCGCGCCTTAGCATCGAGATATATGTGTGTTGAAATGCGAGAAGCTGTGTGCATCTAAGTTCATCAACATCACGACAGTTGTCTAATAAAAGCTGCAGAGGAGCCACAAAAAGGAAGGCAAGCGAGTGACATAAAACTTGGCATACCAAAGCTCTGTTCACACAAGTCAGGGACCTCAGTTTCTCATCCGTAATACTAAACACATTAATAAGAAAATTAATAGTTACTATCCTACAGTCCTTAGCTGCTATTGTGGTTATTATTGCCTTCATATTGTATTAATATTGTGTTAAATCCAACACTGGAGGTTCTGAGTGCGCCATGGTTATGTCAGTCGCCAAGGAGGATATAAAGGCTTCTAATTTCTCGAATACGCGGTAGCCAGGGCCAAGTCACTATGCCATGCCATGCCACGCGTAGAGGGGCGAAGGACTCGGCCAAACCAACCGAATCCCTAGTAGGTGCTTCCCTAGGACCACCGGCATTGGAATTTTACATATTAATGCTTCCCAACAATAGATACAAGATCTACATGGACGGCTAGAAAAAGCCGCCGAACCGTTTTTTATTGACCTAATCTTCTCCTATAAGCTAAATCCTCCTTGCGATACAATGGCATGCTTAGGTTAGCTGGAGCACCATGTCACAGATCAGAATAGGACTATAACCCCTCAGCTCATTAATGAGATAAGTGTAAACTAAGTATGGGTTTGCTTGACTTAAGAGCGTACGCCATTGCCGCCAGCTCTCCACTAGGCGCGCTCTATTCCGGTCCCATGCGAAGAGTAATCGTGAAAGGCTCAAGTCTCGCTCTAATAGATACCGATGCTGACACTTGGACTGTTCCCCTTACCTCCGCCACATAGTTGGCATTTCACCTCTTCTAGCGTAAGCTCAGGCTTCGACTTCATTACTTCATTGAGGATTACTCTTCCCAGAAGGCCTGTGCCCTATGTGATATCCAAACCGGTGCAAAACATATCCCTACGCCATTTAGATCAGTAACCGAGAGCAAGAGGCGGTAAGACAGGGAGGAAGTCAGGCTGCGCAGGTCAACTATGACGGAGAGTTAGAGAACTTGGCCACGTTACAGTATCTGAAATCTAAGATCAAGAATAGGCTATCTACCAGTCTAAGCGAGAGTTCGTACACTTAGCTGCGCTCGTCTCCAGATATCAACCCCCGCCAAGATGCCACGGCCACAAGACTGCCAAATCAGTCGAACCCAAACATTGCCTCCCCACAAGCCATCTGCTAGTAGTAGATTGATCCGGTAAGAAAACGTCTGGGTAATCGAATACCCTTGGATACCTGCAAGACAATATCCATAGTCCAGTATCCTTTCAGTAATAGAGTTTTGGTATGGCAAAGGTAACCAGGTATTCCACCTCCCTTCTTCTAAGAGTAAATCCGATATGATCGATATATCTCGCTGGCTATTCTCATATTCATCAGGTGGGTCTGGCCATTTATAGCCAAAACGACCTAAAAGATCCTCAATTCGCCAGGAGATAGATATAGCGCAGCAGACAATAAGACCAATGATGCCCCCGGCGGTCGAAAGTAGGCCTAAATAACCATGATCGTAGCTAAAATCGGAAGTGTTCACCCGGTGTAGTGCTGCAATACGCAGTGCCGTGATGCTTGTAACTCTAAAACTTGTTTAGTAATCCACTTGTACAAGTAATAGAGATGATGGAAATGCAATTTTCCTTACCCAATTTCCTACTTACAGCCCACTCACACATAATATCGCGAGAACTTTCGTTTTTTGCCATTTCGGTATCTGTATCTTCAGTGTTGGACTTATAGGAATGGCTGTGATCGCGATATCTAAGAGCAGGCCACCAGATTCGAGGCAGACAAACGCCACCTTCTGGTTACCGCACGATCCGGGGACGTCTAGGTACGACGCCTGTATAGGTCGGCATATGAATGCTGCCGTGAATATTGCCGCTAGGCCATGTATTTGAGTGATGAGAATGGTGATGTAGATGATATGCATGATATGGCCCCATGTACGCATAAATACTTTACGAAGGAGTAGTAAAGCAGAAATCCGCATCAGCGTGTTCTCGAATGACCACAAAGTCTCGTTAGCAAGCAACGACTTAACCCGCGCTCTACATATCAGCGGGATGTTATTCGTTAGATCTTTGGTATCCTGAATTCATACCTTGGCCATTGTTCCAAAGTCATTATTTTCAAGCTTCGAGACGTGTTGACCTAGCCCTTCTTGGATGATAGACCAAGTGACCTGGCCAACTAAGGCGAATGACAAAATGAATGCACAAATCGTTCCAATGTCGTCCCATCTGAACCGAATTCTCTTTTTCCAGCGCAAGTACACATGATCTACTGCCAATGCTAGAGCAAGACATAGGAGTACATATGTAAGAATAATGGTACGTAGAGCCACATCTGACAAGGTGTAATCCTTTTCCGAAGACATGGTCGGCGATTGAATAAGAAAGCGATTTCATCATTGAATTTGGATTTGTTTTATTCATAAGGAAGATAATATTATAATTTTCTTTTCCTTCGCTCGAGAAGTTGCAGGCGGCGTGGCTGTGCTTGCGGTTGGGCATCAACGCATCGCTCTGCTCACAAATGTTGTAAAGTGCAACTTGTTAGCTAAATACTCAAATCAACCTTACTGAAGGATTCGGCAATCAAAACTTCCGATGCTCATACAGGCAAATTTAAAAAAGCTGCCTCGTCTTAAAGCCTTTATCTCCACTCACCTACGTTCCTAGGAGGTGCTCCACTGAGACTCCTGCCATAAGAATCTGTGTATTAGTGCTCCTAATCATAGATATAGGATCCATAGAGAGGGCTACAAAGAGCTATTAAGCTTTCTTTTACTAGATTGATAACTTACTATAATACTAAAGTATCCTTACAATATAATAACACACTCTGCCTAGAGCGCCCTATTACGTTATATCAGGACTATAACCCGACAGCTCGCTCAAGAAATTGGAGCAGAACCTAATATATGAGATATACGATACACCTCCAAGCTGTTAATAAACGGCTCGCCGCGGACTCCGATCTTTATGGGCCGGGATGAATGCATATGAGCTGGGGTTCCATACTAGGTAATGCCCGGAATGACCACAATCACGCCTTTCTATAATTAGTCCAGCCCTGCCACAGACTCCAGGTTCACGTCCAGAGGACAGAGGTTAAGCGGTGTATCGCTTAGATTATGCCAAGCTTCGAAAAGACCCGTCCATCAATAAATCCGCCTTGCGTGATGTCATGATAGGGGGACATTGGCCCAGCGTCTGGGGGTGGTGTAAGGACTTTGGTATTTTCAAAATCGGCTGAAACTCGACAGATCAATGCTATAAAGATATCCTGACCCGACTCCGTGTTATTTCCTTCGAGTCTACCTCATCTACCACCAACACTACCTCGCTTCACCTACTCGGCATTTCTCAACGCCAACCACCATGTCTAGTCTTTTTCAACAACGAGCCCCCGAAGGCTGTCGCAGTGACGCCTACCCCTCCGGCATTGACAATACATTCAACCCTGAACTCAAGTTTGCCTGGACCGCCTGGACCAACGGCACCGAAATTGCTGTGAGAGCTTGCTGCGAAGACTCGCCGATTATTGTCTACAAAGAGTGCTGGCTCACATGCGAGCTTCCAGACAGCATCCAGAAGAATATCACGGAGGATGTCTCCGCAGCCATGGCTTTTAGTCGCTGTGTAAACCTGAACTGGCCAGAGAACACGGGTCGGCCCACCCTGTCATTCGGAGGCACAAGATCAGGCCCCGCGATGCCTTCTGCCGCGGTGCCCAACTTGGGCCACTTGATGCTCCTCGTTTTGGGCCTTCTTTGTCTCATGCGATAGAGAGGCAACTGATGGAGAAAACCGAAGTATATTGGACGACACGAACGGGGTTGTTCTACTTGTACACACGTTGATGACAGCGGGAAGAGCGAGGACAAGCGAAGGTAGAATATGTGGGTGTAATGTCATACAGTGTGCTGATAGACTTCCATCTCTCAAGCGAAGTTTTCTAATTAACTCTTGACTCACCCTTTTACGGTCTTGTGATTGATGTTTTGTATCTAACTGTCAACATATGATCCTCAAGATAGCGTCACCTCTAAATCAACGAAGAAGTGATGGCCCAGCGTAATTGGTACCAATTCTTTCCGGGACGAACCTCCTACTTGCACGATATCCCATCTACTAGCTATTCATTGTATTGAGTTTGTTGGGTCAGGGACGGCACTTCATCTTCTGACTCATAAGTAAAAGATAATATCTTGAGGCCCTGGAAAAAGAGTGAGTATAGAGTGAGCTTTACTGTAATTGCGTTTTTGCGTTTCCTAACTTACGTCAAATACCATTATGAGTTTTGTGAGATCAGAACCTCGAATAGAGTTGATTCATTTTGGAGACTTGTGGCCTAACCATGGCGAGGACGAGTCATCAACATAAACTACTCTCAGCCCGATCACGCCATAAAATCCAAGGCCAAACTCTAACCCTTTTATCTGCTTCTTGGCGACGGGAATTCGACTGCTGCAAACCTTTGGGTCGTATTGTAGTTCAATAAGGCAATCCTCGCCCATCACCTGAACTGAATCGAACCCAAGATGTTGGATGTCGTTATAGACTGAAAAGACCTGTTTGTTACTTAAATAATTTTCCGATTTCATTATTCGAGTAAATCCGATTGTTCTAATCCAGGCAAGGCTCTCTGAAGTCATTGTTAACGAAGAAAATAAACCATCCCCAACGCACTGAATAATATTCCCCACAAGCTCGACTGGGAGTCTTTTCATGATCGCATGAAGAAGTAAACCTAAGCTAGTGTCTTCTATGTCGGATAGAGATGAGAGGCCTGAAAACTCTTTCTTCTCGCTTCTCAAATGTCCCGTATTTTGCCAGGCCATGGCCGGACGGAGAGCCCTTGCTATCTGGCAGAATGATCGAATTGAAAGCCGAGGTAACTTGGTTGTGGCATATTGAAGACAGGGAACATGAACACAATTTGCTGTATTCTCAGGGTTATAGTTGGCCACCTCAGGATCATAGATGACCTTAAAACCAGCCTGCGATAGATTAAAGTGCAGCTTGTCCCCGATGTGAACTGACGATGAGCGGTTGGTTTCGAGGGGGATCAGGTATCCTTTACGAGTCAGATCCATTCCAGGGCTAGCGATCTCGAAGGCTGTGATATAAATTTTAATGCTTAGTGAGCCGTTCAAGTCACAATACCTTGTAGAGGGGCTGGGATGTCGTACAGCCAAGGACGTCCTCCTCCCAAGGCTCAGGAGCCTCCAGGACTTCAGAGCGATACTTTATTGTACTTCGGCAAAAAATGCAATATGGTTTGAGGAGAACATTGGTTTTGGGGTTAGAAGTGGCCATTCTTGAAGGTACCTGCGCGCGGTTTAGCACAATCATATATATTAACATAAACTAGGTTTGGTCGCCCCCCTCTGGAATATTATTCTAAGATGTTTGTGCCTGTCACGTACACTAATTTGTCCATGGAAGTCTTCACTTCAAGTAGGCCAAATAACGCATGGAGCGTCATTCATAAAATCCCGGCTACTCTTTACCCACCAAATTCCTCACTCATCAAGAACGGATGCTCGGCTAGGGTGAGCCAGAAATTGGACTCGAAATCCTGAACACTTGCGCTCCCCCAGGGGTTCCAGGTTTCTCCCTCTACTGGCGATGCATTCTCTGCTGCCGCCTCGACATTGCTCTGTGTTGCCCGGAACTGATCAAACCTGCCAGAGGAGAGTCTGTCGATAAGATTCTTGATAGTGCTCGTAGCGCCGGCTAGCAATGCGTAATTGGCATCTTCTTTGTAAACCAGCGTGCCCAGCTCGACCTCGGAAACGAGGACCGCCAGTTCCCGGAACACTTTGGAAGTATCCATTTCGACGCAGTCTGTAGCCGGGCCTTGTTGCAGGAGTGCGAGACAGATCACACCCGCGGCAGCAAGTCCATAATATACAACCTACAGTCATTCAATGTCAGCGCGGGCTCTTAGATGTCCACTGATCTGCTTACCTTCCACACTAGCGAGGTCCCAGAGTTTACAAGGCCTTCTCTCAACATCAACGCTTCCACTACCAGACTCAGCATCTGCCCAGCGACAGAGTTCAGCTCGGGATCCCAATCGGAAGTCCGACGGCGTAGTGCTTGCCGGAGTAAAAATAGAACGTGAAGGTAGTTGAGTTTTGTACCCAGCAACTTATCCAGCTCTACAGGGCTACAATCTTGCGACTTCATGGGCCCTTCCAGTTTGAAGTGAGCTGGCAAAGATTCCCACTGCAGGTCGGCCTCAGCTTTGATGACACTGCCCATTATTAGTCGCCACATTTCCTTCAAGGAAATGATCAGGGCTCTTACCTAGCTCTTCGAATCTTGTCTTCTTGGTTTTTCTCTCCCGATATATCAAGGATATCCTCCTTGAGCACTGCACATATTGCCGCCCATCGCGATTCTGCCTTTGAGTCGAATTTCGCATCCGGCGGCCACTCATGAGAGAAATAAGAATCAGGTCCGGTGCGACTAAACTGACAAAACTTTTGGTTGATCCGTGGAGGGCGTCCGAGGAAGATGGACACATTTTTATCGGCGGAATAGGAGACGGCAAACGTGGAACTCCGAAGAGCTTTCAGAAATTCCGGTATTGAGCTGCCGCCGTGGGTGTCCTGATGGTAACCGAGCGCAAACAAGGAGCTAGCAACATCACCCAGCCTTCTCCAGGCCTCAAAACCTAGAGCCAATTGTTAACGTGTGGCGTAGCGAAGTCGATGCAGCGAAACTTACTTTGGTCTCCATCAATGAGTGTATGCAGAATAAAGTTCTCGTATTGGAGCATAAGCTGCAAGTCGTTCAAGCAATCGAGCATGAGAGACATGTCAAGGCATCGATCGGCATAGTACATTGACAGCCTGCGCAGGTTTCTCCGCTGCTTCTCCGAATCAAAGGGAGGGTGATGGGAGCGGAATGTGAGAGCAGCTCTGGATACTGACATAAAAAATAGGCAGAGACTCTCCCATCTTGAGTTGTCGTTGGTAAACTGCGCCGTAAAGTCTTCAATAGTCGTGGACGAGTTCACGATAAGAGGCTGGCATGAATGAGTGAAAAGGTCGCGGGACACCTCGATGGCTGTTCGCGAACCCAGCTGAGCTCCAGTGAGAATCAACTCGGCGGATTCAGCGCATTGTTCTGTGAACGACTCAGTGAGGGCCAGATTAGCACCAGTGGCAAGCCATCCCTTTACGAGTCTGACACAGGCCGGAATGTGAGGAAATCGGTGAAGCTGCTCGATGAGTTCGGCTCCATGGGACACCTGGGCCTCATTAACCATGGCCTCGGAGATTGTCCCATTTTTGGGCGTCGCATTGAAGCCATCTCCATCTGCCGAATTTCCTCCCCCAAGAGGCAGCTGACCAAAAAGGGTCGTGTAACTGGATGACCCAAGATAGCCGGGGTTCGGATACCGGTTTGGCTTTTGCAACGGTCCACTAACCGGCGTGGAAGAGCTTGAAACGGTCTCGGACCGGTGTCTATGGACCGTTTGGTCATTCTTATTAATCTGGGGAGAAGGGCCGCCGCCAATTGTCCGCCTTGTCTTCTTGAACGGCCTTTGTCGGTATTCACAGCTTGAGCCTTGGGCTTTTGCGCGGCAGCGGCCACACACAGGCCTGACATGGTCGCAGGCCAACTTGGACGCCCTGCAGGGGTCGCAGGCCGGTAGCCTTGGCTGACTCGTCATTTTGGCGGCAAGGAAGCACACCTTTCGTATTAAACTCTGCGAGTGGCTTGTCAGCGTTCATGTGAAGTTGGTCGGTCGGAGAATCGGAAGGATTTTGATCTCCCTTGTTAGTGTTTCTCCGACCACTCCGAAGTCGTTAGCGCCTAACTACCCTACACCAGTTTGCCCTGGCTGATGGTGAACTACAAAACTTTCCAAGAGTATGCTTCGTTTTAATCTCTGCCAATTGTTAATAGCTCCTTCGTTCTAAATCTACGTTCTATGAACACTAACACAATATGTTGCATTTGAAGAAGGGTAGAGCAGGGAAGTGTACTTAGGTGGTGGAAATCACTGCCTAAGTTATATAGGTAGTCGTCACAGCAATTTCAACACCACCTGGAAGGTTGTTATGGATCCCTTTACATCTACTTGCAGATTTAACCTCTTTAAAATGGCCGTCAGGCCTGGGAAGATCAGAGAGCAGCCAGTCTAAAGAAACCAGAATCTTCTCAAATCGGTCTGCCAAGTAGGAAAACATCTTGTAGTAGACTGGTTAGCTTAGCACATCCATGTTGCGTCCTTTTGATTTTGGTGGGTGATCGATCCACCACCCAACGTCAACGTGACATCAGCATAGAAAAGCAAAAATACCCCGAATATCAAGCACCAAAAATAAAATGGAAAGAAGGCAAAAATTAAAAACATACAACAGCGGGTATTCGCTGGTCGTCACCGACCCAACTACTAATCCACCCCTCATCCATTTAACTAGGCGAGAGCGGACGGGATCGCGTGTTCTCGAATGGGTATGGTCGTATGTGTCTGTGATACGGCGAATGTGCTCTATATCCCTAGTCGGTAGTACATCTTTGGCAAAGATGCCAATTTCTCTGGTGTTGATAGGGCCGTCTCATGATGACGGCTTGGCTGGTATTGGTACTTCCCATGTCATTATTACGACTTGATGAGGTGGAGACGGATAAGAAGGAATGTGGATGGTAATTAGCTGCTACTTTGATATCGCGCTTGGCTGACTTCTACCTAAGATCATGAGGCATGTTCTTCAGTACAAGTCAAGATAGATCAAATTAAAGGGTCCGTGCTCCTGAACAGAATCGCCTTAAACAAAGCAAAGCAATGTCCATTAGATGATGAACTAAGTTAATCTACAGGAAGTACTAGCTCTGTTATGCTCTATTTTAATTGATATTTTTTCACACCTATCTCCATATGCTGAATCGCTGATAGATGCCATGACAAAGTCGGTTTTCATGGCCTTACTTAAAGACAAAATTTGGGATAAAGTCGTAGAAGACCAGTTTAAGCACTAGTTGGATCCTCTTAGTACGGTGCAGAAAAGGATACCATTAATAGCAAGCCTCTTAGTGAGTTGATTTGGGCTTTGGCAGTCTTGTATCCCTCAGACACAGCGCAGAGGCTAACATCGGAACCACCAAACAGATGCCTGTGATGGTCAGGAGCCGCTGGATGTATCGATAGCTTTCAATAATAGCTGTGCGCTCGGAAGAACCGACAGGAAAATTAGGAACCACGTATAAAGGCGATGCGTAGACTTGCTCCGCAAGCTGCGTGTTGGGAGCCAGGTCTTTTTGAAGTTGCGCGTACAAGGTCTGGGTCCAGATAGCACCCGAAACAGCGTTCCCGAGGGCCATTCCAACGTTGTTCATGGTGAGCATGATACTGGTCATCACTGCTATGTCCTCATGCTTGGTTAGGGCTTGAGCTGCGGCCAAATTGGGGTATGGGAAGAAACCGCCAGCCAAGCCCAGTAAAACCTGGCCGGCGATGACGCCCGCCTTTGCGCTTGGATCCGCGCCTCCGCGAAACTTGACGAGAAGACCGTATGCCAGAGTCCAGAGACCGATACCCCCAATAATGAAGGGTTTGAGTCTTCGGATTTTTCTGATAATTAAACCGAGAGAAACTCCCCCCAACACAGCGCAGAAGTTGTACACAGAGGCAATGCGTGTAGCATCAGCAATGCTGAAGTCAAATCCTACTAACAGAACGGTATAGAGGAAGTCGGCTTGCATGTACCAGGAAAAGGTCATGAAGACGGCCACACAAATCGCTGCCCAAATGCCTCTTTCCCGGAGGAGATACCTGGGCATCATTGGATGTGCGGTCTTCCATTCCCAAAGGGCAAAAATAAATACCATGACAAGGCCTAGAACTAGAGGTGTGATGATGCCGGCTGTCTTCCACTTCTGTTTCTCTCCTCCAGCTAGGGTGAGAGGGATGAGTGTGAGAGATAGAGTTGCAGTAAGAAGAAAGATGCCTACGATATCGAGTTTCCAGAAGAGATCTACCAGCACTTGCAATTTGTTCTTGCCCTTGGAGAGTGACAATTTAGCCTCGCCCGGAATTGTTTTTGAAGCGCGTCGTCCAACAATAGCCATGACTGCAATGAAGGGAATGGTGCAGATGGGATAAATGATACACCACATCCCAATACCCCATTGCCAAGTGGTGGTTCTCAGCACAGCTGCAACAACATCGCCGCTTATCCGCGCGTTGATAAGGTAAGGCATATTTGGTACAAAGACGAAAAAGACTCGGCTGCGGATTGAAGTGATATCGGCAATAGTTATCTCGAATACCAGGAGAGTGCATGTGTATCCGATCTGGTATAGAAGTGCACCGGCGGCAAAATGATCCGCTCTGGTGGCACACGTTTCGACGACTGTTCCGACAACGTAGAAAAGCGTAGCAATGATAAACAAAGGTAGGCGACCGAGTAAATCAGAGAGTTTGGCAACCAAAGGCTGGACCGCCGCGGCAATAACTCCGCGAATGACGTTGATGGTCGAGAGCAGCGAATGTTGAGAGTAGGAAGAAGTTGCATATCCTTGATACGTGGATCGAACAAGCCCATCTAGGCCGAAAGCATATCCTATGATGAAAATGCTGGAGAAAAGAACGTATCTCTCGGTGAGGGTTATGTGGTCGTTGAAAGCCTCCATATGGATAACTCCGGGGAGCTTTTCTTCTTGGCTTTCTGAATCACCTCGAATTGTGTCTTCACAAGGCTTGATATTCTGGCTAGAGGTCGGGTTAGCCCCCTCATTAGGATCGGAGGCCATGGTGAAAGCGTCGAAATGAGGGTTGCTGGGTTCTCCTAACGTGCTAGTCTTATAGAGCTCTACCAGAAGTAACCCAAATAAATATTTAAGGGAACCGAGCTGACATTTTGTATCTGAGTGCACCAGTCTCCTACTAGGTAAGTTCCTTTGGGTAAAATGGGGCAATGAGTATTAGCATTTGCCTGGAAGACTTGACTCTATGCGCGGTTTGTTTGCTCCTTCTTTTTTCATCTGGCCAGACAGACCCTTGCACGTACCACTAGGGAGAGATTTGGCGTACTGGCCGAGGAGGGTAGAATACACTACTAGGATCACCGGCACAGTAACGGCAAGGGGTCGAGTAGAGTCCTCGCCTAATTTCCTCCCTCCATCATGTATAACTGGTCATTACCAGCCCTAGTTGTGTATATTTGATGTAGATGGACTCGTTGAAATTTCAGACTAGCGGCTGGAGTGTGGCTGCTTCAACAGGATTGGCTCACTATCGAGCAGATTTACCCGTCTTTTCCATGAACCTTGGCGGTTGAGAGAAGCTTGCACTAGGAATCACACCAAGTGGAGATTTCGTATTTGATCTTATCAATCTCTACATCTCATGTGATGGGGCGGCGGCACTTCAATCGCCGAGAGCCGGATTTAGATTGTAGGTTGAGCGTGTCAGCCCATCTGCCCATGAACCGGGCTAACAATAACACCGACTCTGTAGAGAGACAAACATCCTAGTCAGTTGATCTAGCTACTTTCATATGAAGCTGTCGACCCAACAACGTAATTCGTAGCGTAGATGTGGGACATGCTTCATACCAAGTACTGAAGTGGGATACTTTTTGACGAATTCCCTATCATGGACGCGCAGGTGAGCATCTTCAATTTTGGACTAAAGTGTTGAATGAGTTGCTGGAGCTTCGGTCGTTGGTAGCTTTCTAATTTTGGCTCACTAATTGCCCCTGGAATTGAGTCGAGGGGTTACTTTGTTCATCTAAAGATAATTTCTGCCCTTGATAACTCTTTGATAATAATGAGTCTATGAACAAAGACTGGCTTGGCCCAAAATCAATCGTAGCTTTTCCAGCATGGTATCAAGTGGCTGAAATAAAACATGGCATACCAGAGCCTCCGTACAGCCTCAGATTTCGACACAATATCAAAATAATCAACTCATTTATTAATACAATATCAAGCTAAATAACATAGAATAATTTGTTATTTTATTGCTATGATCTGAAATAGTATTAACAACAGGCTGAGGTCTCCAGCCTGTACGAAAAGAGCTCTGGTTTGCCATGTTTTATTTCAGCTACCTACTTGATGTTTAATTGAAAATTTCTGTAGCACCCTCATTGCTCGTTCTGCTGGCACCGGCAGTCCCAATTTGTGCAGTCAACTGTTGTATATCATCTTCAAGAATAATAATAACCTTATCGAATTCTCGCGCCTGTATCATCTGGTCAATTCCGCGGTACCAAGAAGTCAATTCAAGTTGTCCCCATTCCTTTTTTTCACTGATCACATGTGCGAGCTGCAACCTGGCGCACGGCGCTTGTTTCTGGTCCACCAGCCTGATGATTGTGCGCAGCTGTTCACTTCGATGCTTTAGGTTTGCATATCGAATGAGGCAATATAGTTTCTGAGTATCTTGTTTTAGAGACCAACTAGCAGCCATCTCCTGGGGGTTTTGTATTGGACCAGGGTCGTGGATGGGGACGTGGTTCATCGGGGTGAGGCCATCAGCAGCGCGATGCTCGGTGTTGATGCCCAAGAAAACCGTAGGATCAAGGCTTGACAGGTATCGCAAAATCTCAACATCTGGAAACATAGCGACCATGTGGAGTATGTTTCTGGAGCTTTCATTCACCGGAAGCAGAGAAGCCCCAGCCTCAACTAGACATCGTAAAACTGGAAGGTTGCCTTTGGCGACTGCACGGAAAACGGGCGTGTCTCCATTTGAATCCCGAGAGTCAATGCTCACCCCTCTGCTCACCAGGAGAGACGATATTGTTTCTTTGATGGCTTCGAAACTGGTGTCCATTTCGCATCGGGCTAGTCGGTGTAGAGGTGTTTGTCCAAGCCAGCCACGAGCTGAGGCTGAAGCACCTGCTGCAACCAACGCAAGAACTGATCTCGGCTGGCAAAATTGAGCCGCATAGTGTATGGCTCGAAACTCGGTATGTGACCTTTGTTCAATGTTGCACTCGCTGTCTACTAAGAGACGGATACAGTCGATATGACCGTTCAATGCTGCAAACATGAGAGGTGTCAAACCGTCAAGATCGCATATGTTGACATCGGCTTCTGCCCAAATCAGCATTTTCAGGATTTCCAAGTCACCATCCATACTGGCGTAGTGTATGGGGGCCATTCCGTAACGATCTGGCTGATCAATTGCCCACGGCTCTTCCTCCAATGCCTCCATCATCTCTAGTTCCCCGAGGGCCGCCAAGTGTACCAGGGTTGTGTTGCACTGCGGCGCATCATCAATTAATGAAAGGACCCTGTTGAGGATGTCGATGTCATCCGCTTGGCAATGGCCCCAATCTAGAGCCTGGTGAATCTGGGAGGCCACTCTTCTGCGAATTGTTAGATCCGATATGTGCTCCTAGCGGTACGTGACTTACGTCGGCAGCCCTTGATTCGAAATCAAACTCTCCCATTTTAGAACAAGTTTCTCAACCACTTTGAATGAGCGGTAACTTATGGCGTACTACACTGCTTTAGATGCGCTTGATTGAAGCCTCAAAGGTTTTCTCACCTCAATTAATCCCTGCCCTGCTTCATTCTGGTCGTCGGGATAGAATGTAAGTTCGTCATCAAGAGCAGAGCCTGTTGTCGGTCTTTCTATGTGTCGCCATATAACGTGGTTGGAGTCGACGATCCGAGCTGGGCGCAGGGCAAAGCGCAAACCTGAGCTGCTGAAGGAGGCGTAGAGCAACAACACCCCAGCCCAAAGCCAATTTGGAAGCTTGTACTCAACATTTACCGAGGTTTCCGGTAGGCTCTTACGAGAACAGATTGGACAAGCAAAGCTTGAGCTCCCACTGTCACTGGAATGAGAAATTATCACTGTTCCGAGAAGTAGCTGTAAGATGACTGGCCCAGAATAGCGATATCGGTGTAGAAGAGGCCGGCATTGGCATTCCGGAGAACGTGCTGGTTGAAGTTCAACGGTACTTGAGGAGTTTTGACTTGAAGGCCCAGATTCAAAGGCAAATTTCTGGGCTGGAGGTATGAGAACTGGGATCCCACTTGGGCTCGGTGCCGAAGTATTCGGCGGTTCTCTACAAACGGCGATTGACTCTGATATCTTCTCTTGGATCTTGAGCTTCGCGTGTTGATGATTTCTCACCGTGTACCCGTCGACTCGTAAACGTAAATCCTCTGTGAAACATCTTCGTACACCCCTTGGAGATGGTATTATTGATGCGCCCTCCGAGTGAGGTCTGAGGAATTATATTAGTACTTCCGAGCACCACGGGCCTTTCTGAACGTTCTCACATATTCTTTGCTATGGATTGAAGGGATAATACAGTAGCAAGATGAAGATTAACGGCTACTTGGAGATTTTCTTTAGCGTCGCGGGCCTTGACAAGAAGCTTGGATATTCTGTTCTGCTTCAGCACCCATTTTCGCTTCCTTGCTAGGGATGCGGCCCCGTTGTTCGGATTGACTGCGCAATACGCGGAGATATCTTCGAGGTCATCCTTAATTTGTCGCAACTGGCTAGCTGCTCGGAAGATTGATCTTGGTTCAGCTACCTTTGGGGAGGATGGATTGCGAGGAAAAAGAACTGGCAGAGATTGCAGGTCCTGGGTAAGAGTATTGATCGTAATGATCTTGTGGCTTGTTTCTTAGAGAAATCCCTACAACAACCGTCCCCCACGGGGCACCTACCTCTTCTCTCAGGTTTGCAAAGTCCTCCTGGACCTCGGAGATCTGCCTCACAAAGCCCAAGGCTTTGAGTGACACCTCTAGAAGTGTTAAGCAGCTAGCGACGGCGCCAAGAGCCTCCATGTAGTGATGTTGAACGAATCTGGTGAAAACTCTAGTGGTTGGAACCAACGCTCATCGCCTTTAATAAATTCTCTTTAGGCTGCGTAGGGGATGGGGAATAGTTGCATTCTCAGCCTAAATAGACTGCAGGCTCGTAATGAGAAAGCTTGCATGCCTGAGCTGAGGGCCACTGCATATGCCAAGAGGCTGATTCTGCCTCGCGAAGCACCTCGGAAATACCGGCCAATAAGGGGTGCATCTCGAGCACGTTCTGGTCGATCACTTACGAATATTGTGCCGCGGTCATGTTAATGACGGCAGGCCCTTGGAAAATGCAAGATTCTATGGTCGCACGGAAAAAAACAAGGCAGGACTGGAGAGTGGCAAGTTGATGAAATAAAATATGGCACATAGAGATAGTTCAGTGTCGAATTTTAACACAATATTATAATAATCAACCTAATACTAAACATAATATCAGTGTAAATATCATAGAATAGTTTGTTATTTTTCTATTATTATATTTGGTTAAAAACAAGCTCCCTGCCCCTGCCTTACATGAAAAGAGCTTTGGTATGCTATGTTTCATTTCACCCACTTGAGTGGCCTAAGACCATGGCTCACCGAGGTATCACCAGCATTCGTTGACATATGCTTCTTGAGTCAATAAACCTATCGGAGGCTCATATTTCCCGATGAAGTTTTGAATCATGTCATGTGTTATCTCGTCTATGTGCTGCCTTACAAGCACCGCCAATAGCGATGTGACCGCTCACTGCGACCGGCCGACTGTCTTCCCTTCATCTAGTAGGCTGATGATTTCGCCATATCGTCCAGCATGTGCTAAAACATAATCTCGATCGATATCGCTAATGATACACCTATAAACTGTTCTGGAGAGGTATATATATCCTGCAATATTTGGCTGGAAGAAGTCCCAAAAATATAAGTCTTATATATAATCCTACTGGAGGATTCTAACTGGAGATAGACTCTTTCTCTTCTTCCCTCTCTATCCACTAGCCTTTCTATTTCTAGATCTAACTCATCACTCCGACTATCTCATAGTTCAATGCATGGCCTACTTGAGTGTTTACCTACCTGTAAGGAGGTGCATACCACTCTCCGCTGGAGGAGCGGACCCTAATTTTAGAAGTCTGCGCTGAACTCTGAGTAATCAAGTGCTATTATGCAACGCAATTAAACAAGGAGGACATGTATCAAGGTGTAGCCGATGGGTCAAGGCTTATTGTGGTTTGTATTGCTTATTTGTGGTATATCCCCTTCAACGTTGAGAAAATATATATCTCGCCCGCACATAACATTCGGTGGAAAGTCAAGCGTTCTATTGCTTAAGATGGAATCAGAGGCTCATGGCTAATCCTTCATGAGAGGTGCGTTATTCAGAGAATCCTTCTTCATGCTTTATCATTGGCTTATTAGCACGGTTTGGTTACAGCTTGCTTACTTGTAAGTATCTCCAGCCACGTCACAATGGATCCTGCGGCCCGCCAACTTCAGCATGACAATATACCCAACATGTGCAGTTTCTTTTTTCGAATCATGTCCACATAGAATACCTTCGCGGCGCTACCTCTTTTCTGACTCAGCCTCAAGCAGACATAGGTTATCCACGGAGTGCATGGAACACATTAGCTTAGAAGCCTTTGCACTTGAAATGAGTTTCTGATGGCTTATTGATGATAGGCCTGATGTAAAGACTTCAGTTCTCCTTCCGAAGCGAGTCGTTTTGGGTGGCCCTCTGGAAGTGTTATCTGCCTTATCGAGACCACTTGCTCCAAGAGCTTGATCGCATCTTCGATTCGCCCATCATCTCCGTAAGCACGTGCCAGTGCATGCTGTGATACTAAGCGGTCTGGGTGGCCAACTGCAAGAAGACCTGATTCAATAGAAACCACCTTCTCCAGCAGACTAACTGCCTCTTTAATCTGCCCATTATCACTGTAAGCACATGCGAGTGCATGCTGTGATACTAAGCGGTCTGGGTCGTCATCTGAAAGAAGACCTGATTCGATAGAAACCACCTCCTCCAGCAGACTAACTGCCTCTTTAATCTGCCCATTATCACTGTAAGCACATGCGAGTGCATGCTGCGATGCCAAGCGGGATGGGTGGTCCTCTGCAAGATTTAACTGGCTTGAGACCACCTTCTCCAGCAGACCAACTGCCTCTTTCATATGCCCATCATCACTATAAGCACATGCGAGTGTATGCTGCGATGCCAAGCGGTCTGGATGGTCCTCTGCAAGGTTTGACCGGATTGAGACCACCTTCTCCAGTAGGGTAATTGCCTCCTTTACCTGCCCGTTATCTTTATAAGCGCATGCGAGTTCATGTTGTGATGCCAGGCGGTCTGGGTCGTCCTCTGCAAGATTTGACCGGATTGAGACCACCTTCTCTAATAGACTAATTGCTTCTTTTACCTGCCCATTATTTCTATAAGCAATCGCTAGTGCAAGTTGTGATGTCAGGCGGTTTAGGCTGTCCTCTGCAAGAAGGTTTGATTTAATAAAAACTACCTTCTCTAGTAGATGAATTGCCTCTTTTATCTGCCCATCATCTTTGTAAGCACATGCGAGTACATGTTGTGATGATAAGCGGTCTAGGTCGTCCTCTGCGAGAGCTTCATTCCGGAATTGTAACACACGCTCAAGCACTTCAACTGCTTCTCGACCGCGCTTATCTTGATAAAGGGACTTGCCAGCTAGGTCACCTAAGCGGGACCCTTCATCGTCGAGCGTAGCAGCATTTTGCAGAGCCCGTAACGCATGAGGAAGATATTGCCTCCACACCTCACGAGTCTCCCAGTTGATAAATGGGAAGACCATGATCATTTGTGACATTGCTTCTCTTAAAGTATACTGATTTCCCCCGCGGCTGCTGTTCCACGTTCGAGTCACTAAGTGAACAAGGCTGTGCATGTCATATATACCCTCCTCCTTTCGTTGGGACAAGAATCCATATCCCAGAAGTATCCCAATAGCTCGGTATAGCTCGATCTCAGACTCCTCTGGAAATATGGATTTAGGGATTGCCTTTGGCTCGATCCAGGCTAGGAATAAGAGTAATCTGGTCGCGATTGGGTCAGTCTCGCTGATTTGATTGAAAGATACGAGCCAGGACGCAACCACAGCATTTGCGCTTTCAGGGTGTCTTGTCTCATCCCGAAACTCACTGCTGAGCAGCTCAACCATGTTCTCATCAGCCTGGCTGAGCAAGTCAAGATATTGAGCAATTGAAGCACTATTCTTGTTGATGTATGCTGCGGCTTGAGTAATTGCGAGAGGCAAATAAGTGAGTGCTTGTAAGAGGGCTCCCGTGGCGGTTTCATCTTCAATTAAGTCCTTCTTCTGGAGAGACTTTTCTAGAAACCCTTTCGCCTCCACCGGGGACATCTCAGGGATTCTGATGACCTCGCTGAGAGCAAGGTCACTGGCAATCTCTTGAGATCGTGTCGTAAATAGCATCAATCCGTCCCTGCTTTTGGGAAGGAAGTAATGTATAGGTTGTCCAAGGATTTGCGCATCGTCCACGTTGTCCAGAATAAGAACCCATTTCCCAGAAGCTTTGGAGCTTAGGTATTGCTGCACTACTGTCGTGGCATCATCAGTCGCAGAAGATTGATTAATGTCGCATTGTGTCATGATTTCCCGGCAAGATTGCTCAAAGCTGGCTTTGCTCAGCGCCGAAAGCCAAAAAACCGAAACTTCGGGCTTGTTCTCTTCGACCCAGAACGCAAATTGGATCGCGATCTGCGATTTACCGATGCCCCCCAGACCGACCAGGGCAACTCTGTTGTATCCGTTGTTGGTGAATAGGGTTGTTGAGATCTTAGATAGAATGTCGTCACGTCCTACGAAGCGGGGGTTCAACATGAATGGAATGCAAAAGAAGACTCGGTCTAAAAAAGGTAAGCAAAGGCAATCCAAAGAATTGGCCGGTTAGCCTACTTATTTCTGCCCTGGCTTCTAAAGAACGAGAGGCTGCAGTATTGGTGATTCTTGCAGCCGAGCTTGCCTCTACCGGTGGACGGTGGATGAAATGCTGTATAACAGTACGAATAGTTCGATAGCGGTCATCTTCCCTGCCTGTGCACTTGACCATTTGTTTATGGTCAGCATCGAGCGTCTCGACCTTCTCGAAAGCTTGGGGCAGGCCAAGTCTTGATGAGAAATCGTCAACAATCTAGAGAATGGTCAACATGCTGGTTCCGTAATTAAGTTCTTGAACAGATCGAACCTTCTCAACATGTCCTGGAATTGTCGACATGGGCCGCCCCTCCTGGAACGAATGAATTTGTAGCTGTGAATCATGCACAATATTTATGAATTCTTCATGTATCGTATCAAGCGCAAGACTGTTTACGTCGAGGGCCTCCACGAGCTTTATGTTCGGAGAATAGGCAAGGCGCGCCACCTTGGCTGCGGTCACGCCCCAGCCAGCAGCACGACTCCCACGATGCGGAGTGCCGAGAAAGACGATGAGCTTGGTCCTCGATCGGCATACTTGCGACTTTCGTATGGCCTGAAAAATCCCATGTTAGATTATAAACATGCCAAGATCAGGGAAATTAAATACCTCTTTGAGGATGATCCCCCCAAGACTGTGTGCAACAAAAATCACTGGAAGCTACGAAGCCTTAGCTAATGAAGTTCAACAGAACTTGGATGGGGAATGACCTCGTTGTTTATTTCCCGCTCAAACCGCCCAGCAAGGTCCCGGCCGTGCTGGAATACACTATTTTCATTGTTTGGCGTGAAAAGACCACTTATTACTTGCGAATTGTATCCGTACGTCCATACCATGGCTTCGGGGATATCGTGGGGCATGAACTCGTGTGGCCAAAAGGGACGGGGCTGTGGGCTGCTTGGCCCAGGACTGGATCGATCGGATCGGAGTCGGGACTTGTCGCGCTTGAAGAAAGTTTTGAGTCTCGATGTAGGTTTGGGAGGAGGATCCCGCTCGGTATCCCGGCCTTCGTCAGAGCCTCGGCCCCACGTATTCTGTGGATGGCCCCGAAGACCGTGGATGAAGATGATGCTTGGGACCGTCAGCAGAACTCTAGGGTACGGGGGGGGGTATTTCGACCAACTTCCATCGTGGCGGGTCGCTCCTTGCCACGTCCTTTCCGAGCAGAGTAAGACCGTTTCGATGAACGGTAACCATGATGAAGGAGGAGATCCATCTACTGCGGGTTGATGCTGCTGGTTGATGGCAGGTATCTTCAACGTAGGCAAGCGAGTGTTGATGCTGTTGTTAGCTCGCCGGCGGCTGGAGAAACATCGGCACTTCAGCCCAATCATGATGCCCAAGCTGAGCGAACCGCCACGCGTGGTTCGCTTTATTCAGTACATTTATTTATGCCGAGTGACGCAGCCTAGAACGCCACCTTGGCATGGCGTGGGAATGTAGTAACAAGAGTGGAAGACACCGAAATTTTGTTGTTCAGCTGTGAGGGCAATAGGACGGCGAAGGGCGATCGGGTGATTCCAGTCTCTCAGCATAGCAAAGGAAAATTTACCAGGGACTCGCCCGACATAGCTTAAAGATATAGGTTATTGGTAAGGGAAAAAAATGATCTGGATGCATGAACGGGTTCTATCATAGGAAGAACTGGGTTGATTTGAGTTATCGCACGGGAGAGAAATTAAAATAAAGAGATGTATCTAGCCAAGTGGGTGACCGGAGAAATGGGACACCCAACGGAAGGGTGGTTATTAATCGACTGCTCTGCAATGAATACCTGGAGAGATTCAGTAGTATCAAAGAGAAATATAGTGACAATATATGTGGTATTATATTTGATGTATTATTGGGACTCAATGATCTGATAATATCGGTCGCTGACTTGAGAATAAGCAGCTTAATGTTCGAGTATCTTAATTTCAATGTCACCCACTTGCGAGCCTATGGACCTTCCTTAAAAATGAATATCGCTCCCTCATCATTGCTTGTCTATATAATTCATGTGACTTAGAACATCCGTGACCAGACTCTCTTAGCCAGATATCCAAAATATCCATTGAAGCTTGGGATCATAAGAAGTCCCGCCTGAACAATAAAAAGCCAGACGGCGATCCAATCCGTGTCCGACTCGATGTTGTTCCGCTGGATGATCAGCTCCACCCAGAGGATAAGAGGCCAGGCAACGAGCAGCATGGCCGCCGAGCCGACGATGATCAGCGGGTAGCGAAGATTGGATATTGTCTTTAGGCCCTTGAGCAGAGACGTGGCCTTCTCCGATGCGCCGCGGTCGCGTCGCTCGATCTCCATGAAGATCGGGATGGCGAGGCACGCGATGACGGTGGTGAAGGCGAAGAAGGAGTCGCCAATCTGCCAGACGAGGATGAACTTGTGCCAGCCGTCGGTGAGGGTGCGCCAGCCGAAGAAGAAGAACTGGTACTCCCCGTAGCCGGCCTCCTGGTTGGTGGCCCAGGACATCCAGGCTGCGACCGTGTTGAGGATCATGACGCCGGCTGTGCCAAGGCCGAGAAGGATGCCCATCCAGATGTTGCCTGACGTTACGCCGCCGAGGTAGGAGATGGAGTATATGGTGTTGAAGTGGACGGGCAACAGGGAGAGGGCGTGGAGGTGGTGAGCCCTAACGTCATTGTACCACTTCAGTTGTTGGTACCAGTTGAAGGCGAGAAAGCCAAGACTGGTGAAGCCGCTGCTGTCATATCCTGCGACGGCCTGTGCGGGAGCCAGCAGCAGACTGGCGTAGATGAGCCCGCGATTGAGCACGCTGAAGCCGTCGACGGCATCAACAGTGTCGCTCATTTTGACCACTGGCGGGCGGAGACGTGGCTTCGAAGCTCAGTGCACACGAGGACACGAGATTAATTAAATGAAGCGCGATAGAAGCCGTCTCTGTATGGATTTGAATCGTAATTGTTAGTCGATCCTTGGACAGAATCTTGCGGCGGCTCGAGGCCAACTGGGGTCGGACGCACTTTTATCGCTGGGCTTCGGACCGTGCCTAGACAATCGCAGAGATCAACAGGCGCCAATCTCTCCCCTCAGTCTGTTCGCCCTGGCTGTATGGCAGAAGGGGCAGTGCATCCACTCAGTCTGTTAGGCAGTCTGGCAGTGCAACCAGACCCAGCAGCTGAAAAGACGTGTCCAATGGGGTGTTTTCGTGATCCCACTGAGCTGCATGATCCCTGTCTCGGCGCCTCGAGGCCGCTTTGGAGCCACAGCGAGTTCCACGTGAGGCAGCCATTGCCGATTGCTTCTTCTGTTGGGCGTCTGCCTTAGCGTTCAAGAAGGAGGGAGCAAAGGGGCTCGCCTACAGGTTCTGGCAGGGCTGTGCCACGCAAATGTGCTGCCGAACACCCGCTGGACCTCAGCCTTTCGAAGAGCTGCTGACCACCCCCTGCTGGTCCAAGATGAGGCCATCCCGTTTGTAGCTCGAGTCCTCTTCAGCTAAGCCCAGCCAAGCCTAAGCGGCTGAGAAAATGCAAGACAGACCCCTGTTCGACAAGCCCGAGACACTGTATTGCGCCACCTCGAGAGGACTCGCGATCTGGGCTTTACCCCGAGCACTAGAAGGTGACATGGATGGATAGGTTATTGACACGATACAAGGTCTCATCGGTTCCTCTTTGGAGGGCGAGTGTAAAGAATGATTCCAAGAAATATCTTGTCACTAGTGCATAACTAGGTACGAATTGTTGATGGCTTACTCAATGGGATCCTATAAGTGTCTGGTAATTTAGCATATCTCTACCTATCGAACTGGTTAAGCGGGGGAATGGCCCTTTTAACGCTTTAGTATACAGAAACCCTGCGTCCCACTTGGGTCATTTTAACTACAGTCAAACAACATATATTCATCTACCACTGAGCTCCCCAATACTCCACGAAAGGAGGTTCGTTACTTAATTCAGCCGGGCTTAGAGTTGGGAGAAGTAAGTTACGGAGATTCGCTGATAGAGTACGTAGGAGAAAGAAGATGAAGTTTAACAACAACGAAGCTGCCAGAGCCCGGAACAACTCAACGCAGTGAATATTCTCTCTTCTCTTTATAGCATCCGCCGAAGAGCCTCAGACTTAGCAGCCCGTTTGGGCTGTGGGCGTACATCGTGTTGTTCCCGTCGTCGTTTGCGACCTTTTGTTGATGTAGGCTTGGGGATTCCTATAACAGCACCCTCCACATTGGGTGATCGTGCCTCGTACCAATCACGAGGCTCAAGATCCAGATTTTCAATCGGTTTGCCAGCGCCTAGGCTTTTCTCAGTACATTATGCCAAGAGTTTAAATCGATCTTTATAGACTTACAGAATGAAGGTGCCCCTTCCTCCTCCTTCTCGTATTCTGATCTACTTGATACATTATCGACCGAGATGAGTGGAACTTGGCTTGTCTCGCTCTGGGACTGGCTTTCCAACGAATGATGAGAGATCGCGGATTGCGTAAGCGCTGGAACCTCATCCATAGTGAGGTCGACTACTTCTGCCGGTAGGCGAAGGACTTTGCACGTTTCCGAAAACAAGGCAATAGAGCCGGGCTCGTTGTGCTTGGTGATCATAGCAAAGTACTCTGAGCCCCGGTCCGAAGGAGTACGAGCCAAGTCCCGGTTGGACCATCATTGAGAAGCAAACGATTGGCTTGACGTCTTCCGTTGGCCCCTCTTGTAATTTTCTGCAAGGTAGGTTCTTTGTATTGACTGTGTGTCAGAAGCAAAGTGTTAGTATATGGCACAAATGCTTCATGGGGAAAGATTCAACTGACACTCGGTGGAGAGGAGGCGGTCGTGAAGTTTTCGGCAACTGGCCTCATGATGTAGCTGTACATTTATCGCTGCTACTTGGCACCATGACGAGAAGCGATTCCATTCTAGAATGAGCTCGTTCGCATTACCCGACGGAGCTTGCTGTAGCGTGACACTATTGTTGACGTTGGTAAATTCTAACAGCCTCTGAACAGCATAGTTGGTGACCTTTCTCTTGTCCCATTCTACGGTGTCCCATTCTACGGTGCCCTCTTTGCTTCTAAGGAATTTGTCTTCTGGTATCTGGTCAATAAGCTCCCTGACAAGCCATTGGGCAGCATGGAAGAGCACATCGCTTTCTGGAACGTCGCTGGATAGTTTGAGTTCGCTCACTACCTGTTCACTATCGAGCCATCTCTCGTGAATCTTGAATTTAGAATCTTTGAGATAAGTGTGGAGGTGGAGCTGGCCCGCCCGGACAAACACCAAGTCGATATTGTCCAGGCCAGGTATTCCTTGTAAGCATGAGCGAAGAAGCCTGTCGAGACTCTCGGCAAATTTGTTCGCCGGTGATACCATTGCGATTCTCGACTTCATAAACCGGTCCTCCTGCTCTTCCTTTGCAGTACGGATGAGATGGAATCTGGCCAAAACCCACCAGTAAGAACCAGGAAGCCTAGATCCGGTCCCGGCCAATCCCTGCATGATTATCTTGAGGCGAGGATCCTATAACGTGACATACTTGGTTAGGTAGCTGAAAATACAGATTTGGAAAGTGTGTGCTAATAAGTGGTCATACACATACCTTGGACATCTCTTCATCGGAATAGTACCATTTAGCCCGATCATAAAAGAGATGATCTCTCAATCTATGTGCCGAGTCAATCCCCATAAGCGACTCAGCCAAGTGCACGTCCGCAAATGGATTCGTGGAGACAAGCATGCCATGAAGGGCCGCAATGAGATTTGGTTTCAGTTGCAACACGTCATTCCAGATGTTGAGGATTGTCCGGTATTCTTCGATTGAGTGTGTGCGAGATTGTCTGTCTCGGTTGGTTTCGCCATGTCGAAAATTGTATGCATACTTGAGTTTTAGTCCTGACACGCTTGCGGATCCACCTGGGCTAAACTCCTTGAGCAAGAGGCCTTTCAGGTAGAGGTTTCCCCGGACTGAGCCGTCGAGGATAAGGTCGCCGTACTCTGTTGTAATGATTGTTTTCTCCTGGTTGGGAAGGTCACTCAGGAACAAAGCTGAGCGGCACCACTTATTGAAAGCCCCCAACTTGACGTGCTTGCGTTGTGTGGATTTACCATTCCGATTTCTCCCCTTGCCCTTTTCGCCAATGAAGAATCTGACGTCATGATAGGGAGACGCCTGAAAAGGAACAGCATTATCATCCTTGAGCTTCTTTGTAGACTTCTTTTCTTTGATGATGGCTTCTCGCTGCATCTTATCGAGCCTCGCGACGAGCTTGCCAGCCGTGGTAAAGTTGAAGTTCCATGTGGTGTTGCCGCTAATGCAACGGACGCGAAAGTTTTGGCGTAAGAAAACCAATAGAGCGAGTTTCAAGCCTTCCCCGTGGAAACCAGCTTGACTGTCGTCCCGCGTTTTGTCACTTTGCCCAAAGTCTAGGTGTTTTGGCTGCAGGGACGCGGCCCGATTGGTGATTTCGATGATGCCTCCGAAAAACCGGATGAAACCCATGCAGGAATCATGATCAGGAACTCCAGGAGCTTTTTTTAGTGCCTTGAATAGTATTTCGTCTTTCTGATCGGTCGACTTGTTTTCTTTAACAACGTGAAACTGCGTCTCTTTCAGGTTGAATGATCGAACGATGCCGTCTCTCCTGTAGTGCCGCCCAGTAATTAGAGCCCATGCCAGCTGCAGAGCCTGCAGGGACAGGGTTAGAAAGACGTACCAGTTTTGCACAAGCTCACGGAAGGCTGATGAGGTATTCCAGCTCGGGCTGTAGTTGGATGGAATGGAAAAACAGATGGTGAGGCTCTTTTCGATGGAGCTTAGTGTTGTTCCCTCTTGTTCTACGTCGAGGGACTCGCTCTCGCAGCCGGCAGCCTCCAAGGTAGAAGTCTCGAGGTCTTCAGCGACCTGATGACTGGTGGGTTCGTTCGCCATCGTGCGGTGACGATCTTTGGTAGATGAGGAGACCCAAAATCCAGAGATGCAAGAGGAGAAAATAACATTGAAAGGGCGGATGCCTGAGGTTCAACCTCCTACAGGCGCAGGTCGCAGCAACACAACTATAGGTACCTCCAGGGAGGTACCTTATCAATCAACTGCATGTTGTCAACACGGCACGCAGATTTCATGCACCGAACAAATTTGTTGTGCAACCCATTTTGGAGAGGAAAGGCTCGCTATGGTCTGTATTTGTGTCATATTGTGTGCATTAGCTTCGTATTGCTGGCTTTACTTAGGTTGACACCTAAGTCAGGCTGTAAGCAATATATATCCACGTACAAACTGATCTGCATTCGCTTCTGCAAGATGAAGTTATCCTGTATACTTAATTGGTGGTTTTCATCTTAACCGTTGACGAGCCGTGTTGCTTCAACCCTAAGCGGGATATTTGGAGGCCATCATTAAGGCAAAGGAGCCTTGATCAGCATTGATTCGGGATCACCTGCTTCAAACGTCATAGTAGTCTAAAGCAAAATCATAGACAAAACACGCCAAAAAGATTGGTGATGATACAATTTCAGAATGAACACCTGACGAGGAAAGCCCGCAACAATTAGGGCCTGGTCCCAACACATGACCATGAAATGCCACCAACATTGTGGTGTTACTGAATTTGCTAAAGAAACTTACCTAGCCTTAGTACAGCCAACGGCAAAATAGAAATGGCCCAATATAATATTAGGCCACAGAGCTACAATTTGTTACCATAAGCGGAAACATCTGAGGATTTTTTCTAAACTGCTTGCACGACTTGTCTCTGCTCCAATGACACAACAAGAAAACGGTTACACGCCGGAAAGAGAGGGTTGGAAGGTTGTTTAGTTTCGGTCGAGATAACAGATAGGAAACTGCATATAGCAAGTAGACACAGGGAAATAAGTCAAGAGCGGAAGTAACAAATTACCATTTGGCACCTGCAAAACTGACCGAGATATAACAATTCCTGTATGCTTACACTGGTATGATTCTCAGACGAGTGTCTACGGGCTAGATAGGCTTGCTGGTGTTGGTCTTTCAAAGAACAATCTGTCCAAATCTGCTAGATCAAGCGTAGGAATCCCGCGGGTAGACCACCGGGGGAAGATCTAGCCAAAAATACGACCATGATTTGGTCACCGCATACTTTCTCTCTTGCGGCATCTTTCTCATTCCTTTCTGGTGGCCCAGGTGTGTATTCCCATCCCCGGAAAATATACAAGCCATGGCCCTCTCTCGATTCATTGGCCACACAATCAATGGTGATTTGTTCATCAGGTACGTCTTGGCCGTCTACCGTGACCTGGATTGCGGGTGGACGGTCGCTGCCAGTCGAATTAACATGAATTGTTCCCGCAAACTCAACTCGTAATACTGCTGTTTCCGTGGCACGTGTGGAAGTACATTTGGTGACTCGGAGCTGTGGCCTAGTCTTGATTGAAATATTCTTAGGCGACAATTGGATGAAATCCGACGGCAGCGCCGGAGTGTGTGGTGGAGGGCTTCTTAGTTTCGTCTGCGTCTCAAATGCGTTTGCCCACTTCAACAGATTTGCGTCGTCGAATCCATGGCCGGCAAATGTCAACCCAATGGGCATGTCTTTGCCTGGTATCATCCCCATTGGGACGGTCACGGTTGGGATGCCCAGATGGCGCAGAGCCCTGTTCCCGGTGCTGTAGAAAACACCATTAGCCCAGGCGTGGACAGCATGAGTTGAGTCAACGTCGGCATCAGCAGACCCAACGTCTCCAGCTGCCGGGAAAACGAAACAGTCACACCCGTAACGTTCAAGATAGTCATCTGAGAGCTGTTTGCGCATCGACTCGAGTGCTATAGAGGCAGCATCTAGATTCTTGATATCGAACATTGAACCGGTGCCCTCTCTTACATATCCGGCAAGCTTGCCCCAATGAATGACATTTTGTGTTGGCTGGTTTTCAACCTCGGCTGGTGTTCGCAGTGAATCTGGATAAATGTTGAGTTCATCGACACTGGCTAAGTTCGGAGTATTTGGATCTCCGTTTGAGCGGAGAAAGAGGTCCCAGCCATGTGCGATAAGCGGCCCCTTTTCAGTCCATTGCCATTTATTAGGCAGTCCTGTGACGCCTTGTAGCAACTCAGGGTTCTCGTAGGCTGTGACAGCAGGAAAGTCGGGCACCAGTACAATCTCGGCTCCAAGAGACTCAAGCTTCTTTCTAGCCTCGCCCCAGACCGTGATCACGCCCTCACTGGTAGTGACTGGGAGTGCCCCCTCAGGGCTCTTGCCGCCGATGTACATCTCCGGGACTGCTATACGCAGACCCTTCAGTGATACTGAGTGGGAGATGTCTTGAAAGAGATTGGTGGAAGGCTTCCCTCCCCATGGCTCTGGAATAGACACGTATGGCTGGCTTCTCCAATAATCTCCTTCAGTAACTGGATCATTGGCAGCGATTACCTCAAGGAGCGTGAGCATATCACTCATTGTCCGAGTGTGTGGCACTACAACATCACAAGTTGGGTACAGGGGCCAGTTTCCCCGAATGGAGATCCAGCCCCTGGACGGTGTATATGCAACCAACGCGTTGTTGGAGGCCGGAGAACGCCCTGAGGATACAGTCTCCTCGCCCATCCCAAAGGCCGCGAAAGAAGCCGCCGTTGAAACACCGGACCCGTTCGACGAGCCGGAAGCAAAGGCAGCCGCCAGGAACTCTGGATTATAAGGGCTCTCTGCCCTGCCGTAGATTCCGCGTTGCATTCCACCATATGCCATCGACGGCATGTTTGTCTTTCCAATCAAAACTCCACCAGCTGCACGAATGCTGCTGACGGTAAAGGCATCCTCGTTGGAGATGAGATTCTTGAAAGCCGGGGATCCGCAGGAGACAGTCAGGCCCTTGACTTTGAAGCTGTCCTTGACGGTAAATGGAATACCTTCAAGGCGCCCTGCCTGACTGGAAGCACGACGGTCATCTGAGGCAGCAGCTTCCTCGAATACGTTGGGATTGAGGATGGGAATTGAGTTGAGGAGAGTGTTTCGGCAGTCATATTTCGAGATGCGACGTAGATACAAGGCGACAAGCTCAACTGACGATAAAAAGCCAGAGGACAGGGCGTCTTGCAGACTATCGATGTCAGCCTCCACGAGATTGAGCGTTGCCATGATGTGTTTATTGCCTAGACAGGTATCAAATATTGAATAATTGGCTACAGTATAGTGATCATGAGGGAGCAACATGCCCCCTCATGAACTTATCAATGATGTTCTCGTGAATTAGCAATAGTTTTCTCATGATATTTTTCAATAATACCATCGAAATAAGAAGAGACATTCCGATGGAAACCGAGCGAGCTGCCAACTCAACTCGCGGCCGATTTTCGCAGCGAGTGTCTATGCTGCAAGAAGGTCACCATCCGCAGCCCTCTTATTCGCCTGCCGTGCGGCTCCATTACTCGAATGCTCACTTGGCCGACGGCGGTGGCCAAACCTGGTTAGTTGGTGGTGTGATTACAGGGCGAGGATGAAATTGCTGTGTGAAAAAGGGGCCGCGGATTGCCGTCTCTCGCGCCAGTCCGTGGCCTCGCGGATTTCCGTTCCCCTCTCCCTCTATCCCGGTTCGGACTGACTCGTGCTCATTATTCTAGAACGTTTAGTGTGCGCATATCTCATAAGATAAAGATACGTCATTTGGAAAGTAAAAACCAAATAATAGCAAGGATTAGCCGACCATTTTTATGACTTGGTCGTGGAGATAATCCAGTGCTTTTGTGCCTAGTTCTCAGTCTTGCGCTCAGAAAGAATCGGTCTTCCGCCAGCAACGAAAACATGCCGCCTTCCCAAGCTGTCCAGCGCATTAGCATTCGCTGGCTCCCTGAGCCAGCATACGAAGATACCGACACGATTGCTTTGAATGTTGGTGGTTATTTCATTGACCTGCGGGTGGTCAAAGAAACAGGGTCAATCCAATGGAGTCGAGCTGGAGAACGTATTCTGCTTGAAGAGAATCCATGTGAGCTTATATTACTTACACTCTCCCAGGATGATGAACCAGCATACTGATGTATTCTGGAAGTAACGTTCCGTTGGACGCATATTATTGATTCTCTAGACCTCACTGTTCCGGATGAGGCGCACTTTGAAAAACTGCCGAACGGTGATGATTTGGAGATCGGATCCACTCCATGCCCTCATAAAGGAGGCGCTCTGACAGAATATGAGGAAGTCTGGAGAGACATCACGTCCAGAAAACAACCGGAAGATCCATCATGGATTCTACAGAGCGCCGATGGAACTACATTTATTGGCAGAGTTGGGACAATATACCTGGCCATCCGGAAAAGTGAGACAGGGAATTTTTCTGCAAGAAGGGAGGATTTGAGCTCGTCTAATCAAACTTGGGAAGTCACTTTCGAATCTGGTAAGGTGGAATTGCTTCCAAGGGCGAGTAGCGCTTTGAAACAGATTGGAGCAACTGAAAAGGTTGAGAATGGGACATTGCAAGTTGATGACATCAACTATATCGTCAAAGCATTCAGCAATGCGTAAATATATGGTTTATTTCCCATCGTAAAGTAAATTCAGTATTACATGAGGATAAACCCATAGCAATAATGAAACAATTTATCACTGTGTTTGCACGTATCTCAGGTCTTTGAGTCGGGTGATTTTACAACGTCGTGGAAATCTTGGAAGAGATGCCCGCATACAAGACTCTCCGTTGATCCGGACGTATCAGAATGAGCCCTGGGCAAGGATCATATGATAGATAAAAGAGTGACGACCCCTGCAACATGATTCGTACTCGATGACCCATGGAGTTTGATGAGCATGATATGTCCCCCATGGGGAACCGAGCATCCAATACCTTGCCTCCTCCCAGGACTCCCATCGGAAAACCGCTAGCGCCGGACTGACGCGAAGCCAGACATGACCGCCGGCGGACACATCAAGCCGAGTCAGTTTGTGGCAATTACCCTTATCAGAGTGTCTCTCAACCCCACATCGACCCCGGAGTTTGCTGGTGCTATCGTCTATCTTCGTCTAGTGGATCTAATTCACACACGGCTTTGATACCACTGTGCACAAGATTCGTCTAATCAACCGCTAGTACTTGAGGCTGGTCAGTGACCCAGGCTAGTAATTTTCATGGCCCGAAGGCCTGCTACATACATTCTCCAGGGCTATATGTTCTTCGTTTCATCCTTACTCTCAAGGCTTTGTTAACAGCAAGATCTTCATCACTTCTCGCAACAAATATTCTACCCTCTCCCGAAGGAAGCCCACTCCTCTACGATGGACAATTCTTCCCCCAAAACCGGCAATGGGTCGACAGAGAAGATAGATCCCAGTCTCGGTCGCAATGACATTGCCGACGAAACCATGAAAAATGGAACCGCCGACGATAATGGCGAGGTATTCAACCAGGCCGAATTCCGCGCCCTAGGATGGTGAGAACCTATGGAATTGATATCACGACCAATGAGGTTTTTATCCATTGACACATCCGATTTGAACAGGATCCGGACTGCTATCATTCTTATGAAGCTTTGCTTCGCCACTGGCGTACTTACAATCCCGTCAGCATTCAGTGTTGTTGGTTATGGGCCTGGAATCGTCCTGCTCTTCTGCTGGAGCGCAATGACAACATGTATGATCACATTTGCTTAAGGTATACGAGCTATTCTAACGTTCGCCATTGCAGACTACGCGTATGTAATGTACGCTTTCCGAATGAAGTATCCTGGAGTGCACAGCATCGCGGATGCTGCAGCGATTGTTGGGGGTCCGATTTACCGAGAGGTAGCATGCTTTCTTTTCCTCCTTTGCTGGATGTAGGTTTCACACCTTTATATGTTTCGCCTCGTGATGCTCTTCTGACTCTTTCTAGTCTCGCCTCAGGATCAGTTTTCATCGGACTTGCCCAGGGTCTTAAGATTCTTGCTGGTGGCAGAGGTTGCAGTGTGGTTTGGACACTCGTGGCTGCCACTTGCTCCGCCATTGCTTCGAGTATCCCGACTCTCGGCAAGCTATCCTTTCTTGCCTGGATCGGCTTTGCGTCTATCTTCACGGCTGTCTTCATTGTGGTGTGAGTAACCAAAGCTTTCTAGCTTGGGAGCAAGCATTGGGAGCTATACAATCCTAACTAAACGTTGTGTAGAGTCGGAGTTACCCAAGTTGATAGACCTGCGGCAGCTCCCCAGACAGGTGATTTCGTTCTTGAAGTTGTTTCGGTCGCCAGCCCTGGATTTGTAGCTGGGCTGACTGCAGCGATCAACCTTTTCGGTGAGTTTTATTCCTATTGTCGGAGACTTTTTTAACCATTTTATAGCTGGATACGCCTCGACTCCAACCTTCATTCCCGTCATTGCCGAGATGAAGGTGCCCGGATCTTTCCCCAGGGCACTATTTAGCTCTCAGGCTCTTCTGGTGGCGTGCTATGTATCATTCGGAATGGTTGTTTACTTGTAAGTGGCTGTATCCTTCCCAAAGGCGCGCCAGTTATTGACGGGTTGCACTTCTAGCTACTGCGGACAGTACGTGGCCAGCCCGTCGTTAGCCAGTGCTGGAGGTCTGATTGAGAAAGTCGCATACGGGATCTCAATTCCCGGTTTCATCATGACCTCGACTTTATGGATTCATCTTTCTGCTAAATTTGTGAGTGTTATTAAGCGATCTTGAGAGTATCTTACTCACACAATGCAGCTTCTTGTCCGAATCCTCCGCAACTCCGAGCATCTGCAAAGCCATACGGTGATTCACTGGGCTACCTGGTTGTGAGTTCTTTACTCTTACTACTTACTGTAATTCTCTCGAGCTATTAGCTAATATGCTTCAAGTGGCTCAACAGTGGGAATCAGCGCAATTGCCTTTGTAATTGCCGTTGGAATCCCATTCTTCAGTTACCTCATTGGCCTGATCGGATCACTTTGCTGTGCACCAGCATGCGTAAGTTTTCACGCGATATCCTCCTTCTATTGTTTTCATTTCTAACAGTTTCAGTTCGTTATTCCTGCCACAATGGCAATTCATATGGATTGGGGAAATCACTCATCCAGCAAATCCAAGATGGCGCTGTTTGGGTTCCACGTGTTCACCGTTTGTCTTGGCTCATTTATGACGGTCGCCGGCTCATACACTAGCATCCAAAGCATCGTCAATGCTTATCGCCAAGGAACGGTCGGAAGTGCCTTCACATGCTAGGTAGATCTTTTGACGGTCGAAGATGGGCCGTGGTCGGGAATTCGTTGGTCAGCTGTTGCGAAGGAAACCAAATTGCTTGCTAAGGTTAAGGCGAGAAAGTGCCTTTAAATTTAACTTATATATCATATCATCAGTTCCTAATATAGTTATTTATTTTTGGAGTACCACTAAACTGAGAGGAAATTGTGAAAAAGAAAAGCATCTGGTACAGAAATTGAACGCTTTTGCAGATCTAAAGAGCTGCGCAATATCGTCTGATGATAATCATGGCAAACTAACCCTAGGAGTCGATCCTTTAAAATACTACTTTTTGTGTTAAAATGTCGAGTTTGGCATCTTCGCTATTTTTACTTCGTGCTCAAACTCTCTAATCTGCATCCTATTACAGTACCTACACAAGTGGGTGAAATAAAACATGGTATATCGAGATAGTTTAGTATGAAATTTCAACACAATATCATAATAAATAACCAAGTACTAAATACAATACCAAGCTAATATTTATAGAATAATCTATTATTCTCTTCCTATTATCTTGTTATTCTCTAATTATTTTGTTAAGTTAAAGAACGCGGTCACTGTGCCACGTTTTATTCCACCCACTTACAAAATAAAATACTCCCAGAAGGAGTTTTGTATAAATTGAAAGTTCAAGCGTCTTGTAACATCTATTTATTCATTTGAACTACAGCTTTTGGCCAAGATTGACATGGACAGCCTTAGACTGAGTGTACGCTTGGAGGGCATACTGCCCCAATTCTCTACCTATGCCCGATGATTTGTAACCCCCGAATGGAATACCGAAATGTGAATCACTGGAGGAATTGATGAATACCATACCTGATTGGAGTTTCCGAGCAACCCTGTGCGCCTTTCCTATGTTCTCCGTGAAAATAGCGGCAGCAAGACCATAGCAACTATCGTTTGCCTTGGCCATGACCTCCTCGACTGTGCTGAACTTTGAGATAACGGCGACGGGGCCAAATATCTCTTCTCTGACGATTTTCATATCTTCCGTGGTCTTTGTAGTAGTATGTGAGAAATGGGCAGTTCATCTCAGAGGCTGGCATGTGGATGACTTACGTCTGCGAATATGGTGGGCTCAATGAAATATCCCGTTTCCCCGTGCTTGACGCCACCATGCAGCAATCTGGCTCCTTCCTGTTTTCCCTGATCAATGTACCATAGAATTCTATCATACTGTGCCTTGGAAATCTGAGGGCCTTGCCAGGTGTTCTCGTGGAAGGGATCACCGATGCGATGGTGGTCCTTGGTAACCGCGACAAACTTCTCCAGGAAGCTTTCGTAAACGCTCTCCTGGACGTAAATCCTCGATGTCGATATGCATACCTAAATAATGCAAATTTAGCATATGTTATTAGAGTCAAGGGTCACAAGTCCCCCGGATTATCTTGCTTCTTACCTGTCCTTGATTGCTCATGATGCCAGTGTGACACCACTTAACCGCCTGGTCAACATCTGCGTCCTCAAAGACTATACTGGGATTCTTTCCTCCGCACTCTAGAGTGATATTCTTCAAATTTGAGGCTGCTGCTCTCATGATAGCGCGGCCCGTTTCTGTACTTCCAGTAAAGGCAATCTTGTCGACGTCCATATGTTCCGCAAGCACCTTGCCCGCTACTGATCCCAGCCCTGGGATGATGTTGACAACACCAGGAGGAAAGCCGGCTTCGGCCACAAGTTTACCAAAGTACAGAGCGGAGAGCGGTGTTTGTTCTGCAGGCTTCAATACCACGGTGTTGCCACAGGCCAGCGCGGGGGCGACCTTCCACGCAAGCATCATGAAAGGATAGTTCCTACATCTCTTCCTTAGCGCCGAAGACAGAAAGTCTGTGTTCCCTATACATACCATGGTATTATCTGACCACACACTCCCATGGGTTCCTGTACAACATAGGCCAGTTTGGCCGGAGTGGTTTCGATGGTTTGTCCACAGATCTTGTCAGCCGCACCAGCGTAGTATTTAAACACGTTGCATGACGCATTAATGTCAACATCCAGGGCGACAGAGTACGGCTTAACATGGAGGCGTGAGATTTGAGGTCGAACGATTTGGGGAGTACTGGGAGGAGTTCTTACCTTGCCATTATCCAGAGCGTCAATGCTTGCGAGGAGCTTCCGATCTCGGTGAATAAGTTCGGAAAGTTTAAGAAGCAGGTTTCCACGCTCGAGAGCCGGAAATTCCGACCAGGTTCCCTCGAAAGCTTTTCGGGCTGCTTTCACGGCAGTGTTGACATCTTGCTCGGAAGCGCCCTGGAGAGTAATGATGGGCTCATCGAGTCTAACCCATCATATTAGCACAGCTCGTCTCAATTTTCACAAATGTCATTTCGACGAGTTTTAGACGTACGAAGGATTGAGAACCGTGAAATCATCCCCCGATCCCGGGATATATTGATTGTCAATAAAGAGACCAGTGGGCTGGTTGTATCTCAACCCATTGGGCAGAAGGATCTCGACAGGTGCTGCCATGGTGAGTGAAGGCCCAGGGCTGAGACTTGGAAATTTCAGAGGACTCAATGCTATCGAGGTAGACCACTTCCATAATATCATCTTTTAATGGCCCGGGTCAACTCCCTTCCAAAAGCAGTAAGCTGGTGGTGCGGCCGTGCCAAGCTAAACCACGGCCGTGGCGAATCACCGACGGTGGGTCAGTCCTTGGCTTGAGGCGGCGGATTCAAGCTGGGACGGGAATCCGCGAGAGTCGGAAATCCGCGCGTTGACTAAATTTACGCTCGTAGTCTTACCATACACTAATGACAATAGTTGGGAGGAAGGTATGCGATTCGGCGATGATCTGATATCCATAATGACTTCCAAGAAAAAAATAAAAGGAAAAAAACCCTAAGTCATGTTGTATCGTTCCCAAACCTCCTCGAATATGATAGATTGCCCAGTCAAGAGATTCTCGTGGTCTGTTTCCAACGTCGAGAGTACACCCAGACATCTTTGAAGAGACATATTCTTTCGATGTCTCTCACCACCTGTCGCCAGATTCTGGTTGACTAGAGAATTCAATCCGACTTGGAGGACCAAATGGCCTGCAGTCCAATTCATTGGGAAAATAAAGATTGGCTCGCTTTCCGCATTTGTCTCGCCTAGATTCCCGAGGAGCTGCTGCTGTCGCGCCAACGTCAGGCAAGCCTTTGAAATTTTATCGCAGATAGTTGACGGGTGGCCGCCCGGTGTAGGCCATAGCATAGATATCATGTAGAGGCCTTGGGCATAGTTTAGTTCAGCCCATGGCGTCAACACGCGCTTGACCTGCTCATCCTCTATGGTTTCGAGAGCCTTCGTCCACCTTACCAACCATTCATCAAGCTCGCGGCGGTATACCTGTGAGTCGCTCTTCGCGCCGATGTATTCTCGTGCTAGCCTCCCCATGTACACTTCTGTTTTAAGAAGGCAGCTATGGGTCTTCATTTTTAAAAACGATATTAGATAAAAATGTATGGATATCATTTCTTCGAGAGATCTTTTAGATCTCTCCATGAGCTCCTTTTGCACAGATTTAGAGTTAAGATATGGGTTTTCCAAGGACAGGGCAGGCTTACCTTTCGAAGGCTATCACCTATAATCAAAAGGCTTGGTCTTCCGAATGCGATGGACACTTGGCTACACACAATGCTTAGTTGTAGGAAAGCTGCGCAGCAACACCGTGGGAGAGTCTCACCTTTCCAACGTATAAAGCGTTCTCGTAAGCATGCAAAATAAATCATGGTCCTTGTCTTCGTCTTCAGACGGCAGATGGGATAAGTCAAAGAACAGGCGGATGCCGAACCCCAAATGTCTCCAGACGTCGCCAGAACTTGGGCTCAGAATTAAATAAACGCAAATGAGGAGCGTACGTTGGAGTAGCTGTATATTATTAGGCCGTGAGGAGTGATTACAGGTAGTGTCCAAGTTCGATAAGGTTTCGTGGAAATATAAAGGGGCCCAGCAGGCGAATGATGGCTCCTTCTTCTTCCTCACTTGACAGGCGATGGCCACGACCAAGTAGATGATATTTTGATCGCCGTCAAAATTGAGCTCGGCATCCTCACCGCGGTAGCTAGCATAAATTCTTTCCAGGCAAGACTCATCTAGGATGGGGAAGAATGCGTTGGCTGATTGACTGTAGAGTTGGACGAGCGAAAGCTCCACCGACATTGGCAACCGCTTCAGCTCGAATCCAGGAGTATTTTCGTTCGCCCCTGTCTGAGAAGCTCCTATCATCGATGGAAGCTCCCAGCTTGTGAAGTTGCTAAGGAGCTCCCTGAGACATCCCAATGAAGACCACGGGCCAAAGAAATGGAAAGAAGATTTTTCTTCGTCGTGTTGTTCCGGCCATCCCATAAGCCGATCAGTCTGTTGTTTTTTCAAAATAACAGCGCGTCGAGGGCAATTTCGTAGCCTCGAGGTTTGTCCCTGGCTTTGGGTTTGAGATAGCAGCCCTAACTGCAACTCAAACTCTTTCACTCTTTCAGCCAATGAGAACATATCGCTATAATTCACACTTGTTAATCGAAGACTATTTGCTAATAAAAACCGCCCACTTACCTTAGAGGGACGTTCTTTAATAACACAGGGTCGAAGACGGCACATTTCCGGTTGGCTCTTTGGCATTCCCTACAAGCAGGCAATTGTCGGTGGCACTTGACGCGACGATCTCTGCAGTGGCTGCAGGCCGGAAGAATCTCGATGAGCTGAGTGAAGTCCAATCGATCTTCACTGGAGTCCGTCGCCATCTCAGGGGTGGTCACCGGATCTGACGCTGGAATCAACGGTAAACTTTGAGCGCTGTTGTTTGCGTCCGCAATCTCAGATGGATCAAAATAATCGCCCATGTCGAAATCCTCGTTAATGAAGTCCTTCCACCAGGCTTCATCTTCGAGAAAACCAGGGCTTGTCTCATTGTTGGTCACCTGTGCTGGTTTTCTTGAGACAGAGATATTTCGATGATATATGCTGTGAATCCGTCGCTGAGTGACCAAGCAGTCAAGCTCTTTCAATACGTTTAAGTCATATGCAGATCTCTGGCTTTCAGCGCTTAGACTGGTTTCGATGAGTTCTTTGATGTACTGGGCTGTGTCAAAAGTCGCCGGCCATCGTTCTGAGAGGGTAAACTACAGTGAAATCAGTACAGTTTTCCACATATTTAGCGGTCATCCCACATACAAGAAGCTGAACTAGGTTGTCAAGAGCCTCCTGAGCTTTAATTCGCAATGACGCTTGTTGTAGCTCAGAAGTATGATTCCTTAGTGCATATAGTATCACCACACCAGCTTGGAAAGCGCTATTTGCTATTTCAAAAGTGCCGATGAGGCCGCCTGCCATAGTGCTTTCTAGAGAAGTATTGATGAGTTGTATTGATGCAGACGCTGCAGCAATTAGGGACGAAGTAGAAACAGAAATGTTCCGCGAGCAAGGTCGATGGAGAAGGACTTGACATTGCTGGGCCGCAGATACTAGCCATGATGTAGCAAAACCATCAGCTGTGATCTGATTAACTAGATTTTGAATAGAGTCTTTAGTGTTTTGAACCCAAGTGTCATAATCAGCTGCGCTCTCAGGTATGTTCTGGTCGAAAAATTGGACGCCGTGAATTTCGGATTGGATTATGCAAACGCGGACATGGATCAGAAATTGTTTTTCCTTATTCAGATGCGATACTCTCTGAATAAATTGCTCAAGGTCTCCATGGGGGTCACCGCCGTTGAAAGGTAGCTGCGTCGTGATGTGGTCATCACTCAATGCAATAGGACAACCAGCAGCAATGGCAACAGTTCTCTCAAGTTGATACGTCTAAAAGCATGAGCACCCAGTTCTTGTCAGATACGGTACTGAAGTATCGAGCACTCTAAGCTACTTACCAACCAAAATAATGCCCTTCGTTGCTCCAGAAGCGTGGGATCCTGGTCCGTGGCGTTGCCAAGCTCTTCATGAAGTCCCAGACTGATGGCCATGCGAACGGCTTCACCGCTCAAATACCACAGGTTGCTGGTGTGTGGGAGAAGCAGTGCTAATTGAATAAGCAATAGCAAGCAACGCAATGTCATCAGAGAGGCGTGCTGGATGAAGCTTTTGTGACGCATCGCATCCGCATGCAAGGACTCGCTGAGCGCCGCAACTCGTCGGAAATCTTGTCTCTTGGAAGTGAGAGAGCTTATGGCCAAGACTAAACTGACAATGAACGCAGTCTCGTCAGACATCTCTTTACCAAAGTTCAAGGGGTCGTAGAATAAATCGAATCTCTTGGAAAGTTCGTCCTCCGGGAAGCAAGGGAAACGGGGAAGAATATTATCCTTGTAATTATCGAAGAGTCGCTGAGCCACATCAAGCGGAATCTTGCTAGCATTAAAAGAAGCAAACCTTGGTGCATACTCTAATCCGGCAGTGCGGGGATAGATGTCATGGTAAATGCCATGAACTGGGATTTTGAGAGGTGGCCGTTCTGAGGGATAGAAGAGTTTCGCTTGATGTTGTAAGACAACATGTGACCGGAAAAGATTCGAGGTGAACCGGTTGGTGATGGAAAGTGACACGACTTCGAGAACATGGGAATGGCTCGCATCAGCTTCATCGCCGTCGGAGGCAGTTGCAACGCCATCCTTTTGGTGGTTTGATTTAATCCGTTGCAGCTCGGCCAAGCGCTGTTCTAGGTATTGGATAGGGCTTGGAGAGACTTGTTAGTACCAGCACATCTTGCGATAACATCCAGGGACAATCTAGGCAAACCTTCGAGGAACTTCGGCTGTTGTCTGTCGATTAATCGCCGTGCACTCGACACCCGCAGACACGCATCGCAGGCATTTGGGCGTGCCTCTGTCGCACTGGCAATGCGGTTAGAAATCCCTCGCTGTAACACTTACAGTTCCCATTAAAACCACAACACTTCACACACCTTTTGCTTTATTTTGTAGCATCGGGCGCATGCCGGAGTCGATCGATGTCTTTTGAACGAACGATGACCTGAGCTCATTTTCACTGCTCCCTCTGTTGATGCTAATTCGCTGTTAGTCTGGGGTAGCTGAAGCTCCAAACGGTTAAATACGGCTCTGCATAATCGGCACGTGACGATAAGATCGGGCGCTTTCATTTCATGTTGCGTTTAATTTACCAAGGCAAATTAATTTGCTCCTGAAGTTTCACAGGTCCTTCACGTACACAAGCCGGTAACTCATTCTATGCTCGGTGAGGATGTTCACTACCATACCGAGCCCACGGCCAAGGACAAGGAAGTGCATGTATCGGCTCTTGAAGGCATAAATTACTCACCGATGCCTATTGAACTGATTTAAGTATTTGCGCTATCCGTAGGACTCTTATCATTATTTGAGAACCCAATGTGCATTATATAGGGTAGGTAGCTAACGGATCGGTGGGCTCCGACCTGGGCCTTCATCGCTCTTAACTAAATAAAGTGGTCTGTTGGAAGAACTGCACCATGGAGAATAGAAGACTAAAGCGAAAGCCAAAAACTTTGAACAGTAATTCTCTAGTCTATGATTGAGTAGTTATTTGCTGGCTAAAATACAATTCGGCTCACTAAAGCTGTTTTCACGCATGGCAGGGTTCTTATTCCCTGCTCAAGAATAGAAAATTAATAATAAGAGGAGAATAATAGAAAATTCTACAATATTTAGCTTGGTATTATATTCATTACTGGCTTCATTGCTTTGCTATTGTGTTGACATTCAACACTAAGGTCCTGGATGTGACTTGCTTTCTGTCAGTCGCTTGCTGGTTTATACAAGCTCATGTTATTTGGATGCTCAGGGGGTCTGTGGGGTAGAAGTACACAGTTACTTGTCGCCTAGTCCTTTTGGAGGTTTGTTTGCGATTGTGTGGGTGGAGAATGGTGGGCTGGATTCTCTTGCCAAGAAGCCCCTACATTGGCATCACACGAGTCTCAACAATCACGCACAGACAAGTTCATCCATTTCAATCCAAGGATAATTGGTATTGAGCCCTGGTGGTATTCAGAGGAGAATATTGATGTGTTGATATCTTCTTTCTGTGGAAAAAAAACGGACGTCGACTTACATCCACAGTCAACTGCAAGTGAGGTGCACTACCAAATCGTTGAACATCGGTCCAAGCAGGGTTTCTGTTCAGTTCCTCAGAGCGGCTAGTCTAGAACTCTAGACTTGAAATAACGTGCGATGAAGGCCATTCGATGGATGAAACTTTTTTCTCCGCATTTCAAATAGTTTCCGGATGTAACCCAGAACGTTCTTCCCCAGGAAGTTCTTGCGAATACAGGAGTGATCTTCCTCCCCTTTTTCTCGCGCCGCAGTTGGGTGCATTACCCCGTGCAAGGATTCATGAGCCTAATTGATAGTATACTCCCTACTTGAGTTGTTCTTGGTGGTAATTATTACGTTCTCCCCGCCATTGAAATCGTCGCGTGACCCTCCAACTGCAAAAGAGTGACATTTAAATACGCGCCAAGGCCTGGATTTACACCAGCGATATATTAACAAGGTGACATTGTTTTGGATTTTGGAACTAGTGTCAGCATTTTGGGGTGTAAGTTTGGGCGTTTCTAACTATTATCCAATCGCAAGCTTTCCTCTACCAGGATTACGCCAGATCTCCATCAAACCCCACGAGATCTGAGTGACGGTCTGAGTTTAATCATCAAATGAAGCTTCTAAAATGCGGAGGAAGGATCTCCTGCTGGCCATTTTCAGTCTAGAATATCGAGCGAGCCGAGGCTGTTTGTCCTTCTAGCTATCCAAGCCGAGGCTCGTTGTTCTCTAGCTCTCTTGAACCTAAGAATGAAGCATCGCGATGTCTAATCCTTTGTATGAAGATCAGAGTATAAAGAGGACGTCAAGATATGTTCTCTAAAGAAAGCCATCTCACCTCAAATCGACATCTCAGAGAGCTAGCTCAAAGAACACTGCCAATCAATACTTCCCGCTTTGGAAATCCGCATTCACTAAGAACTCTAGGAGTATCTCGAAGTGAAAATGAAGTTCTTCACTGCTATCACTCTCTTTGCCGCGCTTGTTGCTGGTGCTCCATTGGACCTCGAAACTCGCCAGTCCAGCACGTCGACTGATCTTGAGAGAGGAAGCAGCTCCAATTGCCCAAGTGCCATTCTGATCTTCGCTCGAGGGTCAACTGAGATTGGAAATATGGTATGAAATTCTCCCTTGAAACCCTTTGATTGGACAAGTACTAAAATTGGGTAGGGTTCGAGTGTTGGCCCAGCGCTCTCTGGTGCTCTGAGCCAGAAAGTGAGAGGCATCTGGGTGCAGGGAGTTGGCGGCCCGTACGATGCTGCGCTGGGAGACAATGCGCTCCCGCGAGGCTCAAGCTCGAGGGCTATCGCTGAAGGTGTCCGATTGTTCAAACTGGCCAAGAGCAAGTGCCCCAACGCATCAGTTGTGGCGGGTGGCTACAGGTATGTTAATATAATGACTCACATCTACATATTGAACAAGACAAAATCTGACAGCCCTGTCTTCCCTACCATGTAGTCAAGGTGCTGCTCTCATAGCGGCCGCAATCAGTGATCTCGACTCTTCCACCCGAGACCAAGTCAAGGGCGCTGCTCTCTTCGGATACACCCAGAACAAACAGAACAACGGCCGCATCCCCAACTATCCCGCCGACCGTACAAAGGTCTACTGCGCTGTTGGCGACCTTGTATGCGAAGGACTTCTGATTGTCGCCCCTCCTCACCTGACTTACAACGATGAGGCGCGCGGTGAGGCTGCCGACTTCCTCGCCAGCAAGGTCTGAGTCAATTCCCAAGGTGGGTAAATAAAACAACAGCAGGGAGCTTTTTCTCTGGATGATCCACGAAGGGTCTACGGGATCCAATTTTCCGGCCGGAAATTGGGGGGACGGTTGGCTTTGTTTTCAACCTGGTTTTGTGTTTTCTTGTCCTCCTTTCTTGCTTTATCTACTTGTTTTTTCCATGAAATGAGGTTTCAGTATTCATGATTAGCTGGCTTTATCATGAAGCATTACTTCTCTGAATATACCAATTTGTCGACAAGCAAAAGTTCAATATTAGATCTCGTGTGAACTGACCAGACTGTTATGCGTCAAGCGCCACCTTTTACGTATTAGGCATAAAAGATCAAATCAAATTCGCGTCTACCTATCAGGAATCACGATTGCAAATTTTCATTCCAGCCGTTGGTGCCTGGTGTACAACATCGGCTGATCGGGTCAGTCGCAACTCCAGCACCAGCAGGCAGCAGGATCACCACTCTCTGATTGGCTAGATTTTGCCACTGCGCTCTCACGCTACTACGCCCAAATGTCTATAAATTCAGCCCGATCTTCTAACTTTGCTCTGTTTTTCTTTTTCTTTCTTCTTTAGCTCTCTTTGCCTTTGGCTTAGATCAAGTGTAGTATCTGTTCTTACCAGTTTAAAACCTGGTATGTGGACCACGAGTCCTCGCCTTTTTTAAACCAATTTTTTGAATTTTGGTCAGAATCTCCTCTGTGCTTGCGCATGAATCCTGTTCCACTGTGTCCCTGGTCTTACACTGCCTCCAGGTGATGCGAAATAATTTTTTCATAGATTCATTCTATTGTTTCATTACTGGCCGAGGCTTGTCCTTGGTGGTGAAGAAGCGCGTATACAGTCTTGATGGAAAATAGTTTTCTCTAAGGGTCCCGAATGAGCACTCTCCCATGAGAGCGGTGATTTGGAGCAGTTGTAGCTGTAGACTTTCTCATTTGGTAAAAGATCTATTTTCACAACAAGCAAGCCTGGCAACAATTTCTCCAAGACCGAATGAAAGTAGCCTAGAACAGATTGGAATTGTGATTTACGAACTAATATGCGACCTGTTTCTCGCCTCGAGGAGCTTCCTGGTGTTTACTGGGCTGCGACTTTGGTAAGCATGTCAATCGTTTCCTCTGCGCGGGACTTTGGGGCATCAGTCTTCCCCTCAGCAGCAATAACAGGCTCCATGGTCTCTACCACGGCCACTTCTAAGCTTCTGAATCCATCTCTGCCTAATTTCTGTAGAACTTCAACAGAACGGTGGTTCTCCACCTCTCCAACGTCAACGGCTGCCTCGTGAACTGCTGGCAGAGATCCTGCCTTCTCGGGAAAGCGTCTGCGTATGATCTCGAGAACTGCGCCCCAAGAGAACCGCCCGGCGAATGCAAAGAGACGCTCATTTTGCACATACTCGACTGTCAAAGCTCCTAGATGAAGTAGGGCTGTATCTTTGACGTGTACATACCATTCTGAGCCAAACAGCGCTAGAAGGGATGATTGGCCGTGGAGGAGAGCAGCAAGAATGGCAGTGTTGCTACCGAATCCAAGTTTCTCTGGAGCTACAGGCGCCCCCATATTGAAATTAGGGATGACCGAGTTAAAGACAAACGATGGCTTGTTGTCGCGAACCCACTCAAATGCCTTCATCTCGGACAAAGCCTTGGAAGCTGAGTAGATAACTTTGCCGCGCCTCATGGGATCTTCTCCGTCCCAGGCTTGCCTTGACTTCTCGATCGCCCCCACGTTGTAACTTTCGGCAGTCATCTTGTAAGGCGTGCCGGCGATTTGGTCAAGACATGCGTTTGCAGATGATGTGAGGACGACTCGTTTGACCGTTGGTTCCTTGGATGCAGCCTCAAGAAGCCCAACGGTACTTTTCACCATTCGATCAACGATGGTGGGATCAGGGCTCATTTCGAAGCTAGCCGCCACATGGGCGATTCCGTCAACACCCTTGACGGCTTCCGAGAAGGCATTGTCGGTATGGATATCGGGCACTTCGGCAAGGCTAAAGTTGGGGCCGAAATATGAAGGCATCCAGCTATACTTGGAAACGGAACGCACGGTTCCCCTGACTTTGTATCCGTGTTCGAGAAACGTCTTGGCAACGACGCCGGCGATGTAACCATTGACGCCTGTCACAAGAATAAGACTTCCAAGAGGAACGATGGCCATTTTGCAGAACGGTGTAGAAGGGGATCTTGTGTTTGGAGAATATGTAAGAGTGTGCTGCAGGAATCAGGACAGATGGAAGCAGTGTATAGCTTAAGAGCCAGCTTTTAAGTCAATCAGAGGGAAGATTCTTACACACTTTGTCTCTCAATACTGCTATACATCGAGCATGTTTTTATTACCTTGTGTTGGAGATCTGACAATATGCCCACTGGGCTAGTCCTGACGTCGTATTCATTGGCTTCTGATTTGTCGAGGCTCAACTGGGGTCGCGCAAAGACCAAGAACTGGAACCAAGAAACTCGCCGATTGGGTGTGATATGGCCAAGGCGGGCAGATTATCGTGCCGTTAAGAGATATAAGTTTTATTTTTTCATATCGCCGACAGAAGGTCTAGTAAGATCAAGCTTTCGTTGGGTGTAGGTGGAGCCCCGTCGTTGAGACGCATTGTCTACTTCCAAACAGTGCACCGTTCACGGCGGCTTAAGCGTAGGTAGGAAAGGAATGGATTGCTTTAAGTGGATAAGGTCAGGGGGACAAGCGTAAAGCTCAGGCCAGTGAAGCCTATTTCAATTTGAGAAATAGAAGATCTCGAAACTTTGAAATACTTTTATAAGAAGGAGTGTGCAATCGGTATTATTATACAGAAGAAGTATAATACATCGAGGAGAGAATGCTGCCAGTCGTTTCCCCTGCCGCCTTGGAAGGGGAAACCAACGCTATGAAGTAATTAGCGATGCAATAGTATAGCATACCACATTTAGATTTGTACATTCTCCGCTCATAGCCAAAGGTCTACAGATTGCAAACCAAATTCCGTACCCTGCCTAAAAAGGCCGTTCTTGATAATTTTAGGATGTGAGCCACGGCTCGGATTGTGAACGCGGCAGCGATTTCATCAACGAGGTCCTGGAAGGTGAAGTCCGCAGATATGGTTCCGTGATCTTTTTGCTGAGAAATGATGCTATCGCATAGAAAATGAAGAGGATGAACGCATTCATCCCAAGACAAAAGCTTCCATTAATTCTGTCAGTCTGGTGTGTCGAGATGTAGATAAACTTTATCATTAATCGGCCTCGTGCTTCAATAAGTGTTTAGAATTCAATAATAGGCATAGATAATCACAACTGTTGGCCTCAACTTGGTAGGGATTAAATATCTACAGACCTGGTCCTAGACAGGGGTGTTTTCATTAGGTCGCGTGTCTTTACAATGAGAGTTCCACCGCCGGGGTAAGAGGTTTGGGCTTTCTTGTTGAACAGCCTCGCTTATGCACACATAAGCAGCGAGAACGAGGTGTATGTCAGGGTACTATGCGAGGATTGATTGGGGTCAATAGTACATTGGCGTCAATTTTGAAGATTGACCAAGGCTTTTATGAACATACTAACTAGGTAACTAAGTAAACTGGGCGATCATAGGGCTATGCAATTGCTATGTAGAATGTGAGAGTGTGTGATTCGTTTACCATCAAGGCGGGTAAAGAACTCAGTGAGTTCTGCGCCGAGGGGCAGCAAAATTTGCATTTACTAGTTTGCATTTGGGGTTAGTACATAAATCTTGCGCCAAAGGCCATCGAATGAGGTGTTCATTCTTACCACAATTGGCGTTTGGCGCTGTGGCAATCCGAGTGATAGCATTGAGGTAGGTGGCAGATGGTCACATTCTTGAAAGAAGGGGGAGATCAAGTAAGAGTCTCAATAGGAGAGTGGAGAATGTTTAGACAACGTAATGGGAATAAAACAACAACAACGAAGTAAAAAGGTTGACAACAAGCAATTCGGGAACAAGCAACTGGCGAAGAAGAGAGCGAAGCGTGAAGAAGAGACCTGACGAGACAACCTAGACGACGGAAATTAACGGAGCAGAAGTTTGATGAATAGGCTGAGAGTCAGTGAAGCACAGCAACAGAGGTCGTGCTAAGCGGTGATGCAGCTTGTGATGGCGGACAAAGAAGACGAAAATATAGGTAGAAGCTGTCGCGAGAGAAGTTATGAAGAGAGGGAAACTCTCGAACGAGGAGCTGTGAAGAGAGAGAAACTGTCGAGAGAGAAAAACTGTCGAGAGGGGAAAACTGTCGAGAGAGGAAAACTGTCGGGAGAGAAAAATTGTCGAGAGAGAAAAACTGTCGAGAGAGAGAAGTTGTCCGATGATATTTGTAGAGGTTGTCTTTGTCCTCCTGGGCGCCACCCCAGGAGTTACTCCCGCCCGCCACGGAGAGGCAGACAACATGGGCGGATTAAAAATATTGTAAAGAAAGGAAACCAAAACAGAAGAAAAGAAAAAGAAAAAATAGAGAGAAAAAGACAAAGGAAAGACAAAGAAAGGACCTACCTTTATTCCTCCTCCCCATCCTCCTCCTCACCACCAGCCGCCATCTGCTCCTGGTGGAGCGCGGCCATCGCCACGTCCACCGCGTCCTCGCGGGCCGTCACCTCCTCCCGCCACCTCTTCACCTCCGCCTCGCGGTTGGCCACCGCGATCTTCCTCGCCTGTACGACAGCAGCATCTGCCGCCGCCGCCTCCTCCGCCTCCTCCCTCTCCCTCCGCCTCCTCCCTCTCCCTCCGCCTCTCCACCTCTTGCCACGCCCGGACGAAAGCCCGGCGTGCCCGGCGACGAGCCCTCTCGTCGCCGGCCGCAGCTGCGGCCACTCCTTCATCAAAGGCCTCGAGGGCCCAACCAGTCATCATCGTCGTCGTCTTCTTCTTGGTCTTGGTCTTCTTCTTCTTCTTCGTTGTTGTTGTTGTCGCTGTTGCGGTTGTTGCGATTGTTGTGTTGTTATTGTTACAAAGATAAAAAAGCAGATGGGAACGACCAAACTTTCATTGCCAGAAGTTACCCACGGATTTCACGCTCTTTCCAACCCTATGGAATGCGACCGTTCGGGGCGAAAGGGAAAGAACGAGGAGGCGTCCGTAGTTATCGTGAGGAAAGCGCTTGCCGATGGGGGAAGCGCACCACGCTGGGCAGGTTGATTTTTTGTCTTATTCATAAACGCAGCAGGCGCTTCTGCTCTCCTTTGCCATCACAAGACTTGGAAAGATCCTGCAGAAAGACGAAAGATGACGAAATCCCGAAATACTCGCTAAGCGCTCTGTGAGATCCTTCCTGATGCTTATTACAGATCAAGCACATATAGTTAATATCTCACACACCCTAATTTCAATCTCGTCTTAATTAGAAAAAAAAATATCACCCAGTAAAGTTCAATCCCATCGCCACCTCAACTAACGGACGATTCGTTGTAGCCTCAACCTTGACGCGCGCCTTATTTACGGAGTACCCAAACTCACAAAGACCTCTAGAGGAATTCTTCCGGTTAGGCTTGAACAATGGAGCCATGGATCTTTGAATTTTTCTCTTGGTCTTCATTGCATCAACTGTTCTCCTACGTCAAGACATCGAGTATCACAAAACTGGATTAAATATTGTGCTTCCCACCCTTTTGTCCCGTAAAGATATCTCATTTTCAAGGTTTGAGTATAGCTTCAGCATGGAAAGTATCGCTCTTGGATCGGATCTAACGAAAGTATGGCTCAAGGGGGGAAATATACTTTCGTGACCGACCGAGGCAAAAGAGAAAAGACTTCTTTAAAATCTCATGTCAACTTACTTTATCACTATTGTTCCAATCCACTGTCATTTTTTCTTTCCCTCCATGTCTTTTCTTTCCCCTTTTCTTTTCCTCCTTCTCTTTTGGAAAGATAAAACTACGTTTGAAAGCTTATTTACATCTGAGAAACCTGTACAAAAATGGTCAAAACAAGATCTATGACCAAGGGCGAGTTAGAGCTATCTCGCTCTTGGTATAGATTGCCCAATGAGGTTCAGGACATGATTCTTGAAACAATCCTGCTAGATGCAAGAGCGAACAAGTACGCCGCCAACGACTCGGCCTCTGGCGCCACATCCTGTCATAACATCAGCTTAATGGCTTCTGTGTGTCTGAAATGGAAGGTATTCTTTGAAAGAAATACATTCAAGCAGTTGGTTCTTGTTCATTCAGACCTGCCGATGTTTCAAGAGGTGGTAGAGAGAAGCCCTGTTAGACTCGCCTATGTGCACTACGTCTTACTTCAAATCCAGTTGTCAGAGTACAACTGTGATGACTGCAAGGAAGAAGAAGATCAGTACACAATCAACCGGTGTGTGGATTTCTTTTTACTTCATTCTCTTCTTTCTCTTCATCAACTGCATACCCCTAAACATTTGCATTTATTGTGATAACATTTTACTAATCTGCACCGCGAAGACACCATGAGATATTCTCCACTGGCATCCGACATCTGCTCAAGATCCTCTCCCCTTGGAAGCCCAGAGCGCGTGGATATGCTGGAAGATATACTAGAAGATCTCCTCAAGGGCTGACTCTTGAAATCGCTATTTCGTCACCAAGTGATAATCAGCATATGTTCTTTGCAAGTCGGCTAGAGCAAGATTTCCCAATTCGCACGCCAGATGATCTGAATCAACTCAACCCCCTCCTGCTAAAATATCAGGATGAAAAGAAAAGACGAGGGCTTAATCAAAATCGAAGACACACTGGGATTTTTAGGGAGCGATACAAAGGCGCAAGGAGGTTACATGGTACACCTCTTAATTTGCGACCGGTGCTACCAGTTCTTCCTAAGGCTCCTATTGTAACAGGGCTCCTTCTTCCTCGCTATACATATCGAAGTATCGAGGTAAGATCACTAGCGCAAATACTGAGGCAAAGCCTGGTAGCCTTGAAATGGATCCGATTTGAGAGATGTCGAACAAGAAACTACCCTGATGAGAAGAGGTTTATCCATGGTAAGTGAGGTGTGAACTGCAATGCAAGATGGCATCCTTATATCCATACTAATATAAACAATTCTCAGAGTGCAACAAGACACTAATACCCTCTCTACCACTCTCTTTGGAACAGCTCCATATGGGTCACCGCTTCGTCTACGCGCACCATCGACCACTAAAGATGGTTGACTTTAAGGAGGAGGAGGAGAAGATGGCAAAGGCTATGGTCAGCAGCCAGATTGGCAGAAGAAAGCTAACTCGGTTTAGCGCCACCTTTCAAATGAGTGCCATTGCATTCTTGGATGGTCTTCAATCTCATCGCTTCGAGTCGGCAGATGAGCGGGTTGCGACCATCTCAACGCAACCCCGATATCGTTGGAACAATCTACGGCAACTTTGCCTAAGGGCCAGGACATTTCAAGCGTCAGATGTCGGAGAAATACAACATCTCCTGGTTTTAGCCGTAGGAGCGGTGCCAAACATACCTAAGCTACAGGCCATGGAGATATGGGGCTCTTGTCCAGAGGGCATTGCCCACCTCTTTCAGTACAAGATTGAACAGCGCCAGCCTACAATCACTTGGAGATGTGGCGAAAAACAGAATTTACATCTCAGTCACCACATGATCGATCATTGGATAGGGGTGATCGATCATGTTCATCCTGAGCTCCAATCACTGGAAGTCATCGAAAAGATCTTTGAAGAGTCTGTGAAAGAGATTCAAGTTTCTAAGGGCAGGTTCATTTATAAACACCTGGTATTGCGGCGACTGGTTCTTGATGCAGTTTCATTCGCCCAAATAGAAGCCGAAATTGCAAAAGCGATGAGATCACATCGACTTCATTACCAAAAGGGTACCTACTAGAGAGACCTGGTAACAATTGGATATGTGATCATAGGCATCAGGCTTGGCAATACATACCGGGAAGAGAGAAGGACCATGTTTGTGTCTGGTAGGAAATCCAGTTCTCTCACAATAATGCATCCAGAGGCGAACCAGAACAAATCCACAACGCATGTTTGCTCTGCCGAGTCGTATTTTCAATGTCTATGGGAACGGCTCCCGCTTATGGCCGAAATCATGTCCGCCGTGCAATTTCCAATCATGTCATGAAACCTGCTTCATGAAACCTGCTTAGACAGTGGTATGTCGCAAGTAGAGTAGCATTATTATGATCAGAAATGGCTTTTGTGTCCTTATTTTGGTGTTCTCATCAACCAAACAACACCTATTCTTTATTCCGTTGAGTAAGACCATTTTTTAGTATAGCCACTCCCTTCCAAACCGTATGCAGAGGCTTCTATCAAGGAGGACAGAGCACTTGTTATTGAAGTAAACAAATATAAGAAGCCGTGGAATTGACTGAATGTAGATATTCCAACTAGTTTGCAGGGTAGTTCCCGTCCCATGTACTTGTCACAACCTCCCAGTATCTCGTTGCATCTTTCCTCGAGTGTGATACGTGCGCTGAAGCGATAAACTTCTCTCTTCTCACCGCATAACCCGCCTTCTCTGCTTCCTGCGCGTGCTGCTCGACATCATCTGGGTGAACTATAGCATCCGTGTCACTGTAGATATAAGTCCTACGGGCTTCCAGCACCAGATCTGGCCTATTGTGGTGATTGCTCCACCTTGTTTGTATATCAGCGATCAGTCTGAGCCAAAGCACCAGTGTATAGCTCGCTGCCGCCAAGTAGAGAAAGGGGGCTGCAATAATGCGTTGTATAGGCGATAGTCCAACGGTGAAGAAGGCCACAGCTTGCCTCATGCGGAAGTTGGTGGAAGGGGCAGAGTCAAAGATGGTAACATGGCGAGGAAACTGTTTGTCCTGGCCCTCTGTGGCTGTCGCGGCGTATTGTTCGTAGAGGGATCCAGCACTCGATGATCCTCCGTTAGAAAAGATGTGTAGCAAGATGTGTGAAGATGAACGAGAAGCAGCCGATACCGGCACAGCGGCAACGGCTGCTCGGACGACGCTGACAGCAGGCTGTACGGCAGGCCCTATGGACGGTCGGTTGAAGAAGAGCTTCGATGTATTCCGGATGAGTAGGATCTGTGCTTTGGGGTAGAGTTCCCGGTACTTGGTGATGTACTTGGCGATGTGCGTGCTTGATGCGTCGGTCCACGTGGCGACGATTACTAGGGCTGGATCGGATGTAATGTCGCTCGAGGTAGAGGCAGTAGTTGGTCGGTAGATAGCAACGGCCGGTGAAAGCTTCTCCATGAAGGAGAGAGCACCGTTATTGTTATTTCGCCTTTGTGAATTGTTTTCCATCGAAATATATAGTTATGTAGTCCTTGGCATTTGTTCCAAGGAGAGGGAGAAAATGGAGCGAAGAAGATCAAGGGGCAACGGATCAATTTGTATTGAGGGATCCCTGGAAATGATGGCATAACGCAACCACGTGGCCACGTAGCAATATTAATGGTGTATAAGGTACTTATGTCTATGGAAGTCAGCTGTGATAAGAGTGTGTCCACTGGATGCTAAATGGCCAAGCATCCTGTGATGGATGGTAAGATCTGTTGGCGCGACCCCTGCAGGACATAATATATTGAAGCTCGAGCTACATGTAAATTGACCACCCTAGTTCCCAGCAACCAACAGGTATCTAAGGAATGCCAATGCCAGCTCTAAAGAGAACCGCCGCTTGTATGGGTCCTATTTCTGGAATAAGATCTGCTCCGCTGACGCCCATCGTCAGGCAAGCATATACAAGCGATTTTGTGCCGCCAATGTATTTGCGTTTGGGCTATATACGAATGAGACGTAGTCTGCCACCTCCTCCGGTGTAGCGGCACGACGAAGAGGTGAGAAACTCCCCCACAATACTTTGTAGAAGGGAATTGGAGCGTAATAGTAAGATCACTAGTTCAGCTAAGGATCCATGAACGGCCGACGTTGCTGCGTCGTCCGTGACAGATTCAATCATTGTAATATGGTAAAACAAGGCCTGAACTTTCGAAGCTGTTGGCTAGAAGCTGTCGTGGCCACTTTGACCTGGAAATAATTCAAGAACTCTAATTACGCTGGGCTTCTCTGCTGACCCACCATCCAGGATCGTAGTTTCAAGGTGCGAGATAGTCAACACCAAGTTGCCATCTGGATCCAGAGCTAACATGTCGCAGTCAGTGAAACGGATTTCTTTGATGGCTGATGTGCTATGTACTTGAATATGATCAGTGTTCGGGTTAGGCAACCAAGAAGCTGCCATCCACGTATCTTGGGTTCGGGTCACGGCAAAGCCATTTGTGATGACCTCACTTCCTCCTTTGGTTTGAAGAGGCTAGGGGAGTTGGCCCGCAGTTTCTAACGTGGTTGATACGCCATCAGCGTGGCAACAAGTACGGATTAAACTGCCATAAATAGGACGGCAATTTCAGAGCAGGTGGGTTCTCCAGATTAGATGTCAGCCCCTTCGGCCCCTCTAGGGCCAGTCCGTCAAACTTGGCTTTGAATTCAAACGCGTTTATCCAGTTGAGAGAAGATGGAGATATTTTAGCGAACAGTGAATAAAAAGCCTCGTTGACGACAAAAGGAGGGAAAGATCGGAACCCAACAAGAGAGCTTCTTCAGTTAAATTCCATATAAGACCTCCACGAACGTGTTTATAGTCCACTGTGATCGTGATGGCATTCTAGAGGACATCGACCCCCTGTGGCTATGGGAAATGAGGATTAAAGCCGCCCTACCGAAACAGTGCATTTGAACTTCATGTCACCCAGGTTTTTTTATTGTAGTTGCGTGGCATAAGCACACAAATATCATGCCCCATATATAAATCTTCCTAATTGGGAAGCATTTGACGTCTTATCCCTGAACATGCTGACTTGTTTCATGCCGGGGTGTATTACTCGAGCTATATGAAGTATTGCCCGCTCTGAGCAGTATCATACATCTACACCTTGCTACCTACTACAAACAATGTGAACTTATCTCCAAGCAAAATCATACGACCTTACGCGTGGTAACTGACCTCTCACCCCCTCGTCCCCCAAAAAGTGACAAATTGCCTAAACACCACGCTGTAGTATTCGTATTATTGTGTTAACTATTAGCACCCAACCCACCGAATACGCAGTCAGTTATCATTATGATATATTCCGGGATGTCACACAGAAAATGCTGACTGGAAGCATTTCACTCAGATTTAAGCAAATGTCCCTTGGCTTAGTCTTCTCGCAGCTTTTTTCCACGATCCTTCCGACCCATGAATCAAATTGCCGCCATGTCTCAAAAGGATCAGGAGCATAAGCAAGATGCTGCCTCCATCACTGATGAGGCCGTGCAAAAGCCACAGGCTGTTGAACAGGCCATTCTGGGCGCGACGAGCAAAGAATATGAAGATCAGCAACATTATATTCAGGGCTTCAGACTGTACCTGATCATGGTTTCGTAAGCGCTCTCGACCCCTCTCCTCACTGCAAAGGTAGAAAAACGAAACAATGAAAGGAAACGCGGTTAATGACTATTTAAAGGCTTTGCTTATGCTTGTTTCTCACCAATCTGGAAATTCCTATCGTCACAACAGCACTCATTGGCATCACCGACGATTTGGGGGATTTCAACAAAGCCAGTTGGGTCATTTCATCTTACTTGCTCGGCTACGTCGGTTCGTTCGTTCGAAACGAGTTCCAGGAATGGCCACAGAAGCTGATACTGCCTCAGGTGTCTTGATTATTTTCTCCAAACTCAGCGACGTATTTGGTCGCAAGTCAATCCTAATCCTTGTAGTTCTCATCTTCATCATATTCTCTGGCGCTTGTGGAGCAGCCCAGACCATTGAACAACTGTCAGTAACCTTCTGACGCATGAAACACCCTTTTATTTTGAACAGGACTAAATGAAGCTATAGTATTGTTTTCCGAGCGTTTCAGGGAATTGGTGGCGCGGGCAACTACTCATTGAGCGCAGTAATCTTGGTCGAACTTGTACCATCCAACAAGTACGCCAAGTATACCACCATTGTATCTCTATTCTATTCTCTGTCGTTGCTCCTAGGACCTATTTTCGGTGGAATCATCACCCAGAATACAACATGGAGATGGATATTTCTGCTCAAGTAAGGACACCCAGCCTTCCATGCATGGCGTCACTATTCTATGCTCTGACCACCTACTAACATGACATCCTACGTCAGTGTGCCAGCTGGTGCCGTGGCTCTGGGAATTATCGTGTTTGCCATGCCAAACGGGTTCCCTTTTCACGGGATACCCAAAGAACAAAGACCTAATTTCATCAGCAAGTCATCCTCAAAATGGCAACTCGCCCGTTTTGATTTCTTCGGGGCAACCCTGCTCCTTGCTGCTACCTTGTTGTTGGTAGCCGCGCTCGAAGAAGCAGATGTCCATTATCCATGGAAGTCAGCCTTCGCCATCACATTGTTAACCATCTCCGGTCTATCTTGGATAGGATTTTTGCTTTGGGAACGGCACATGACCCGAAACGCAAAGGTTTGCGAACCTGTATTTCCATGGCGCTTTGTGGAAAGCCGGGTTCTCCTTGGCATGATTCTGTGAGTTTCATTCATGATGCTTTCAAGAGCAAGGCTGACGAACCCTTTCTGCAGGAGTGCAATCTTTCTAGGCGGACCTTGGTTTTGTTCCATTTTTCAACTTCCTCAAAGATTTCAAATTGTCAACTCTCTGAGTCCTCTCCAGGCAGGATTCCGACTAATCCCGTTCACTCTTGCTGCGCCCATTGGCTCTATTGTCTCCGCAGCCTTGGCTAAGGCCGCCAAGATCCCTCCTCTCTACTGGGTCATCTTCGCTTCCGTCTTACAAGTGATAGGGTTCTCTTTATTATCAACTGTGTCAAATTCACACGATATCCCCGCAGCCCAATACGGCTATCAGGTTATCGCCGGGTTTGGCTGTGGCATAAATATTTCACTACTCCTCGTGATGATCCCATTCCGAGTCCAAGACCGAGACAAAGGCAAGTACATGACTATCGTTGTGTATATAAAATAATTGATGGCTAACTCATATCTTTAAAGCGGTTGCATTGGGCTCGATTGGACAGTTCCGTGTGATGGGCGGTGTTATTGGGCTGGCAATAGTCACTTCTGCATTCAATGGGCTTATCAGGAGCCGGCTTGGAGATTTAATCTCCTCTTCCGAGCTTGACGCGTTGTTGAAGTCTCCCGAATTAATGAGTTCGTTTCCCGCTGATATCCAGGAGACTATTCGATCGACATTCGGGGATGGATATACTCTTCAAATCAAAATACTGGCTGGTCTGGCCGCTGGCCAAATCCCTTCTGCCATGCTTATGTGGGAAAAAGAACACATAATGATCTAGATGACGCCGAGATAAGAAACACAATTTCTGGTTATCATGTCGATGCTGCACCTGCTTTTCTTTACAGCATATCGGTCGTCTGTAATTAGTAGGTGTACATTTCAAAGAACGTAATCTTTTATTTGGAACATTTTTCGTCGTCGGAGCATTATCTATCCATTACTATGCCTCGTAATGGTTACTCAATCAATGGCTATCAGCTTTGAGTCAACGCCAGCACTGAGATCGATCCTGTCTCTGCTCATACACAGCCTTTATAGAAACATCCTGGGGAGAGAGAAGTATCAATTGAGTCAAGACGTCCAGGTTTGACTCTAAGTCCACCAGATAAAGAGGAAAGTCATGGTTTTTGTTAGCTCATTCTATCTGTACTATATTCGTATCAAGCCTTGCTGTAGTGTAGCAAATATAGTCCCTCTACCTAGGAACCTCCTTTTTTATTAAATATAATAAGAGGAGAATAATAAGATATTCTTTGATATTGAGTTTGATATTGTATTTATTACTCGGTTGATTGTTTTGATGTTGTGTTGAAATTCAACGCTAGAGTATCTCACAACTCATTTATTAATTTTCAGCAATACATATTCTAAACATCTTATGCTTACATAGATTTAGAAAAATTCATTAATATTTACTCCATTAAGTCTCATCTCAAAACACTATTGCCCGCCAGACTGCTATACAAAACTCGATAGCAAAGCCAGACGATGCAGTTCTGATAATTCAAGGCTTGATGTTAAGATTGTGAAACTCGTCATAACTTTTACATTGCTCAACTACTCTAAAGAACTAATTTAATGATAGATCATTCCAAGATTAAGAATAAGGAGGAGCATTAAAGCAGTGTGAGGATCTGCCACCCATCAAAAGTTGTATTCAAGGCAGAATGGGTCTTCCGGTAAGCGGTTTTTAGTTCTTTACCTTGGGACCCGACAAAGACAATTATAGGACTCGCTCTTCGAGATGGCGACGTGGGACCAGAGGCCTACTACTATCAGCTCCAAATTTCTGAGCACTTGGAACCTCCATTCATAGCTCCAACACGGTCTCTCATTGTTCATTATCCTACCGTCTATGGCCGGCGTTGCGGGATCGTTAGGACAAGTCAACTGTGCAACTGGAAACACATATCAAGATGGACTGGTCGCGCATATACTAACCCTCGGCGAAAAAGCTATTTCGATAGATCTCGGATGCATGGGCGATGTTGGCGTTATAGCTGGGAACGCAGGCTTGGCCTAAATGTAAGGAGGCTGCGGGTGACCTTGCTCCAATTCTTGGAAAGAGAGTTCCTGACCCTTGTCGATCGCTACTGCGACTCAGATCTTGAAATACAGACACCTGAAGAGGCGCAGGTGGTGATGAGTCTGGTAACACCTGCGCAAATTCGGAGCAAAGATATCGTGCCCCCGGACTGGCTTCTCGATCGGCCACTTCTTAGGGCACTGCCTAGGTACCCATATGAAGATAGAAACGGCTACGTCGACCCCAAGCCCACGACATCCGATCGAGACTAGGCGGACGAGTTTGTTCGAGCCCCTTCGAAAGCCGAGGCTACTCATATAGTAGCCGAGGCGCTGATACAAGAGTTGTCCAAGGCTATGGTCACCGCGCCTGAGTATATCAATCTAAATAAGCCTTTGCATACCTATGGCATTGACTCGTTACTGGCCGTGGAGATCCGATCCTGGCTTGGGAAGACTTTCAAGGCAGACATTCCGATATTTGACATTACTGGGCAAGGAAGTTTGCTGAAACTAGCAGAGGGTGCGGTTGTTCAAAGCACGCTGTTGACCAGGGGCAAAGAAATGGGGTGATTGGAATTGTAACGAAACATAGCCCTCTTCAAGAGACTGCAGACTTGTACTCGGAATTATCATTGTCTTATTGCGACTATCTGACCGTAGTAGACGGCAAAGACTAGGCAATTACCCTAGACGTGTAAAACATAAGCTAGGTTTCATGAAATCATTCGGTCATTGCACTAATTAGTAAATTAGACTGTATATGAATAAGTTGGGGCCTTTCCCTTATCTATATCTCTCTTTTTTTTTTTTTTTTCCTTCTAGCCAATTACGTACCCATAGTGAGTAAGTGGTAGCAACTACTCTGCTTTCCAGGATTGAAGTGGAAGAGGGCCAAGCGACTTACATAAAACATTGCGCACAAAAGCTCTGTTCACGCAAGTCAGGGACCTCATTTCCTTGTAAATAATACTAAACACAATAATAAGAAAATTATTGATTATTATTGTTTAGTATTTAAACTGTTATTATGGATTATTCTTGATTACTTGTTTTGATATTGTGTTAAATTTCCCTCCGTCTGCGATGTTTTATGTCAGTCGCTTGAGGGCGTCCGCGTCGCAAGCATTAGTTAAACAGACATGACTACCCATCCTATGATCTCATTCAGTCAAATCTCGATCTTTAGTTCAGGCATCATATGAAAATGATCAGTCTCCCAAATCCTTGACCAATGTCAGGGAAAGGTAAGAAGCCAAGCCCAGGTTGGACTTCCCGTCGCCGATCTGTTTTGGTCAAAGCGCGTTTTCGGTGGTGTTGACGCTAAAAAGATCACCAAGAGTAAACAAACTGACGTCAAGATTGATATCATTCATTGATTGACCCTGTATACTGTTGACATCATTAATATTTTCGCCCTGACGTAGAGTGAGCTTGGTATAAAGTATGGGCATGCCAATGGCAGAAACTGTCTCGAATCAATTGATAGCTAGCAATTGAACCACAATTGAAATCACCGTCGCACCTTAGAATTGCCACTGTTCAATCACCTTGACCCAGTATTCATTATCTACTTCTACTCTTTAACGCAGATTAACTGCAATCATAATACTCTCCTCCAGTCTCAAAATGCCGGCTGCTTCTGCTCCTGCGCCTCTCGGCGACAGAGATCCCAACAAGCTCTCTAATCCCACGCAACAAGGAACGAAGCGCAAGTCCAATAGCGCTACGTCTGGCGAACAGCGACCAAACAAGACGGCAAAGCACACCAAGAGCAAGAAAGCAGACATCGATGCTCTCCTTGACACAGGTGATGTGACACTCCCTGGCGAGGATACAGGGAGCGTCCCAGTATATGACACATGTGGAGAGATCCGGCGCAAGATCAGAGCTCTCCTTGCGAAGGGTGTTTCGCAGGCAGCACTGAGTCGGACTCTCTCTAAAATGGTTCCCGGGGGCCAAGGCCAAGTTTCTTCTCGGAATATTGGCACCTTCATGAAGCAGAAGCACCTCATGGACGGCAATACAAGCCCGGCATTCTACGCCGGGTATGTCTTCTTTGAAAAGCAGCGCATCAAGAATGGAAAGCCAAAGACCAAGACCCGCCAAGAGATGGAGGAAGTACATGGAAAAACGGGCGTGGATCTAGATTGGAGCTTCAAGGGTGGCTCCCTTACTCTTTTTCGGAATGAGCGAGCCCATGTGGATAAGTTTGGTCGAATACAGATCATAAAGCATTAGGAGAGCTATTACTAGGAAGCAGCTCAGTCTAGTCAATGTAAAATAAATAAATTGTAAAATTAATGCAAAATACAAAATTATTTACTGTTATTTTCAAATTCACTCATGATTGCATAAGCATCACGAGCGGCCGTTGGAAGCCTGTTGAGGTCACCAGAATCTTCGATTTCAAGCATCTCTTCAGCCCAAGAGCAGATGCAATCCGCAAAAGCCTTGACATGCTCATCTGTTTGCGCGGCCTGGAACAGAAACCGTACTCGCTCCTGTCCCTTAGGTACCACTGGAAAAACGACCGGATAGCCTGAGTAACCAGCTTGGTTAACATGGAATGCCAGGTAAAGATTGTGCTTTGCGCGCGTCCAGATAGGGAGGATCTGGCTGACAACCTCAGGGTCATCGTCGCCCTCATAAAGGGGAATACGGAGAATGCCCAAGCTGCTGGCGCGCTCCCAAACCGGGTGGGATCGAATCGTTTTCAAGAAAAGCTTGACGAGATGCTGAACCTTGTTTTGGGACTAGATCTTACATCAGACAACTGAAGATACATTGAGTTAGATAGCAACGTTATTTTTATGCTTACTTCAATCGTGGATCCACTTCGAAGGAGTCGGTAGGCTGCTCGGATGGATGCAAGCATAGGGAAAGACGGAACGCCTGTGAACAACAGACTTCGTGCATTGTTCATGAGCATCATTTTAACGGTGTCATTGGCGAGAATGGCCGCTAGCATATATCAACAATTAGCACTTCCAACCCAAAAGTCATTTGATCACTTGTGGCGAAACTCACATCCAGTAGAGCCCAAGGCTTTGGGAAAAGTGTGCAGGCGGATGCCCACCTCCTTCTCAAGACCGAGCTCGCAGACGAGGCCCGATCCTTTGGGACCAAGAATCCCAGTACCATACGCTTCGTCGATGATGAATAGTGCGTTGTCGTGAGTAAGAATCTCCTTTGCTGCGTCGATGAGCTCCTGCAATATACAAATATCTCCATCCATGCTGTACACGGATTCGACAGAGACGATTACAGATCGTGTTCCATTGCGAATCTGAGGCTCAGATTCAACAATGCTTTGAAGAGTGTCCGAGAAAGAGTCCACGTCATTGTGCAGAAATGATTTTTGGCAGCGTGCTACGCTATTCTTCATGCCATCATGAATACTTGCGTGGACAAGCTCGTCGTAGAGAATGGCATCTCCAGCGAGGGGAATAGTGGAAAATATTGCCATGTTGGCTACACAGCCACTGTTGACAACGAGCGCATTCTCAGCGTTGTGGAATTCGGCGATTTCCTTTTCCAACTGCTCGAGGTACTTGGAATTACCGTCGCTCAGTCGAGAACCGGGAATAGTCATGCGACCATTTGGAAGATCTTTGAATTCTTCCAGGAAGGCATCTTTCAAAGCTCCGGAGGAGAGCAGGCCAAGAGAATCGCCAGAAGAGAAGTCAGTGATGCCTTCTTTTACATGGGGCCGCATCAGGCTACCCCGTTTTCGGCGGACATCCAACTCCGCCTCCAGGTTGCGATAGAACACGGGAGTAGACTTGGAGGTAGCTCCCTTTTGTCCCTGGGCCCTAGCCCATTCTGTGACGAAGGCAGACATATCTGGAGGAAACAAAGAGGGTATGTTGAATAGGTCAAAATTGTGGAAGTTAATGAATTGGTGTAAGAAGAATGGCAAAAGAAGCTTAAGCCTTAGCGAAACACGCCTTTGCCAAACATAGGCTAGAAGGCAAGAAAGGCGATTGATGGGAAATGCATTGAGAAAACAAGTACCGTTGGATGAGATTCCCTATTTGTCTATATGCGGCATCTGCTCAACACAGATCCAGTCTGGGACAAGGTAATAGAACTTTACATAACAGAAGGTTGAGTCGAGGCAGTTTGGTGCGAGAATCACGCCACATCATGTTCCCGATGCCTTCTTTCTTTCTAAAATTACATCATAACCTGGCTTTTCAAGGGATCTGGTTTTTCACCGCTGTCATTTCTTATTACGCTACTACCGGAACCTTAAGGCCACCCGGTACTGACAGTTTCCTGGGGCTGTTGTCTGGGGTCTGCCAAGGGTCGCTGCAATCTGGGATTATGCGATCCTTGCGAGATCCGGTGCACCGCAGGTGTCTTGGCGGCCGGATGAGATTAGATCCTTGATCTTAGGATTCACAGGGTTCAATCGGGTCTTAACGGAGTCTTTGCCGCCCCAAAAAGGGTCAAGAGAAAACGGGATGGCGTATAGGTGTTGCATCTAGCCTCTTTGAAGAATGGGAAGGCACAGCAAGCAACTTACAGGCCACTCAGCCGACTGAAAGATCTACGCTAGAAGGTGCTTAGTGTGCAACTTATCTAAAGTGAATATTAAGGTATGCTGATCCGTACTTTACCAGGGTATATTTCGTCACTTAGTTCCAACATCGTAGGGCCTCTTCTAGTATGGTATAATATCCATTCTATGGCATTTAACAAGTGAACAGAATGTTTCGCTTGAGGTTTCGATACTTGAAAGGGAAAGAAGTGTGGACTAGATAGAGACTGCAGCCTGGCTCACTGGCTGGTGATATTATTGGCCCACCTTTGAACATCGCTTCTGACCCTCTTTAGCAGGGTCAAACTATCGGAATTTCCCATCACTCTCAAGGGTCGGGTTGTATTGGCATTTGTTGGGCTGAAACTTAAACGCTGTAGTATGAACCCCTACAGGATTCATCATCACGAGAACACTAAGACTCCACGTGTGGTACGATGATGAGTCAATGAGCAATCCTGATCTTGCTGCGGATCTGGAGCCATGACACTCGCGAGGTGACAGGTGTTCGAGGTGGCAAACAGAGAGAAGCCTATTGAATATCTGACCACTGAGCATGTTTTTCCTCGTCAACTACTTATAAATAGACAGGTTTTATCCTATTGTTATTGCAAAACAGCGATAGATATCCACGTTCCTGATTCAACACTGTCTTGGAGACTTCTCTCAGTACCGTTCTTCGCCTTTTCATATTCATCTTCTGATTCAACACACCCTTTATTTTATCTACATTGCTGGTCACTTCGCATAAATTTCACAACCTTTGCATAAGACACTGCAACTCTGTCACATATGTCTGTTTATGCCAGCGGCGCCGCCCATAAGGCAAACGGTGGCCCTCATCACACTAGCAATGGCAGCAATGGGGTGAAAAACGGCGCCACCAATGGCCACAACGGTACATCGCCGTCACGGGACAGTGCCGTTGGTTTCCCAATTGCCATTTGCGGGATAGGCCTCCGTCTACCTGGTGGCCTTGAGACACCAGACCAGTTATGGGAGTTTCTCATGGCCAAGGGAGATGCAAGAGGCCGTGTCCCCGAGTCCCGCTACAATGTCTCTGCCTACTACTCCCCCAATGGGGAATTAGGAACAGTTGCCACCGAGTATGGTTACTTCCTTGACGACAAGATTAGCATGGGCCATTTGGATACATCTCGGTTCTCCTTATCCAGGACCGATCTTGAGGCCACCGACCCTCAGCATCGCATCATGCTTGAGGTGGCTCGAGAGTGTATCGATGATGCCGGTGAAGTCAACTTCAAGGGCCGACCCATTGGCTGCTACGTGGGAAACTTTGGTGAAGAGTTTCTCGATCTTCGAAACAAAGACCCATTGCAAGCAGGCACCAACAAGCCGGAAGGTATTGGGGAGTTCATGCTTTCCAACCGCGTGTCATACGAAATGGACCTCCGCGGTCCATGCATGACAATCCGAACAGCATGTTCATCAGCCCTGGTAGCCCTCAATGAAGCCCGGGTCGCACTGGAAAATGGGGATTGTGAGAGCGCTATCGTGGGAGGATCTAGTTTGATTCTTGGCCCAGCGAATACTGCCACCATGTCCCAATACGGCGTTCTATCGCCTGAAGGCTCGTCAAAAAGTTTCTCGGCCGATGCTGATGGGTACGCGCGGGCTGAAGCCATCTCTGCCATTTACATCAAGCCACTCGAGGCCGCCATCCGAGATGGAAACCCCATTCGTGCTGTTATCAGGTCCACTGCGACTAACTTTGATGGCAAAACGGCTGGTGTCGCTCACCCCAGTGCAGACGCTCAAGAAGCTCTGTTGAGGAAGGCATACAAGGCTGCCGGCATTACAGACTTCTCCAAGACCGCAGTCATTGAGTGCCATGCTACGGGCACACCTGTAGGGGATCCAATCGAGACAGATGCCATTGCCCGAGTTTTCGGTGACTGGGGCGTCTACCTTGGCTCTGTGAAGCCAAATCTCGGACACGGAGAAGGTGCATCAGGACTGACAGCTCTCATCAAGTCGGTGCTCGCCCTGGAGCACAAGACTATTCCTCCCAACATCAAGTTCAACAACCCTAACCCCAACATCCCATTCAAGGAGCGTAGACTGGAGGTTCCTGTTGAGCCAACGCCTTGGCCTGAGTCCAAGGCGGAGCGAATTGGCGTCAGTTCCTTCGGTATGGGAGGAACCAACGCTCACGTCATCGTTGACTCTGCCGCCAGCTTCAATATCAGTAGTCCAGCTGCGGAATCCAGGGAAAGCCATGAGCTTCTGGTCTTGTCCGCCAATACCGCCGCTTCCCTGAAGACCATGACTGCGCGCTTCCAAAGCTGGTTTGCCAAGGCCCGCCCCAATAACAAGGATCTCGCTTATACACTTTCTCTTCGACGAGAGCACTTCCTCCATCGAGCGTTCTTCATCGCCCAAGGCGACCACCTCAGTGAGGTCTCTCAGACAAGAAAGTCTGCAGCAGTCTCTCCGAACCTGGTCATGGTGTTCACCGGTCAAGGCGCACAGTGGGCTAAAATGGGCGCTGAGCTTCTCTCCCGCCTTGACCTACCTTTCAAGAGCTCCATTCAGTCACTGGACAAATACCTTCAAGAATCTCCGAATCCACCCACTTGGTCGATTGAGAAGGAGTTGATGAAGCCTGCGAAAATTTCCAAGATTCAAAAGGCTGAGCTTTCGCAGCCCTTGTGCACTGCCATTCAGATTGCTTTGGTTGATCTCTTGGCCTCTGTTGGCATTGAACCTGCGGCAGTTGTGGGACACAGCAGCGGAGAGATTGCAGCAGCATATGCTTCCGGTGCTCTTACCGCAAGGGAAGCCATCATCACCTCGTGGAAGCGTGGTATGGCTGCCGAGAAACAGACCAGGCCAGGTGCCATGGCTGCAGTTGGTCTTGGTTGGGAGGATACAAAGCCATTACTATCGGAGAATGTCGTGATTGCTTGCGAGAATTCACCCAAAAGTGTCACAATCTCTGGCGATGTCACGGAGGTCAAAGAGACAGTCGTACGTATTCGTGAGAGCCATCCAGATGTTATTGCTAGGCTTCTCAAGGTTGACAAGGCATATCACTCTCACCACATGCGAGAAATTGGCAACGAGTATTGTGCAATGATTGAGCAGGATATTGTCGGCAAGGCTCCTCAAAAGCCCTTTTTCTCCAGCGTTTTGGGTGAGAGAATTGAGCAGCCATTGGGTGCCAAATACTGGCAGGGCAACCTCGAATCCCCCGTACTCTTCAAAACTGCTGTTTCCAAGATCCTGGAACACTTTGAGCACACAGCCTTCTTGGAAATCGGACCACACTCTGCCCTGGCTGGACCTCTCAGGCAGATTCTAGGGGAAGTCTCCCGACCCCCTCTCTACGAATCTGTGATGACCCGCGGCGCCAACTGTGTTGAGTCTTACCTGAGGGCTCTCGGTGGTTTGTTTGAGTTGAACGTACCTTTCGACTTCGCAAGGCTGACAACTGGCGCAAACACCCTCGCTGGTCTTCCACCCTATTCTTGGGACCACCAAGTCGAGTACTGGAAGGAGTCACGTATCTCAAAGGATTGGAGGCAACGTCAATACCCGGCTCATCCCCTGTTGGGTCTCAACCAACTCGAGAGCACCAGCCTGGAGCCAAGCTGGCGCAACATGTGCCGAGTTAATGAGATCCCCTGGGTTAGAGACCACATGATCGAGGAGAACATCATCTTCCCCGCCGCTGGGTACATTAGCATCGTTGCCGAGGCCATCAGACAAGTCAGCGGCTCTGAAGACGGCTTTGCACTTCGCCATGTGCTGATCAATGCGGCCATGGTCCTGAATGAAGATGAGCCAACGGAGATTGTTACCACATTCCGCCCGCACCGGCTTACAGACTCGACTGATTCGCAATGGTGGGAGTTCGTCATTGCCTCCTACAACGGCCACGTCTGGATGAAGCACTGCAGTGGTCAGGTCACTTCTAAGTTGGGCGAAGCTGAAGCAGTCCAACGGTTCCCGAGTCTTCCACGACCAGTCAAGAACCGTAGCCTTTATCAGTCCATGGACGAGAGCGGTCTTCGATTTGGGCCTACATTCCAGCGACTGGCCAATGTCAGGACTGGGACTTTGGAGGGCGTGGCTACAGCTGATGTTGTGGACCTTGAGATGGCTGATGCGAAGTATTATGCCATGCATCCTACGATCATTGACGCTTGTCTTCAAGTAGCCCCAATCGCAGCCTTCAAGGGACGAGTTCTGGCCAAACACTACCGGAGGGTTCCCACCAAGATTGAGAGCTTGACCCTGCGCCCAATCTCTGCCTCTGCCCGTGCTACTGTATCCGCGTCCGCCACACTCATCAAGGGCAGCGGCGAGGTCGTGAGTCAAACGCAACAAGTTGTAGTCGGAGACCAGGTGGCTTTGAGCATTCACGGCATGAACATATCTCCGCTTGAGGAAGCTGAAGTCATTTCCCACGACAGTCTCCAGAACACAGCCCGGTTTGTCTGGAAGCCTCACCTGGATTTCCTGGACACTTCGAAGCTCATCAAGCCCGTCATCAACTGGAAGCTGCACTACCCCGTCATACAAGAGCTTGCGCACCTCGGAATGATGTGGACTCACCAGAACGTTCACCATATGCAGACCGATATTCCCCATCTGATCAAGTTCATGGCTTGGTTGAAAGATCAAATGGAAGCAATCCGAGCCGAGGCCGGGCTAGCATCTAGTTATTTCGACAAGGGCCAAGACGCAATCATGGAACGGATTGATGAACTGGTGGAGGACTTCAAGCCTACAGATGTCGCCGTGATAGCCAGGGGAATTAAGCAGCTTGCAGTCAACGTGGAGGCGATCCTCAAGGGAGAGAAAGACTCGCTCGAGGTTCTGTTAGAAGACGATCTTCTCAACCAGATCTATGCCCCAGCTGATGCCAGCGATCGGTCACTGTTCATCCAAGGTCTCGCCCACACCAAGCCCAACCTACGCATTCTGGAGATTGGTGCAGGTACAGGTGCTTCCACGGCCAGCATGCTCAGCTACTTGGTCCTCCCGGGATCCAACGCACAGCCAATGTACTCCAGATACACATACACTGACATCTCGTCCGGTTTCTTCGTCGCCGCCAAAGAACGATTCAAGAACTACCGCGGCATGGAGTATAAGACGCTAGATATCAGCAAGGACCCTCTCGAGCAAGGCTTTCAAAGCGAGCAGTATGATTTAATCATCGCCACCAATGTCATTCACGCAACCCACACGATCGGTGAATCTTTGGCCAATGTTCGCAAACTGCTGGCGCCCAACGGTAGATTCCTGCTCCACGAACTCCATACGGGCTCCAAGTGGCCCAACTTCATCTTCGGCATTGTCCCTGGTTGGTGGCTCGGTGAAGCTGACGGGCGTCCCGATCAGCCATATGTTACCCCCGAGCGTTGGAACACAGAGTTGAAGAACGCTGGATTCACCGGCGTGGATCAGGTTGCTCTGGATGGTGAATACCCGTATCAGCTCAACGCCATTATGATTGCACGGCCTGCTGTCGGGTCCGCGGCACCCAAGAAGTCAGTTACCTTGCTTTCTGAGGAGGGTGCAACTCACAGAGGTGCTTTGACTCGCCAGCTCGAAGCCAGAGGGTATGCGGTTGACCACTGCCAACTGGGTGACGACCTGCCTCCTTCACAAGACATCATATCCTTCCTCGACTGTGACCGTCCCTTCTTCAAGGAAATCGGCGAGAATACTCTTGCGCAACTCCAAAAGCTCATGGCGAGCATTGGTAACTCAAAGCTCTTCTGGATCACCCATGGCTGCCAAGTGAAATGCACCAACCCTGACTTTGCGCAAGTGATCGGCATGGCCAGAGCTGCTCGAGTTGAAACATTGTCAGACTTCGCCACTTGTGAAGTTGATGATATGGCAACATCGCTCGATGTTGTCGTGGATGTCTTCGTCGAGTACCAGAAGAACCAGGGCGACGAGACTCTTCGCCAAGATTACGAGTTCGCCATCGTGGATGGTACTGTCATGGTCCCGAGAGCCTATCCTGTAGTTATGAAGGACGAGATGACCACTGGTGCGACAGAGGAAGACCAAATGGTGCTGGAGGCCACAAAGCCTGGTCGTCTGACTTCTTTGCAATGGAGCCCACGAGAACGAAGCCAGTTGAGTGCTGGAGACGTTGCGGTTGAGGTGCACGCTGCAGGTCTCAACTTTAAGGTAAGTTTTATTTTGGAGGACGCTTCGATTCAATATATGCTAATCAGACTTCAATGTAGGATGTTCTTGGGGCATTAAATGTCGTTCCCTACCCTGATGCTGGCCTAGGAGCCGAAGGAGCAGGTGTTGTACGTAGAGTCGGACCAGAGGTCAAGGATCTCAAGGTCGGAGACCGCGTTATGTTTTTGATGTCGGGAGCATTCACCACTCATGCCGTTGTGCCCGACGAGTTCTGTATGCGCATCCCTGACAATCTTTCCTATGACGACGCCGCGACGATGCCTGCTGTCTATGTCACGACTATTGAGGCGTTGATAAACGTTGGAAGTCTCTCGAAAGGACAGGTGAGTTTCCATTCAACAAAAGTCGCAAAACGGGGCTTAAAACTAATTTCATCCAGTCCATCTTGATTCATAGCGCTTGCGGAGGTGTTGGAATCGCTGCGATCAACCTTGCCCAGATGGTAGGGGCAGAGATCTACGCGACAGTCTCCAACGAAGACAAAGTTAAGTTGTTGACTGACACCTACGGCATTCCCCGAAACCGGATCTTCAACTCTCGAGACACTAGTTTCTATGAGGGTGTGATGCGTGAAACCAACGGTGTCGGTGTTGATCTGGCACTCAATTCCTTGGCCGGCGAGTTGCTCCACACCACATGGCGTTGCGTCGCAGAGTTTGGCAAGATGATTGAGATTGGCAAGCGCGATCTTCTCGAGGCTGGACAGCTAGATATGGCCGGTTTCCTCGCTGGACGAAGCTATCACGGCGTGTTTGTTGATATGTTGATCACCAGGCCATCTCACTGCAAGCGGTAAGTTACAACTTGGCACATCCAGTAGGACACACGACTAACATGAAGAATCAATCCCAGAATTCTCAAATCACTTGTTGGATACTTTGACCAAGGTGTCATTGGGCCAGTTAAACCAACGACAGTGTATGACGCAGGGTCGGTTCAAGAGGCCTTCCGATTCATGCAGCAAGGCCTGCACATCGGCAAACTCGTGATTTCTCTTCGTGGCCCTGACGGTTCGCTCAATATAAATACCGAGCTGGCCACTTCCATCAGGAAACTAAAGCTTGACGAATCAGCCTCCTACCTGTTGGCTGGTGGTCTTGGTGGCTTAGGACGCTCAGTTGCTCGATACCTCGTGGAACACGGCGCTCGCCATATTGTGTTCCTTTCGCGCAGTGCCGGTAGCGGGCCTGATGATCAAGAGTTTGTCGTTGAGCTTGAAAGTTTGGGGTGCAAAGTTCAATTGGTAAAGGGAAGCGTCAACAACAAAGACGACGTGGTCCGAGCTGTTTCAGCATCACAGAACCTCAAAGGTATCTTGCAAGCCTCGATGGTGTTGCGGGATGAGAACTTTGCCCAGATGAAGATTGAAGACTGGCGAACAACAATCCAACCCAAGGTTGAAGGCACGTGGAACTTGCACCATGCTACGCTCGAAGCCAAAATTGACCTCGACTTCTTCATCTGCTTTTCATCTATGTCAGGGACCACCGGACTGGCAGGCCAATCCAACTATGCATGCGCCAACACCTTCCTTGACGCATTTGCTCAGTACAGACAGAGCCTTGGACTTCCTGCCACCTCTATCGACTTGGGAGCGGTGCGCGACGCTGGATATGTCGCCAGAGATGAGGCCCTGTTGAAGAGAATGAAGGTCACGGGCTCAAAGGGTGTTACCGAGTTGGAAGTTCTGGAAGCTGTGTCCATGGGTATTCTTTCAAAATCAATCGTGAAGCCTAAGCCTGCTAAGAACGCTGAGGAGACCGAGTTTGTCGACCAGAGTAACCTTGTGCTTGGTCTTCTCTCTGAGATACCCCTGAGTAGCCCGGAAAGTCGCGCTCTTTGGAAGAATGACAGACGCATGGCCGTGTATCACAACTCATCCACTGATGCCTCAGATGGATCCGGATCTGGCGGTGACATGCTGAAGGCTTTCCTATCCACTGCGAAGAAGGATGCATCAGTGCTGAAGGCGAATGAGTCTGTGCAGCTTCTCGCTGTCGAGATTGGCCGAAAACTGTTTAGTTTCTTACTCAAGTCTGAAGATGAGCTTGATACATCTGTTTCTCTTTCATCTCTTGGGCTCGATTCTCTTGTTGGAGTAGAGATGCGAAGCTGGTGGAGACAGACATTTGGGTTTGATATCACCGTCCTAGAGATGTTGGGCATGGGTACACTAGAGGGGCTGGGCAAGCACGCTTCCCAAGGAATGTTAAAGCTTATAGATAGTGAATCAGGATAAAAGTAAGCGGGAATAGGGTTCGGATAGAAATACATCTCATCTTAGTTATTACTTATAATTGTATACGATTCCTCTCTGAGGACAAATGGCATTCTTATGAGCAAAGGTTGTATTCTTTACTACATTATTAACGGTATTCAAGTGGTTGAAAGCTTGGATTAAAGCTAGCCTAGTCTTCATCACGATTATCAATATCAAGTTGTCCCAGTTCCTCAGTCTCTGACAACGTACCAAGCTCAAGTCTTCCTAAAAACACGTTCTAATCTTCCAGGCGTATATACACACTCAAGTGAATGAAGTAAAACATAGTATAAAAGCTCTTTCCATGTATGACAGGGACCTTATTTTTATCCAAACACAATAAAAAAGAATAATAAATTATTCTACGATATTTAGCTTGATATACTGTTTATTACTAGGCCAATTAGTCTGATATTATGTTGAAACTCAATAATGCACCATCTAGATGTGCCATATTTCATACAAGTTGCTTGATACTCTAAAAGATTCCAGAGGCTGAGAACCTTGTTAGCCAAATATGTCATTTCCAGGATGCAGCGAGGCGGCTGCGGAAGACGAGGCTTCGACTCACCCATGGTGGCATAAGCATTGTTCACTGACACGGCTTGCATCTGTGCATTCAATGCCATCTGGTTTGCCAATGTCATCATCTGCGTATTGTGCGCCGCGTTCAAGCTCGTGTTAATGCTGTTCTGTGCGCTTTGATTCATCATGATGTTGAGCATGTCGGTTGTGCTCAAGCCCTCCATGTTGAGTCCACGGGCCTCCATCTTGCCTCGAAGATCCTTCTTCTGTACTTCGCTCAGGTCACCAGTGGCAATAGCATCAGCACGGCGCTGTGCCAAGATCTCTGCTCTCTTCTCCTGATAGAGTTTGATTTTATCGTTGATGTTCTTAAGACTGGCTGCGTCCGGTGCTTTTGGTAGAGAAGCCATCGGGATGGGATACTTGAACCGTTCGTCGGAAAACGAGTCCACAATATAGAGGCTCTCGTCGAGAATAACCTTGTTCAATGCTTTGAGGAAGGTATCCTATACGAATGGCGCAAAGCCACGTTGTTAGCAACCATCTTTTAATCGACAAGAATCATTCCTCGAATGGCTGTGTCGTCATCAACCATTTGCATATCAAGTCACGCGCGTGCATCCAAGGCGGTATTTGACGGGTAGAAGTGACGAGAAAACTTACTGGAAGGACCATACAATTCAAAATGATCGATAATGCAAAGCCTCCTCTCGTCAAATATGGCATATTTCCCTTCGGCCCCAGGTCCGGGGTACGTCTAGTAGACATGTCGTGCTCCATGTTGAAGATCTTGTAGTTCAGGGCCAAGATCTTGTCACGCGTATGCTCGTCAAGGTACTCGGCTTGGGCAGGAGTGAACTCTTCTTCAAAGTCGAGTAGCTTATCCCATTGCCGCATCATTTCTGGGTTCAGGTAGGCTTTTGCGCCGCGCTTTTCCATAGCATTGTTCGGGACGAGGGAAGACGACACCAGGAGGTCGGTCAATGCTGTGCGGTGTTAGTATTTAGTGAATGCTCTGAAAACTGCCTTTGACAGGTCGGTACACTCGATATGCGTACCAATAATTAGCCTGCTGAACCTGAAAGAATCAACCACCATGTCCGGATCCCCTTGCGGCGGGTCGGGGACGAACTTGCCCCAATACTCGAATGCCTTTGCCTCCTCCTCGTTTCCGGAAGTGTAGCTGCTCATCATAACGGTTTGCGGTAGTCGAGGCAGCTTTTGGCGTCACGGGGGGATTCGTAAGGCGAAGTGTTCAGCTGCCGAAGTGAAATCTGAGGCAAATTCACTACTAATCGCCTCGGTCTTCCTCCTTTATATGCAGGACTCTATCTTGGATACACATCAGCTGATCCTCTCCCTACACTCTTCTGGCTGAAATCTATATGTATAGCACGAGTAGAAGGCGTGCCGCTAATGTCAATAGTGGCTCTTTCACCCAACTGGCTATGCCAAAAGATGAGCTACATCGGCACAACTTGCCGCGATGCGCCTGACACTCATGCTTTAGATAAAGACAACGGCTTGCGCGCCTAACTGCATCCATCAGATATATTGTCTTACTTGGCTACCACAACTAAAGGCCTTCAGCAACAGCAATCAGCTATATTTTCAACCCATCCGTTGCACAGTTGGCAATAGCCATTTATAATAGTCAAATGACTATGTTCATGATGGTTATTACCGTTGTATATAGTTAGATCTATGCAAATTACCCCAACAATTGCGGATTTGCGGAGGGCTCTTACGGCTATGTTTGCCGGTCCATCTCAGCCTCAGGAGACTAGTGGGCCGAGTAACCGGGCGAGAGCACAAATGCGCAGGCCAGCTGTGGGTGAATGCTATGAATAGTATGAGCGGAGGGTGGGTCAGTTAATCTGTATAATCTTGTAGGTCTAGAACGCGCAAACGAGGCAGATTCGGCCACAAGTTACTGGTGGCTTAGCTGCGTCTTTGACCTGTCCTTCCCCAGTGAGGCTGGGGAATCCCCCCTGTCGTATCAGAAATGTGTGGATTATGTTGAGGTACCTGGTCAATATATGCCAGTATAATGTGTGACAGCCTGGGTTTCTATGAGGAATTCTTTACTGAAGGATTCTTGCTTTCTGGCAACTAGGTTACAGTCCCGACTCGCAAGGTATCATAGCGAGTAGCAGGTTTTCTCCCGACAATGACTGTGTTCAACATATAATTAGTTAGATAGCACCATTAGGTACAAATCATTCGATAGGAAATTGACTTGGTTGATTATATTTGACCCGTCCGTTTGGAAGGCTGAAGTGCTTCGCGCTCTTGAGCTAGCTTCGGTTGAATCCATATTGAAATTTCAATCTCTTTTGGATTTTCGTTTCCTATGTGAGACCATCTTAGACGCTATGAAATCAGTACTACTAGTTGGGATATAACTATGTACTCTTCTACCTATAGCTATCATATTAAGATAGCATTGTGCAAGTCACGTTTTGCTCTAGGCTACGAGTAGCACCTGGACTACATATTGCAGTTGAATTACAGCACTGGTTGCTTCTCGATCAGATACAGACAATCTTATTCGATTTTTTTTTTACATCTTTATCATCTGATTCGCTCACAAAGATAAGATCTCCAGGTCGGAGTTGAGCAGGCGTTTATAATTGACCTCAGCAACATCGTATTTAGACTCATCATCCAACAACCCATCTCGATATTTGAGCTCCAATGTTGATCTCATTGACCTGTCCTAGTTGTAGTAAGTCGTCTTCACGCCTTTAATAATCTCAACCTCAGCTTCCTCATTATCACCCTTTCCGCTGCCGGTGTTAGCGCCCAGATTACGGATGACTCGCTGTTTTACCCATTCGCCAGCCTTCACAGGCTTCCCATCCTCTCCTAAAACCTGGTCTCCAATGAGACCGAGGCGCTGGAGAACCGGCGATTCCTGGATAGGGAGGAGATCGATGTCATCCTCGATACGGACCATGTAGAGGACCCCGAGGCGATCAATGTGTGCTTGGTCTTTCGGGGGAGCAACAACACGGTGGATGCTAGATTTGAGGAAGCCATCTTGTGATAAGTCTTCATGTTAGTTCTTTTTCCGTATTTCATCGGGTACACATCTGATACTCTCTCGAAAATAGACAGGAGGAGGCAAAACTGACTGGTGAGGAACTGGAGCGCATCGGCTATATTGACGGTAAGTGCGTCGGTTTGAGGACGCACCCATTTCCAGGAACCGTCCTTGCCTAAAACCTGCAGAGCAGCAACGGGCTGGCGGAAGAGTAAAGTCAGACTTCCCATATCTGAATGGCTATTACACTAGAGTCAGCCAAACATTGTCATAAACCCCGTACCATGACAACTACGGTAACATACCCTTTGAGCCAGACGCCACCGAGCTTCTGATTTTCCTCGGGCGTGCGGTGGTAATATTTCATATAACGCAAATGATCTCCGCTTTCCTGCTCGTAGCGATGCCGATTTACCAGCCAGTTTTCATCTTCAAGTTCCAGTGCGAGAGCGAAGATCACGAGGAGTTTTGTGACAATGTGGTCGTGGATGTGTCTAGAGAACTTCTCGATAGTAGCAAGGTGTTCGGTAACTGGGGCTGGGTGCTTGCGCTCGGTGTGGTTCCCATTGAATTTTGGGATGTTGTATATCTCAAAGTTGTCTTTCACACCAGGAATAAGGTCGCGGGTTCCCGCAGGCTTCCAGCCGTTGTAATCACCTTTCTCGAGGGCAGCACGGTAGGGAGCCTTTTCTTCGTCAGTGAGGGAGAGGGTGGAAGCGCCTATGGCGAACTGTGTGTCAATATCGTCGGGACTGAGGCCATGATTGATGACGTAGAAGAATCCTATTTATGTGGGAGATCAACTGTCAGCAGCGGAGTCTGGAGAGGAAGACAGATTGTCCCCAAAAGAGTTTCAGTGCAAGCTGCTCACCAACTTCTTCGATGGCTCTTGTCAGTGCTTTGGCTAGCTCCTGCTTGCCACCAGGTTGATCAAATTTGGACAGATCCAAAGACGCTAAATCGGCCCATTCCAAAGACTCTGCCGTCTCCCTCTCCTGAACATACGGCAATGTGATAGATTGTGTAGCAGTCGCCATCATGAATTTGATTGTTGCACTCTTCCTGGTTTCTTTCTCTATCGATAAAATGAGTCTCAGCGTCGTCCTGTTTGACGTACGTTCCTGTTAATGTGAAGTGGGAAACTGAAATGTCTTTATCAAAGGCTAAAAGCCAATCACTCCTGCTTCTCCGTGGGTTGTGTCCCCAAACTTGAAGTGGGGTTTCCTTTCCTCCCATCAAGCGATCCTATAACAAGAGTCATATTGTGTGTTTCTACTGGAAATATGACGGATATCTCAAGATTCCCGATGCATTGGATGGCGCAACTCGGACCCGGTATTGCAACGCATGGCCCTGAGCGTGGTTGTGGGGAAAACATGGGTTCTGCTCCGACCACTGCGATGGCGAGATCAAATCGTTTAATTAGCAATCAATCAAGATCAGAGATCTTTGATTAAAGCGGGAATTTTTCAAGTGTTCAGTCATGATCGTTCGGCGAGTTCCCGACGTTACTGCCCACGATGAGAATACTCGAATGAGCCAAGCTCGTCAGTGAGCTTAGACGGTAAGCAAGGTACATGTAAAGCAGGGACTTCACTTTTTATTGAACGCATTAATAAGAGAATACTGAATTATTCTGCAATGCTTAGTTTAATATTGTATGCATTACTGGATTAATTACTCTGTTGTTGTGAATTTCAACGCTGGGGTGTCCAGGTGTCAGTCGCTTGGCTACTCAACCTGACCCTGGGCATACATGGGAGTAGCTTGCACCTTTCCTCTTAGTCGATTAGAGAATGGATCTAGCAAGGGTTTGTTCAGGCCCGGCAGTCTGGATTCGAAATTGGTTTTTGCAGTTGGGTGGAGATTGAAACCTGCCGCCATCGGCCATCCTTCATTCACTCTGTCTGCATCATTATCTTATCTTTTCCCATTTCATCTTGCTGTATGCAGCTAAATGAGACATCCCAGGTCCGGTTCAAGCTACAATTTGTCTATATTTGGGACTGCCAGTGACCTGAGGCCTCAAGCTTCACACATATCATACAACCAGAACTCTCCCTTCAAGCCAATCTAAGAAGAAATAGAAGGCTTGTCTGCAAATTAAACCGGCACTGCTTCGTTGAAGGGTAGCAAGGGGAGACAATGGTGGGATCCGTTCCGCATGAGAAGGCTTCGGCCAGCGCAGACCAGGAACAGGATGTCTACGAGAAGCCGCCGGCGACGGCCGTACTGGAAGTTATGGGCGAGGAGTCACGGCCGATTGACCCCGAGGTCAATAGGAGGGTCTTGCGCAAGATTGACTTGTTTCTCATGCCTGCCATGGTTTTCGGTACAGTTCAATCTTCGTCAGCTTGAGTGTCAAAAGTACTAACATCATGTCGCAGGATATGGACTTGTTTACTATGACAAGGTGTGTTTTGTCTCCATACTTCAAAAAATGGTACCTCAATTGACGATTGTTCACAGGCAATTCTAGGAAGCGCAGCCCTCTTTGGCATGACCGCGGACCTGCAGCTCTCGGTGGTGGACAATTCGACCACGCCGCCGACCACTGACACCTCCCGCCTCAGCTGGGCCACATCCATCTTTTATTTTGGGCAGCTGATCGGCTCCTATCCCATGACATATCTCCTGCAATACTTCAATACCCGCTACATCCTTGGTCCTGTAGTAATGACCTGGGCCATCATCTGTGCCTCCACAGCTGGTGTGACCACATGGCAGGGTCTTCTTGTCCAACGGTTCTTTCTTGGTGAGCTCGGCGCAAATGAATTTTCATGAAAAATTCAACTGAGACTAATTGAGAGTTATTTGTCAGGATTCACCGAATCTGTCATCCCAACAGCATTCATGATCACTGTCAGCGGATACTACACACAATCCGAGCAAGCCCTCCGTCAGTCCTGGTGGTTTTCTGGAACCGGCTGGTTCACCATCATTGGCGGTGCTCTCAATTACGGTTTTGCTCAGATCAAGGGCGGTGCCCTTACACCTTGGCAGTACATCTACGTCCTTGCCGGTGGCCTCACCTTCCTTTTTGGCCTCTGGTGCTTCGCCTTGCCCAACTCTTCGCTTGATGCATGGTTCTTGACACCTGAGGAGCGTATTGTTGCGGTTGAGAGATTACGTGCAGGCCAAACTGGCGTGCGGAACCAGGAAGTCAAATGGTCTCAGATTAGGGAGGCGGCCCTGGATATCAAAGTCTGGCTAGTCGCCTTGACCATGGCTGCTGGGTGAGTCTCCTAATACCCTTCTAAACTGTTGCTTTGTTGAAAGGAGAGCTAACAAATGACGCTGATCAGATACACTGTCAATGGCGCCGTCTCGGGCTTTGGTCCACTCATCGTTTCAACGTTTGGTTATACTTCTCTTGAGAGCATCCTATTTCAGTTTCCCCTTGGTGCCATCTGTGCCGTCGGTATCCCCCTCTCCGGGTGGATTTGCTCACGTTACAAGAACATCCGGATTCCTCTCCTGATCTTATGCTGCCTTCCCGTCATTGCGGGTTTCGTTATCATCTGGAAATCCGAGTGGGGTCATCGTCCTGCCGCTCCTGTCGTTGGTTATTCCATTGTTGGCTTCTTCGGTCCCGTTGTAGGTTTGACTGTTACTCTTGGCGCCGCCAATGTTGCTGGTGAGACAAAAAAGAGCTTCATGGCGGCCGCAGTCTTTGTGGCGTACTGCGTTGGCAACATCGTGGGGCCACAGTTGGTTAAGAGCCAGTCGCGGAGCAAGCATTACCCCGAGCTCTGGACTGGCCTAATAATTTGGTATGTGGTGTCTCCCTCGTGTCGTCTTTTTTGAGCCTCTTTAACCATTCATCTTATAGTTACGTTATTACAATCTTGTCCGCAGCTTCACTTTACATCGTGCTCTACAGGGAAAACAAGAAACGTGAGCAGATAGCTACCGACGATCATGAACGGGATAGGCTGGCTTTCCAAGACCTGACGGACAAAGAAAACCCATATTTCAGATATGCTCTATGAGCAGCATGGCAGGAGTCAAAGATATACATCGCTGTTCTTACTAGACTTTTTCACATTTATATCCAAAGCTGTTCTCGACGACAATGTCGATAAGTAGACAATATCTTGATAACAAGTTCAGTATTCTTGCTCACAGGTCTTGATAATAGTCCTAAATAAAATGCAAATTGGGCTATATTCTACCAAGTTTGTAACTCGTTATGCACACGGCGAAGTCCAATCACCCGGTCTTAGTATGTTAAAACCAAGTTTCCAATTTCTCCCTACTGCCAAGTGGGTGTCATGTGTCAATAACCAGGGCTGCAAAGGTGTCTTCATCAATTTTTTCCAAACGGGCCACGATATTAATAGACCATAGTTGATAATAATGACAATAATAAATTATTGAAAAACTATTAGACAATATCATCTGCTTACTATTACATAATGGAGAACAATAGGAAGTATAAAATGTTTCTATCGAGGCGACTTTGCAGTCTCTGTTTTTCTGACAGGCACTTGACTACGTCTACGCAGTTGCACATTGAGACTAGCAAGGGGGCCCGTCCTAGGCTCCATCAGAATTATGCGTCCAGAAGAATGATTTCGTGATGTGACCAATTACAATTATCCAATTACCGTACCTGAATTGCATCTTAATGGGTCCCGTTGACGACACCCGCTGATCCGGACCGGCTTTAAGAACTGTTGGCCGAGAACCCACGTGTCTCCGGCTCGTCATCATCCGAAAGATAAGGTTGAGATTAAAAGAAAAAAGCGCACTTCATCCACATTTCCAATATCTTACGAGCAAGTGGATTCGGTGGATGAAATCGGGATGAATGCCTATGATGGAGCGACTATGGAAGGATTAGGAGGCTGGGCTGCGATATCGCAGCAAGAATTAAGCGTGTTCATTTGCATTCACATCTTCCCTCGATGAAACCAATCTATGTTGTAGGTGCATAGTGTCTTTCGAATCTAGCAACGCTCTTCATGGCTCAGACAAAGCGACGTGTCGCGGTGATTGGTACCGGCCCCGCGGGTGCTATCACGACGGACGCTTTGGTGAAGGAACAAGCTTTCGAGACCATCAGGGTTTTCGAGAGACAAGACAAGATTGGAGGAACTTGGTAAAGCAACGTTCTGTTTTCTAGTTGTCGATGATAAGGAATCTAACGACAACTCTTATTACTAGGGTTTTCCATGGTGATCGACCTGCTCCTCAAAGCGTCACCCTGCCCATCGGGGGCAGATCAGCACCAAAGGCCAAGAATATACCGTCGAGCTTTCCGTGTCAGCTGCCCAAACCTCAAGATGATGTTTGGGAGACTGCTGCCCATGAGAATTTGCACAGCAACCTACCTCCTGAAATCATGTGCTTCACACAAGAGCCAATTCCTCACGTGGTTTCTGAGCATATTCTGAACCATTACGGTGCAGATGCCCCGTTCCGCCATAGGGAACTCATCCGTGAATGGATAGAGACCATCTTTCACACTCGAGGGAATGAGAAGCTCGTGGAGTTCAATACGTCCGTCGAGCTCGCTGAGAAAGTTGGAGATCAATGGATTCTGACACTTCGCAAGTCTGTTAAAGGCGAACACAAGGAATCCTGGTGGCAGGAAACTTTCGATGCGCTAGTTGTAGCTACTGGTCATTATAACCTCCCCTGGGTGCCAGATATTCCTGGTCTGGCCGATTATGATGCCAAATATCCCGGAAGAATCAGGCATACCAAGCATTATAGGGATCCAAGTGATTACAAGGACAAGGTACTTGATTGGCTTATACATTTCTGTTTCAACTCTTTAGGAAGTAACACTGATTGGATATTTGCACAGCGTGTCGTGGTAGTTGGTGGCTCTGTGTCTGCCTTCGACGCCTTACATGATATCAGGACTACTTCAAAACACCCCGTCATATCATCAATGCGAAAGCCGTCGGCTATATTTGGCGCGCCGCCATTCAAACATCCTCACATTCAGAACCATTCAGAAATCGCGTCCTTTGATTCTGAAACTGGCAGGATCAACTTTACGGATGGAGGATTTGTTGACGACGTAGATGTAGTGCTGTTCGCAACCGGCTACGAATTTGACTTTCCGTTTTTACCAGATATCAATATCGTCAACAGAAGGATCCCAGGCTTGTATCAACACGTATTCCTCGCCAGAGATCCGAGTCTTGCCTTCGTAGGCATGGTAAGTTCTTTCAAGTGGCTCTATTCCCCAGTTCTATTAGTGAGCTTATACAAGATCTAACTTGTAATTCTGTTTCTTACAGGTAACTGGTGGATTTGGACTTCGCATCTTTGAGTGGCAGGGAGTCACTGTAGCTCGAGTATTTGCTGGAAGAGCAAAACTTCCCTCGCGGGAGGAAATGGAAACGTGGGAGAATGAGAGAGTTTTAACGGTCGGAGACGGCATCCCATTCTGGGTCCTTAACCCAGACTTCGAGACTCCTTTTGAGTCTTACCGGGCTCTTGCAGGAGAGCCTGCCCCAGGTACAACAGGTAGGGTCTTACCCAAGTATGATCCACAATGGGCAGATGCTTTTTGGGGACTCGTAAGCTATAGAACAAAGTGGTGGGAGAAGGAGGAAAATGAGGCCAAGGCCATAAAGAACTCCTAGATAGATGCCTTTAGACGACATAGCTGACTCAAAATAATTGTTTCAAAAATCTCTGTTCAAGAAGCAATAATCAAACATATATCGAGAATGGATATCCACCACTTGTGACATACCTAGCAAAGCTTATACTATACCATTGAAGAATATATCTAGCAGCTGGGTGGCATGGAAGAACACTGGTACCTAAATTTATATCCAACGGGAACAATTACACGGGTGTTATCGAGATTTATATGGGCCATCTCGCCTCCGTGAATACGGCATGGCAACATCCATGAAGCCCATGACGTGATGATCCACCAGATCTCATAGTGGAGGATCCTACGACAGTAGAAAAATATAAGAGCTCCTCCGTCTTGCCCCTTGTAGGGTTGCCAAACTTGCGAGAAGCCAGAATACTAAGCAAACAAATTGATTACAAGAGCTAAGTTCCGAGCGCCGTAACTCGTCAAGCGAAAATTGTCAGCCTGCAAACCAGAAAACAACTACGAACTGTCTTGCTCTCTCAGCCCGGTACTCCAAATACCACCTCACATTGCAAGAAGATGTCGGCTCGACCAGTTATCGAGTATTACTTCTCGTTCATCTCGCTGTGGTCATACATTGGCAGTCGCCGCCTGCAGTTGCTGGCTCAACACCATGATGCACAGATCATCTACAAGCCCATCGATCTCCTGAGGCTTTTCTCTGTTTCTGGTGGACTACCGGTCAAACAGAGGCCCAAGCAGCGCCAGGCATACCGCCTGTTAGAAATGGATCGCTGGACAAGCATCAGAGGACTACCAATCGTGAAGCATCCCAAGCATTACCCGGCGGATCCGTCATTAGCGCACCGGGTCCTTTTAGCTGCTATCGAAGAGCTTGGGTACGATAACGAATCGGTACAGGAGCTGGCTCGCAGAGGCTTGGATACAGTATGGGCGGACGAGGGGGATATTGCAGATGCAAATACCATCGTCAAGATTGCTAACAAGTCGGGGTTAGACGGAGTCCGACTTCTAGAGCGCGCAAAGATCGAGCCAGGCTTGGCAGAAAAGGAAGAGGCCTTGGCTCAGGAAGCCATAGATAGGGAGCTATTCGGCGCACCTACGTACTTTTACCGGGACGAGCCCTTCTGGGGCCAGGATCGTCTCGAGATGCTGGATGGGGTCATCCTTAGCGGGAGACCACCCTTCAAACTTCCCGGACCTGAGGCACTGTAACGAGGGACAAGGGGGTGTACATGGTGCATTAAACACAAAGATGGGCTATTCAGTCGTGGCTACGGGCGGCTTTTATGATTATCGAGCTAGATAAACACAAGTGAAGGTGCGATACTCATAGGGTCTTAACGTATAAAGACTGAAAAACTCTCTCAATCCGTTAATGAATCTTGGCCGATGTAAAAGGGTGCAAAGACCTCAATCGAGATACAGTTGCCTTGGTGAAAGCTTCTTTAAAACTACTTAGAAAGGCTATTACACAAGAAACAACCCATCTAAGGCACGAAACTTTCGAGAGGAACTTGAATGTTGGTATTCCAATTGGAGGTTTCAATGATAATTGATGATATAAATTCCATCGATATATGTATTAGCTGTTTCCAAGAAAGAATCACATTGTTGGTCGCGATGTAACGAAGAGCGGTTAATATTTATCCCCAACTCAACTTGTATCAATCTTACAACTTCTGTGTCACCGTTGAAACGAGCCTAATAATCATACTTTTTGACGCGACCCTTCTTTCCGAGCGCCAAACGATATAAGCTGAAGATGAAAGAGACTCAGTTTTCGGCGACGGTTGTGAATCTAGGATTGTCTCACCATCAGGCCAATCCGAGAAAGGGGTGGGCCAGTCTAAAAAGTTGCCAATGCAGGGATAACACAAAACACTCTGTTTGTTGGCTCTAACAAGTCGCACCCAACTGCTTCCAGCTAGCCATAAATGCCCGAGCCACGCTCCAAGTTTCACCAGCAGGTTTATGGGACCTGCGGGGTAGTTAGCCGCCAAAGCAAAGCTTCCAGTTGGTGCTTACGTCGTCACACTTGTACCAACAGAATGGGTTATGGTTGCAACCGAAACAGCTCCCTCACTTACTATTAAATATGATACCCCTATATACGAGTACAGCTATTTTGGTGTTGAACCTTAGATACGGCCGGGCACAAGGCTCGTAGCCGCAAGGCTGGAGTTTATTGTGTTGTGATGCCTGGGTATGGTATCAAGTTATCAAATTACTGGTGTCTGGGAATTTCCCCTTTTTTTTTCAGCAGCTGTACAGCTCCCTCACTTACTTACTACTACTATGGTTGCAACCGAAATCTCCTTCTGCTTTGTTCATCTTCTTCTCTAACAGAAACCCACCTTGTCGTATATTTTCCTGCTCTTAACGATGACTCGAGGCGATCAAGCTTACCTCGAGGGCTGCAAAGATGAACACATGCCAGTTCCCCCATTCGATCGTTACATTTACGTACTCCCAAACTACGTTGTCAAAAAGCCACTGTCCATAGGTGAAACTGGGTATCAGGGCTATCAGCCTGACGTTAGAACCGTCTTTCAGCGTGACGAGAACGAGATTGAGGCTATGAAACTAGTCCAGGAGTACACGAATATCCCCATCCCAAGGGTCATTCATCGTGGTGAAGGGTGAGTGTCCAACAAATATCGCGAAATATAAACCCTCTGTTCTAAAAAGTAAGTTTTGTTCAGTTTTAATGTCTTCGAGCGTATTCAAGGCATTACTGTCAACGAGAAGTCCATTCGGGATAGCGTGAATCCTCGCCAGCGGGAGGCGATCCGTCTCCAGGTTCAAGGTTTCATACAACAACTTGCAGCTATACCGAACCCCACAGGCGAGGTCAGATCGCTCATCCCATCCGGTCAAATCTTTCACCTTCAATTTCACAATCGCGGACCTTTCAAAATCACCCAGGACTTTATTGAGGCGTAGGCTGATCACAACGTACTGGGTGCCATTTCCCCTGAGAGCAGGCCTGTCTTCTCTCACATGGATCTTGATCTATCTAACCTCATTTTACACCCAAAATCTTGATGGTGTGGCTGGGGTCATTGATTAGGAAAGAGCCTGCTTCTTTCCTGGAGGCGGCAGAAGCATTCATCACATGTGCCATCAGTGGCCTGGCTGGGAGAGACTGTTCGATGGCTTAAAGTTGTAAACGTCGGGGGAGTCATCTCCTAAAGAAATTCGAGTGTCTCTCTCAAGAGTGAGGCAGCTTTCTAAACTACAACGGAAAATGCAACTTTTCATGGCCCGTATACGCTCACATCAAGCGTATGAAAATCTGGTATTATATCAATGTGCTACAGCTACACCTTGAGTCGTCAACTTGGCCATGGCTCTTTTTCTGGCTGCCAAGTGTAGTTGGGTATACTCATAATGGGGAATCTGGCTATTGGATCAGGAGATTGGCTTTGCTCATAGAATATTCCTAGCCCGCCGTTGCATTGCGAGGCCGTTGCGCTGGTGCGAGGCTCCGCCAGCATTGCTTTTGTCTCGAGGCGTGCGCGAAAGCATGTCAATCAGATTGACAACTATAGGGTGTTAAATCAATGACATTTTCAACACGCTGAGGCAATTGCGCCTTTGTATCATGAAGAAATATGCTATGGTGATAATTAGGCCGAGTGTAATAAACAAATGTTCTACCGCTTTCCTTCTTCACTTTGTTGAGGCCTGATTCTCTATACATCCGTAGGTAATATCTCACTTGGCAGACCTACAATGAGGCACAGCCCCATTGCTCTAAATCTCCATCCAACCTCTCTTGTACCCATACTATTTAACCCAGCCCAACTTAAAAATACTTGCAAAAAGCCCAGTGTTCTTCTTCTTCTGAGTTTCAAAATGCTCTCGCAGTGCTGTGGTATCAAAACCCTCCGCCTCAAATTCAAGCAGGGCGTTCAACCACATTGTCTCATCCCAGCGGGAAGCCAGCCCTCCAGCTTGGATTAGAAGAAGGCACATCTTGTATCTATCTTCAATGGGTGGCTTATGCTTGGCAACCTCATCCGGGTACTGAAGAAACCAATCCAGCGGAGTGCGCCCTGCTGAATCGCAGGCATTTGTCTCAGCGCCGCATTGAATGCACATTTCTGCGATAGATGGGCTCGCAATGTGAAGTGGAGAAACCTGGATGCCAGCGGTGCCCGCCCACCATACGTCCAGAACAACATTCGGGTCCTGCTTGTGTTTGAGAAACTCGGCAGCAAAGTTATGGTATAGCAGGTCTGCTTTGCCTTCATGGAGCGCACTGCTGGACTCATGTGACTCAATTGCCTCGACGGCTTCCCTATCCCAAGCATTGAAAAGAGTTTTCTCAAAAAAGAAGAGTTCTCGCTTGATGTCGAAGCCGTTTTCGAGCAGTAACCGAAGTATGGGTAATCTATTGTCAAAAGGGACAGATGGCGAAGATAAAAAGTGGTTCCTCAACAGAAAATTATTCAAGTATCCCCTTGACAGTCTTGATAGGTCACCCTGGTGCTCTGAAACCCAATCACGGAGACACAGAGCAAGGCCACTCGAAGCCATAAATGCGACGATAGTGGCGGACGGATCGTCATACTGAATCTGCTGACTGAGAGATTTGTAAAATGGCGTTGAGGGAAGCTCTTGGATGAACTTTATCTGGCTATGTCCAGTGGTGTGCTCAGAGAGCTGTGCATGGTGAGCAACCAGCTGCTGCAATTCTGCTCTTCTAGATTCATCAACAAGAGTCGAAGAGATCCAGTACTTCACACGGAAAGAATGCCCGTTGTCATTGATGAAAGTGGACAGGCCACCAAGCACAATTTGTTTAAATGCCAAAGCCATTGTAAACTCCGCCACTGTTTGATGCATCAACTGCGGAAGGTCTTGGTCTTCTCCGCTCACAATCTCGACGAGTCCTCCGCTCCAGATGTTAATGTCGTTTTTAACCTGCTCTCTCTCGAAAAATGTATTGGAAGCTTTTTTAATTTTGGAAAGCTCACGAGAAACATCCATTGGTGTTGAGCAATGAGATACAATTACCGCATCTCTCAGTTCTTTCGCTGTCATCGGTGGTCCAATACTTGGGCGGATGAGCAGTTCAAGAAGCGCGAAGGTATACCGACGAACAGATATACTTATGCGAGATATTATCAACTCATAGTAGTCCTGAAGATCCGAGGGAACTTGCGAGAGGGCTTTGTGTAGCTCCTCTCGCAGCCTCCTGGGCTGATTTTGATACACTGATGCTGTCCGGAGTATCTCTCGTATGGTGAGCTTAACCCACAGGAACACCCCATTTGCTTTGTCAACGATCGTGGGAACAAGATCCAGTACCAAAGGGTCAGCTGCACTCGACGCAATCAGAGAACCAATGGTATAATTCTCAATGTCTGTTGCGGTATGTTCCTGTAAGCTAATCGAAGGAAACCCCACGAAATCCCTCTGTAAGGATTCCCACGGTCGACTTGAGAAGCAGACCTTGATTCTAGTCGCTGAACTTTTAGATCCATCCACCAGAGATCTTATAAACCGGCTGATGAGATTGATATGGCCATCGAATTCATCAAGTGCATCGAAGAACAGCGTCAAGTCCATCTGTATTATGTCCTGATCGACAAGGAACCGAAGGACTCTCTCTAGTCGGTGTATTGATCCTTCGTGATGCTCTTTAAACTCTTCGATCACATTGGACAGAAGGATTCTTTCTTGACTATATTGAAGGCGTTTTGCGATCCTAAGAATATATTGTAAGTTGGAGAGAGTATTACTTGATGATTCCGCAAAGCTCTTTAATTCAAATTCAGCCTCCTTCCGAGATTCTTCGTGGATTTCCAAAAGGCTCTGATTAAGTTGTATTTTTTCGTCATTTTCGGAAAATCCTCTCGAAGTTTTCTCCGCTTGAGACAAAATCAACTCCGTCTTCAATTCTACGATTGATTTGTTAGTTTCTGTTAAAAATACTTGCTTCTGTTCTTTCTGAATCGTCAATTCTTTGACATGGTCTGTCAATATCCGATATTTCTGCAATATGTGTTGGAACTTCTTTTCCATTAGAAGTCGGTGGGGTGCAAGTATTTGTATAATAAGACTCCGGAGCACTCCTTCGAATGATTTTTGCAAGGCTGTACCACGTAAATGAAGGAAGAAACTGCAGACGATTTCACTAGGTCTTCTCCAATCATGTAAGAGTTCCCAGGTCTGCTTGCTTTCAAGCACATGCTTCATCAGTGTCGACTTGCCCGAACCCGGCTTCCCATGTATCCAAAGCAACTTGAAATCGTCATTCTGGAGCCAGTCACAAAAGGTTGGGGTTTGGAAGATCCATTGAAAGGTTGATTGGAATGGATCTTCAATCTGGTGGACTCGGAAATCCAGCTCCGGTGAGTATAATTGGCCATGCATCTCTAGACATGCATCAGTAATAGCCTGGAATTGAAGCGGATCAGCGCAACTTACTTCGGGCCTCCGACAGAAGCTTCCCAACATCCGTGATGGCCCTATCATCGAATCCGGTGGCGTCTTCCAACGCAGCAGAACTCTTTGTGAAGTCTCTGTCTTGATCCGCAAGCGCAGAACCTTCAACGTCTGAGAAATGACCTGACATCGGCATGGTGGAGGCGCAGATTTCCCGAAGTAGGACTAGAATTGACCCCAAGTTTGGGTTGCCACTAGAAAATTTAACCATGTTGGAGTGATTCTCATTGATTGGGAGAATTGAAGCCTTGTCCTTGCGGTTATAGTAACTTGTTGCTGAATCCGGGTTGACCAAAACCTCTCTTGGACCGTTCCTGTCCCATGACTGGTCAGGCATTTGCTTTGAACATCCTTAGCACAACGACAGAGAGAATGCTTTTGGTAGAAGAGAAATATATAGGATAGAGACCTACCCTTATCGTGGGGGACTCTACAGTCTCGTAGGCCCATACGATTCGGGCTTGTCTGGTGAAACAAATGCCGTCGAATCGGCCCCTCAACTGCCGCAGATAGTTATTTCCATTTCCTCGCGAGAGATCCTGAACCAATGTTTCGTTTGCTTGACCCTCTACCATTGCCAAGAGGTGCGACTGCTCCATTCCAAGACTAGGAACTCCAAACATAATGGCGCCCTGAATATTGTTCAAGATGCACGCTGTGGTCGCCTCGCGTGCCTCGGCGATCTGGACACAAGCATCCTTCAAGACTATGCCCCCAAGGCTATGTGCGATAAATATGATTGGTTTCTTCGAGTTGAGGTTCCAGCCCCCATTCTTCAGAGCCAAGATGAAGCTGGTGGAAATGTCACTGATCGACTGGAAGGAATGGCTTGCCAGCACCTTGGAGTCGTAACCGTAGATGAATGATCTGACTCCAGGAATGGAGGCAGGCAGAGCATCCCTCAGCCACATGAATGTCTTGTCATTTCCGCGTGGCTGCCAGGATCCGAATGGGTGACTACCAAGGCCAGATAGAGCAATCACGCTGCGCCAAGGGTGTTAGTTAGTATGAGGACATGTGATCGCAGTATGACTTACTCAGCGTGGTGTGTAGACGGATCTACCGTGTTGAGAGCCGTCCAGCCTCCGAAGTGAGTGTCAAGAAGGAGGGGGCTGGCTGTAGGCTGACCAGGGACCGGGAAGTGCCATTCCTCGTCCGCTGAATTGCTTCGAATACAGGCCGGCACTTGTTTAAGCTGCAAGGTCGCGACTTTGGAGGGGAATCGTTCCGATATCTCATCAATTCGTCCAATGGAGCCAATCACCACCTCGCTTGGATCGATTTGCAAGGCGGTCGCTAGCAGCTTCGCAGCCTCGTCGGCCGTGGAAATGGACGCTGGGATCCTGCGTAAGCGGAAAACTTTCCGATCCCAGTTTGTCGCCTTCATCAGGACTGAGATAGAGCCGAGCCTCCAGATCGATTCGTTAAAGTCGAAGGCCTCAGGTTTGTATGTGCTTGTTGGTCCTGCGTCGGGCAGCAACGACTTCAAAATAAAGTGCTCACGTGAGAAGAGCCCCTCAAGGTGAGCCAGCAGTGAGGTGCATCCAACAAACCCCTGCACGCCCCTTGCTTCGATTGAATCTTCAGGATCTCATCACTACTTACGAAACAATTATAGCAATTACTACGGCGCTATTACAAAGATACAAACACAAAACTCCGCTCAGGCCATCAAGCCCAAAGGGCCAAGGCTGTCAGCTCGCCGTCGAACACAACCTCACACATCTAGGCAATCGCTCAGTCCAACATGAAGTGGGCAAGAAGCAAGAAAGAGTTGAAAGGTGCAGGCCGGAGGGCTTGCGGTCGGCAACCTTCGTTGACACCACTACAGTGAGACTATTTGGGTCCCAATGATCCGAGTTCCAGGAAATAAGTTTAGTCGCAGAATCAACTGAGGAGCACAACAGCTGATCGCTCGATTTTGTTGACGGCCACAGCGTAGTCTCTCTCCCCGACTTGCGTACGACTCTCCGACTGGGAATATCTCAGCCTGATTGGTACACTGCCGTTTGAATTCGCGCTGTCGGTCAGGAATATGTTACCACGAAGCCTTTCCTCGACAAGCTACATGAACGGCCAGCGTACTTCGTGAGGAGCGACGACAATGATTACACACAATCCATCCATCGCCGTCTTACCTGAGCTTCAGCGCTGCCAAGCCAGCGCTGTATCAGTCGCGAGACACACGTCGCAGAACTTCCAAGTGTCAGGATTGACCTTATAATCGGTATTACTGGCTGTGCGCCCGCTTCAACGTATGATGTCCATCTTGGTGGTATAGCATTCAGCGCTCCATGAAACTGCAAGGCTGCTGTTCTTCAGCACGACCTCGGCGAAACATACAAAGGCAAAAAATCTAATTGACAGGCGCGCTAAGATCTTCGAATCGAATTCTCCGAACGGCAGTCAGCAAGCTCAAGGTGCAATCGAGGTCGAAGGCCATACATATGACGAGTGTTTAGACGGCATCCTCAGCAGGAAGCCGGGACTGGGAAAATAATGTAGTCGGCTAGACCCTGCTACCGATCGGTTATACCGACCAAAAGTTATCAACCGTGCATGATCATACCTCGGCCTCGAGGAAATTGTTTTATGCTTCGAGATGTTGGCCCCGAAGGCGGCCTGTCAAACTTCTTTTCGTTCGCGGTATCTAAATTCCCGTATGTCAGAATTATGGCAGGTGTGGCTGGCTTCTTGAACATGAGCACTTCCAACAATGGATCAATGATAACCATAGTCCTCTATTAGAACCTAGTTGTGGAAAGTCCGGTTTCGCTAGATATCGACTTGAAGAGGGTCGGATGAATTGCGGAACCCATAGAGACACCGGTATTCTTCTTCTTCAAGGGCAGGATCAAAATACCATCTAGTAAACCCTGTGTACATTTGTTTATCAGCTCTTCTTACAAAAACCATATCCCATTCGCGTGCTTCCTCTTCATGGGATGCGTCCCTTCAGAGGATCGCGAAGGTCTCTGCCATGATTTCCCTAATGTCCTTGTGGGTCGCAATCGAACAACAAAGTCTCCAGGTGCTCAGTATATTCCAATTGGAATGGTGCACCTTTTTCATTTCTCCATACCATGGCCGTTGCGGTCTTTTGCTGTTCGTCGGTCGTCTGCAGCGCCATCATGGTATAGTGCAACTAATGCTTGAAAGTAACGTTTCTTATTGTTCGATAATAAATTTTAGTTGCATACAATAATTTATCAATTCTACCTTATTGTTTGTGAATGTTGTGGCCGGGATGGAAACGTTGAGATATAACAGACGGGTTTGCCCGTGCTATAACGGGTTAATGATACTCTACCTTCCCTATCAGATGCCTCAGGTAGCAAATCTAGATGCCTCAGGTACCACCAAAGGTAAATGCCCCAAGTACTAAGGTATGTTCTTCGGGTTGAAGTGTCGTTGCAGGCTAGCTTTCCTTTTTCATTCCTTTCTCTTTGTGCCCAACTAAGAACTGTTACTAGTCCGCCCATATCGACTGCCCGACAGCGCCGAACCAAGACACACAAGCAGTTGAAGAAGGAAGACGTCAATGGTCCGACCCAGATACACGTTGAGAAATGCGCCGAGAGCGTCGCGCCCAATCGGACGCAGAAGCAGCTCGATCACAAGCCTCCGCAAAGGTCGTAATGGCAATAGGCGAAATGTCGCCCCCCAGCGGATTTCCGACAGAACTCAGACAAGGATCACTCGGCCGAAATGGTAAAAATACGTCTACGATGGACCGTCAACCCCATGGGACACTGAGGATTAAAATCTGTACTCCGCAGCCTCAAGACAATAGCCCAGCGAAAGATGTAAGACGGCTTATGATGGTTTAATTTGTTATTCTGAGCTGACCCTGTACTTCTAGTTCGCCTTGAAGAAGGTGGCCGTTGGTACCTGCCATCAGGAACGGCAATAGAAGGCAAGTAGTAGATTTCTTCAAAATCTAAACTGGAATACTAACAGTTTGCTAAGAATAGGAGCGAATCGGCAAAGTAAAGTCCCTTCTCTAATGAACCGCCGACGGATCTTACCAACGAACAACCGCTATGAGGACCTTGACACCGAGGTCAACGTAAGTAGATACAAGCTCGCGTCTGTGTTGTGAGAGAACAAGTTATGATAGAATGAACTTGCCGCACTCGGATCCGTCATCTCCCTCGAGGGAAGGAGAAGAAGAAGAAAGAGCTGAAGAATGAAGAGCTGAAGAATGGAGAGCTGAAGAATGGAGAGCTGAAAGGGAGAGGAGAAGGGTTGCGGGGAACTCGGAACAAAATTTATATCCAATTTCGACATACGTAAAATGGGTCACAAGAGGCTGATACCAAAGATCCTATTATCATCGCCGGGACCCTTGCCTAGCACATCTAGAAGATAGCACCACACACTCTGGCCATAATTCTATGCACCACCACAGTGACTTCAGGTGTTCGCGTGTCTTTGGCAGGGTTGTCTTGCTCTCGGGTCCCGCGACACCAATAGCATCCAAGTCCGGGTCTGTGGCTCGAGATGTATTGGAGAGATGGTGAAAAGAGCCTGATTTTCTTTGAATTCAATAATTCGCTCATCGCGATAATGAAGCTACCTAACTATTCTATATCCATCTCGGTCAACTATGCCACTAATAATCGTGTTGTTTCACCCTCCAGTCAAACCACTATCTAAACTTGCAATCGCTACCTACCCGGCGTGGTGGATGAGCACGTGCTGTTTTCCATTAAGATAGACTAGAAGATTGGATGTGCTGCTGAAGCACGCATTAAGGTCAATTTTGACATTGCCACAGGCCAGATGTTTATTCAACTGGTGCTCAAGATACGAATTCGGCCCGGCGTCGTTGGGTATGTTGGTAGGGAAGGAAGGAACAAGCGACTCGACACGGTGGGACGAGTATGACGTACACATCCGGGCAGCAGCCTTTGAACTAGGTCTAAGGGCAAGAGCGAGTGCTCGCGCGACCGACGGAGTTATGACAGAGTCTTCAGCTGAACAGGCATTTGAAGGATTGAAGGGACAGCTTGCTTCAATACCTTACCTACTACCTACCTAAGTACTCGATAGATAGGTAAGGTAGGTATTTACCTAGTTGAGTGTTAAATGGATTACCCAGCACCTGGCAAGTTACGATGAGCGATCTAGAGGACGTTCCATCAAGGTGCACCTATGGTAAGCCTGGTGGTTTCTGCGCTCATCCTCGGCGAGGGAAGGCGCATTCTTGGGGGTCCAATGCATGGACTTGGGTAAGGTAGGTAGGTACCTGGGAGGTATCACTTGCCTCAAGAGAGGTAGATGCCTCAGGTACCAGCGAAGGTAGATGCCTCAGGCATATACAGTCCCTTACCTTAACGCGTCTTTCCAGGCTCGTTTTTCTTTTTCTTTCTTTCTCTCCACCATCCAACATTGCGTACTTGAGTACAGCTAAAAAATCAATCAAACCATTCTGAATTGAAGAGATCGAATCCAAACATGCTAGCAGATACTACGAAATCTGCTCGTCGCCATCTGAGCGCCAAAAGGCAGCTCGCGATGCAGGCATAGTGGAGGCCAATGTCGCCAAGTGCCTGGAGGATGCTGAGCCAAGCTCAGACTCCAGAGCCATAGGTAGGCACCTTTTGAAACAAGTTGAAACAAGCTAATAGGTTCAAAGGCTAGGCCCAAACAACCTGCTGAAAACAGCTTCTCAAATCATTGCGAAAGCAGTTGACAGCAGCGCCGCCCTACAAGCCGTCAAGACGAGCCAAGTGGGTAACGATTCGAATCCGAATCTGGCAATGCATCTTCCCTCGCCCCAAGATCTCTCGATGCGACAGAAAGTCAGCACATAAGAGACGATCAGCCCTCTCAAGACTGATACGGGAGTGGCAGCAAGACACAGAGACAAGAATGAAGAACGTTCGAAACTCTGAGGCAGCCGGTATTTGCACTACCGAGCAAGCTAAAGCGCATATTTCAGCCATCAAATCCTCTTTGAAGAAACTGGTTGAGTGTGGCCAACATGAAGTTGAGCCAACCGCGCTTTGTCACGGGAAGTACTGGCGGCACCCGAATTCCCCAAATCCATACACTTGAGGGAAAGTGGGATGTCCCCAAAGATACAGCCAAACCATTCCAATATCTACATTGAGTACTGGTAGCTGTGAAGTCCATCACTGGAGGTCGCTTGCGAACCATTCCAGACTTTCCCCAGTCCATACTCTGAGGGAAAGTAGGATGACTTCAAGACACAGTCAAACCATTCCAATATCTACATTGAGTATCGGTGGCTGTAAAGTCTGCCTTTCTAGCCGGTCGCTTGCGAACTGGTTCAGAATTTCCCCTGGGGGAAAGTCGGGTAGCATAAAGACAGCTAAACCATTTCCAATATTTACATTGAGTACTGGTAGCTGTGAAGTCTGCTTCTGGTCGGTCGCGTGCGAACCGGTCCAGAATTTTCTCCAGTTCATACTCTGAGGGAAAGTGCGATGACTTCAAAGACACAGCCAAACCATTTCCAATATTCACATTGAGTACCGGTAGCTGTGAAGTCCACCTCTGGCGGTCGCTTGCGAACCGGTCCATGCATGGTGGCAAAAATTCCTCCGCTCAATAGTCATATCTATATGAACTACTTGAAGAGGGGGGTGCCTTCACCATGGGGCGTGGTGGAGGTACGGGCGGCGAAGTCGGACTCTTACAACCTCCTCGTGGTGCCGCCCGGGGACCTGGCCAATTCTTGATTTAAAGATGGGCTTCAGGCAATGTAAGAGACGCAGATTATTTCCATTTTATCTGTAAGGTCTGGGGTTTGAGAAAAGCGATGGGCGATTCAATGGCCATGTAGCGATTGGAGACTTGGATAATGGTCTGTCTGGAGGGTGAAACAACAGGATTCTGAGTGGGATGATTGACGAGATGGGTATCCAAGAGCCAGCTTTGTTACCGCTATGAGTAAATTATTCAATGCAATAAAATCAGGCTTTCTGCACCATCTCTCTCGTACATCTTGATCTACAGACGTGATCTAAGATGCCATGCGTCCTGGTATCTCGGCACGCGGGAGCAAGACAGCCCTGTCGAACACCCGTAGACTGCTGTCACTGCGGTGGTACGTAGAATGATTGCCGTTTTTTTGTGCTTTCCTCTCAAATGGCGCACACACCACTCTCTTGGTTGCACCAGAACTCACTCTTGCCCTTAGACCCAGTTCAAAGGCTGCTGCCTAGATGTGTGCGTCATACATGATCGTGTTGAGTCGTCCGTTCGTTCCCTGCCCGACTACCCTGACTTGCGAGGTTGGATCAAGCGATTTTCTGTGAGGCCCCTGGTTTTCAGCAGCCTGCGTGACCTTTTTTGTTGATTTGCTGGAAGGGGCTCAAGTGTCCGGTTTCATTAATGCAACTGCATCGACAGGCAGCTACCTGCACCACTTGAACCACTCACGCCTAAAATTGTTCGCTCTTTGCCCTCGACGTGTCCTTTGAAAGAATCGGGGTCCTAGCCCGACGCGATTGCACAGACTTCCATCACCATGCCATGGAGGTAAAGCAACTAGCTGAGTGGTCCGGGTAAGGATCTCTTCGCTGCACGAGTCCCTCATCAATCTAGTTCACTTAAGCAGTTAATTAAGCTACGGGCCGACTAAGACAGATCGATCATCGCTCCATCATCCTTGTCTTTAAGTCTTATGGATCGGAACGGGGTTAGCTATTTAACGACAAGGGTTTGGACCTCTCGGAAATCTTGTCTTTAGTTGTGCGGCGTGGCTTTATGTCACGACTAATGACTCGGCCAACCGGAAATCTTAGTTTGGCATCAAGCCATTGAATGATTCTTAGCCTTGTTCTCTACAGGACTCATTCTCAACCTTGGCGGTGAGAGACTTTGAATACACATCAATGCCTGCAAAGCAGCCCTGAGGTAAGCGAAGCTTTGTTGGCCAGTCATCTTGACGGCAGACAGCTGGGTCAGCTTCGCAGCAGCCGCTCGTCAGATTGAAAGGCAGGCTAGTCAGGATTACAGCAACTTCTTGTCGTGGCAGAATACAATTAGGTCAGCTTCACAGCAATTGCTCGTCGCGTTCGAAGACAAATTATTCAAAGCCACAGCAATCGCTCGTCTTTGCGCAGACAGATAGGTCAGCTTTACAACGAGTGTTTGTCGCATTGGAAGATACCTAAGGTAGCTTGTTTAGGGCTACAGTCTTTTAACTTGGTATGTGAAAGAGGGCCTTTTCTTCCAGCGGGCCTTTGCCTCCGGCCAGGATCTCAGCTCGTACCGCAAAGGCCACAAAGGCAGCGAATAACGTAGTGCTACCAACCCGGATTTAATACTCTATATTGTGCGATAATTAATACGATTGTTAAATGCGATAGTTCGTTCATGCTCTAACTTATGGTCTCCTAACACGGTGGCCTGCATTGGAACGCCGAAACATGTGTGATGAAGATTGTTTTTCAAAGGGAGAACTATCTGACCTTTTTGTCTGTGCCTGAACTGGTTGCGGAACTGGAGAGCTGCACCCCAATGGCCGCATCGCCTGATAATTGCGGCGAGGCCATTCAATGAATCATGGCTTGCAAGCCTAGCTCCTATAACCAAGAATGCTGATATGATCCTCCACCCAAAAATACTCACGCAAGTGCGGTTCATCTATCGTATAGGGGTAGCTTTTAATATCAGACAACGTTTCAGTGAGAGTTTCAGCCAGCCACCATATGAACCAGCCGGCGAACTCGTTCTCCTCACCAGCCAAGGCGGCAGAAAGCTTGCTTTCATCACACTTGAGAATATCTGTGGGTTTCCGGAAACCGCCCTCATCATACTCAAACTTCCAAGGCTCATCATGAAGTTGAGACTTGCCATACGGATTGTATTCGGCAGTCCCAAGGTCGACAAACTCCTCATCGCAGTTGTAAAATACCCGAGCTTCTTCACCCGCGCCACCAGCTAGGAGAACTTCATCCCCATTTTTGATACTGGACTGACGACGGCTGCGGTCAATCAGCCAGATATGGAAATGAGTTTCTTCTTCTGATCTTCCTGCCAGCAGCCACAGCAAGTCAATGATGAACTCCTGTGTAGAACCGCTATCCACATGCGCATTATATCTGGGAAGGTTATTGAGCCAATTTGGATCAAAATCAAAAATAAGGTGCCGCACAGGTTGGCAGCAATAATTAAGTCCAGAGAAGGGCAGGTCCTGCATGATCTCGACCAAATTATCCCAGGTCCGGCCTGGGTTTGGTTGGTTGAGCGCGTCCTTGAGACTCTCCAGGTCGAAATAGAATGCATCGTCGTATGGACGGACCATAAGCTGCCATTCTTCGCCCCCATCATTTGTAATTAGAGATGGGGCGTTGATGGTAATGCAGCAATCTTGATTCTCGCGCCACTCTTCCTCCCGGTACCAAAACCCATAAAAACCCTCAGCCTGGAAATTGCGTCTCTTCTCCGACCATTTTTTAATTTCCCAGTGACGCAAGATGATCTGGCGGGATTCCCAACAAGCGGTCCAGAGGCCAGCATCCCACATGTACGCGGACCGGTTGGCTTCAGCTCCTTCTGTCCCTGGTATTTCGGCGGCGAAGGTTATTCCTTCGTCACAGGACGTTGGAACACCTCTAGATGACGGTATTAATTTGGGCTTGAAGGCTGTGCTTTCGAACTTCATATTGCTGTGGAGGATGGAGAAATGCTGTATGCCGGAGTAGTTCTTGGCGGATGGTCGAATGGCTTGCTGCCAAATCTGTTCCCTAAGTTCGTAAGGCAGATCGGGAAAAAAGCGGAAAGAGGCCATGGTGATTTCTTTCAGGACGATTAGGAGACTTATGCTTCGGATCAGTAGAGAATAACAAATGATCCGGGTGTTATGTCAAAGTTGAGAATGAGCTTGGCTGAATTGTTTGGTAGGCGTGGTAGAAAACGCGTGTATGAGGGAAGCTGTGTTTGTGGCAGCAAGGTGAATGAGGGCTGAATAAATAGTGATCTGACGAGCGGCCCGTCCCGACGGCAAGTGAGTCATTAGTATGAAGGTTTACGGAGTTTTCCATCCGCATGGCTGCAACTTTCGGCTAGCAGAGCTTGTTTTGGTCTTATGCGTTGACATGTCGGGTCTGGCTTCTTTCATTGCTGTTTCTTACTTTATACTCAAACTCTGTCACCATCAAGGTTGAGAATGAGTCATGTAGAGAAAATGGGTAAGGATTATCAAACAAATTGATGCTAGACTAAAATTTCCGTTTGGGTGAGTCGTCAGTTGTGATAAAGCCATGGGGAAACGCCACGCGAGAGAGAGAGTTTCCGAGAAGAGTTTCTTTCAGTGACTCCCAACCAATTCAACTAGTACGGAAATGTGAACTAACTCTTTGTTCCTCGCTGGTGGAAGGACAAGAAGAGTCCTGGGGCGACAGAGGTTGGTTGGAAGATAATGTACGTAGAAATTCAGCCCGCAAATATCAAGTAGTAAGTGAGGGAGCTGTACAGCTGCTGAAAAAAAAAAAGGGGAAATTCCCAGACACCAGTAATTTGATAACTTGATACCATACCCAGGCACCACCCGCAAATATCAAATCCTACTATCGGCCCAAACATTCAAACATTGCCTCCCAAATTTGTGTCCACACCATCAGTTTTGCTTTCCCTTCCATTCATACCACTGTGATCAGGTGGCGACTTGAGATCAACGATTGGCGACTATCACGCCCGGTTCTCACTCTATTTCGCACAAGTCAATATCAAGACATTGGGAAAACGCCCCTTTCAATGAAATGCCACTACACTCGGTCGTTTGGTGTACAGACGCTATGTGGACAACTTTGCTGGCCGCTATCCTTGCTACCTCTATCCA